TTTTTTTTTCTTTTCACATTTCTACATTTCTACTTTGCTTTTACTTTTTCAATTTCCTACATCTTTAGCATCAATATCTTAAGCCTTCCGTCTTCCATTTTCTGCCCATCTAATCTGAAATCATGTCTGTTCAGACGCTTCTCCTTCTTCTCTTCTTCACTTAGCGTGGCCGTACTAGGTAGTTATCTCAAATGACGCCAATTCCAATTAACAAGTTTGATCTATCAATTGATCCATTCATTAACCCATCAATAAATAGTCACTTAACCCGTCACTTGACAATAGTGATTTTTTCCTTAGAAGTTACGGTTATACTGCACAGCAAATTTAGACTTTAGTCACACGAGCCAGACAAATGATAGGTTTTCTTCCCAGCGACACGGCACTCTCTTTTTGGAATAAAATATTTTTGTCACCAGAGGAGCCAGACAGCCTGACAGCCAGACAAAAAAAAAACAATATATGGTTGTCGACTTTATATCGAAACGAAACAAAAGTTGGAAAATCCATTTTCTTTCTTTTTGGATAATAAAATATCTGAGAGACTACTGGAAAGAAAGTTGACGAGTGACGAATAGTTAACGAAAATGGTCGGAAATAAAAGGAGCGATGAAAGATGATCTACTAAGAAAAGAGCACGAGTTGAGAGGACTAAGGTCCAATGACTGAAAACGAAGAGAACAAGGGCTAAAACTAAAGACCAAATGATCAAAAGACTTCAGACTTCGGATTTCAGATTATAAGAAGAAACACATCGAATATAAAAGACCAAAGACTAAAAAAGAGAAAGATAAAAAATAAAAGGGAGAGATGATTTAGAGAACGCGACTACTAGAGGACTAAAAAAAATGAATAAAGAAGACCAAGGCTTGGAAACACTAAGAAAGACAAAGACTAAGACTAAGCTAAGCCTTCCAGAATCTAATCGCCGCCACAACGCGTCTTCTACAGACGGGACAATTCTCCACTAGTCTAGCACAGTCGAGACACGCACAGACATGGCCGCAGTCATAAAAGACGGCATTCTTCTCCGCCTCGTAGCAAATGGGGCACGTGTCTTCCTCTTCGTCGGCGACTTGGAACACCATGGTGCCCTTGCCGTGGCGCTTGCCGTGGCGGAAGCCGCCCTCGTACGTGTTGCCCGTGGCGGCGTAGACGTATTTGCCCCAGCCGGAAATCTCGTCGCGCTCCCACGAGCCGGTGTACGTGTCGCCGTTCTGGAAGGTGATGGTGCCGCGCGGGCCGTGGCGGGCGCCGCACAGGAACGGGCCCGTGTAGATGTCGCCTGTCGAGGTGATGAGGGTGCCTGTGGCGGAGGATGATGGGGATTGGGTATTGGTGGGAGAGGGGGAGTTAGAAGAGGAGGAGGAGGAGGAGGAGGAGGAAGAGGGGTTGGAAGAGAAAGAGGGGGGACAATGAGGGCGGTTATTGACGAGTGGACCGGTATAGACTTCGTCCTGGGCAAAATATGCATATCCTGGTGCGCGGGACGTGAGAGTGTCAGACGCCCACGGCGGAGTGTGCAGGTCTTGACAGAGAATGTTAAAGTAGTCTTTTGCATTGATAAAGTCGCCGCGAAGTTCGATTTCTTGGTTTCTGTGTGACATGTTAGATATAAATTGTAACGGTGAACATGGGTTCATGGGTAAAGATACGTACTCGTTTTCTGGCATGGTCTCTTGATACAAATAAATGGCTGCATTGGATTCAAACTCGCCAAAGCGCTCGCCGAGAATCAGTGCATTGGATAACCCCCATGCGAATTCTTGCCAGACGGTAATGGATGACTCTTCGGGTATCTTGGCTTCTTTGAGTATCATTTCATACACGTCATCATCTCTCATGCAGAAAAACGTCCCAACACCAGTAATTGTTTGAGACCTCGTGTCGAACTTTTTGAGAAATGTATACACGCAGTCGCCAACTGAAGAAGGAATTGGCAACGGCGGCGTGGGCGGTTGGGGAGGCGGTTCGTAGGTATGTAACGGCGGGAGCGGTGGTGTTGGGGAGCGCTCATCCCGCGCGAGAAATTCCCCGTTTCTGCGCCGACCAAACGTAGGGGAAACTATATTCTCAAATGTAGGAAGTGTTCGAGGGCTTATCTGCTCGGATGATGCTTCTGATACATCACCTATAGGTTCGAGAGGCACAGTTTCAATTGTGTTTACAGACTGCTCTGGATCGGCGTCCGACACTGGCGCTGTTGTCTCCGCGACGGGGGCACCTTGGCGTAAGGCTTGAGCCTCCTCACTACCAGTGCGAGGACTAACTGGAGACGACTCAGTGTTGAAAATCCCATCAGATTGTGGAACAAGGGCCTCAGCTGGAAGCGGCGGTGCCGTTACCAAGTCTGGGATAGATCGAGGTGAAGGCGTATTTGCATGGACTCGATACTTTGCAACTTGGGCAGGCAATGAATCCGTATCCAACTGATCCCTGGGAAGCACATGTAGCCATAGTGAACACATGGGGTATTTCTCTCTGAATGTCTTCAGTTGGACCTCGTCATCAATCCTTCCGGAATAGATCTCTTGTCGTTGAAAGAAGCTGTGCGGCCGAGGCACATGCCAATGAGAATGCATTGCCCACAGAATACATTGTCGGGGGTCGTCCACATCTTCCATCACCTCAGCGATATGTTCTCGGAGATGCTTGATGGTCAGATCACCAGCAAGCGTCACGTCGTGTACGTGCTTCGACGTGCCTGAGTCCCATTGGGAATCAAAGCAATCCACCGTCCCGATTCCCTGACGGCCATGGAAAAGTTCAGCCCTGAACAGTCTGAGATTGACTGGAGAATCGTCTGCTGGTACGTGCATGTCCCTTGTTGCCCACGTCGCTGACGAGAAAGAATTAAAAGTGTCGTAACGTTCTGGAATTACTGTCTGTCAGGAAAAAAAAATACTCACAACGACAAACGATAACAAAAGTCATTCTTACGTACCACATGTCTCCCCGTCTTCCTTTTCCTGCATAGGCGGTCCTCGCAAAAATTCATCGACAAGGTCGTTCCGGACGTACATTACCACATAAGACACTGGAGCAAATGGGTCATTCTCCTTGCCAAAGTACTTCTCCATGGCTGCCTTGTTTGTCAGGCGGATCACGCGCTCCCCATTTTGTTGGCCGTCTAACATAAGCCATTTGGGGCCGGAACCTCCGGGGCGGATTACCGCGCTATACATGTCCGAATGAAGGCTGCCGCTGTGCACAATGAATCCATATAATGTGTATCTAGTCTCGACTTCAGCAGTGCCTGGAGCTATCCAAGGCTTCAGGTCAAGTGTGTCATCCAAATCAATGCGGTTGACCAGCTTCTTCCAACGCCGTGTCTCGAGGTCAAACTTTTGTCTGTCGAGCTCCAGCTGAAGATACTGTGGAAGACTTTCCAGCTTACCAGTCTCATCCTTGTCCAGAACCTGTGCCAACGCAACCTGAATCGACTTGACGCCTTCCACGGGGATGCGAAAGCTGGGCGCTCGCCCTTTACCAAAGAACTTCTGAGCCTGAGCACGGGATCCACCCTGCTCCTCTGAAGGCTGTGACAGAACTGTATCGAAGAGCTTTGAGCACCGGCCTTCCAGCGCGGTGCCCTGAAGCTCGCGCTCCATGATTCCGCGCAGAATATCCCAGCATTCGACTACGTCGTATCTTTCCATCAGATCCACCCCGTAAAATTCAAGTGTTTGCTGAAGAGCCGCTGTGTAAGCAAAGCCAGACGTGACCGAAGATGCTTGTCGCATGCTGCGAAGTAACATGCGCAGATGAAAGAGCAAAGGTTTGGGACGGCGACGAGCGTCTTTGAGGTCATATGGGACAGGAGCATCGAGCACGACGCGTTGCACCGGAGCCAAGTGAAGCCAGCTCCACAGCGCCGCAACCAACGCTCTTTTCTCGGGTCCTCGTGAGGGAGTGGCACATATTCCGATCGTTCCGGTCTTCCTGAAGTTGTTCCACTCCCTGTCCTCATATTGATGATACCATAGAGAGCCTGTATCATCCTTTACGAGGCGAATATAAGCGGTGAAACATAGGGTATCATTTCGCAGAAGAGCTTGCCGTTCGCCATGACGACGCTCGTGCATGCCAGCATGAGGTCCACGGAAGCGTGTCCAGCCCCAGTCTAGAGCGCCGTCGGCAAACCAATGCTCGCCACGGCTGAAATGACAAACGCGGGGTTCGTTCGGGTTGTAAATCACGCATCCAATCTGTGCCGCTTGCCCAAACTTCAAGTCTATGACGGGGTCTTTGGTCCCTTGAGCAACAACTTCAGTCTCTCCGCTGGCCTTAGGAGGAGATCCTCGATCTTCGTTCGACCGGTCATTTGTCTTTTTCGTAGCTAATTCACCAAATCCGAGGTCGATGTGGCTCAGCTCAGTATCGTCCGTCGCAGGCTGAGATTCAACGTCCGCCGCCCCCTCACTGGCCCCCTGCCCTCCCGTCTCCTCATCAATGGGGGGCTGGGAACCTTCAACATATACACTGAGGTAATCTGTGTCATTGCCGCGTGGAAAAAACTTGATATTCCAGTCTAAGCCACCAATGCGTACTGAAGGGGATCGCATCACCAACTTGCGATTCGGCTTCTCCGGCGTACCATTGACGCCTGTAACGGTCCATTCAATACGTCCAATCGGGCCAGGAATGTGTTCTGGATCCTCCAGCGCTTCAAACGTCATCCTTTCCCAGTGCTCATCTAATGTTTATCAAGTCAGTATAGGTAGCAAGTTGACGGTCAGGTTCACGTACGGTCGAGAGCACTGCGTTCCGGTCCTAGAGATTCTATCAGCCGAAGCTCCTCCTCGTCCGGCGTGGAGAGATCTTCAGTATAATAGGCCCAATGCGGGGTCTCTTCATCTTCGGAGTCGGAATCCTCATCATCTCGAATCGGTGGTGGAGGGACGGGAGCTGCAATTGGAGGTCGACCAGCTTCCAAAGGCGGAGGCATTGGCGGAGACGGAGGCACGACTGGATTTGACCTGCTGATAAGTGCAATCGAAATCCCTTGAGCTGTTTCAGACAATTGTCGGATAGAAGTTTCATTCGCTATGGATTCTGGCGGCGGCTCGGGTATCTGTATTTCTATAGGAACAGTATCCATGGCAAATGTATTTGATTCACGCTCTGGGATATGAGTGGGCGCAGCATTCGCTGCTGCTTCTGCTTCGTCTCCATCGCCTTCACTATCCACGTCATTCGAAGCAACATGCGCAAGAGTCATCCTGGGGTCATGTCTCCCAGCAGGTTCGGATTCCATGACAGCTGGCGACGAAGGAATGGTGGCTGGTATAGGTAGTCGGAGAGTAGTAGACAAGGAGCTTGTGACAGCTACAGGAGGCGGAGACTGCGAAGAATGGAGAGGAGACGAGGGCTCTTGAAAGAGCAATGGAGGTGGATCAATGGGGGAGCTCACGGCGAGGTCCATAGTAGCGTCGGATGAATGGCGGTTTTCGTAAAAGAGAGAGTTATATGGGAGAATATCACTACTTTGAGAGGTTACGGGGATCAAGGACGAATTGTTTGGTGAAGAGGAAAAGAAGACCACGAGTGTCCCGTGGAAAGGAGATTCAGGATGAAGGTATAGGTAGGGCGATGAGAGACAGATAATGAATGGAAGACAGCTGGTAGCAAGGCAGCAAATGGGCAAACGTGATAGGGTTCAACAAGCAAATAAATGTCAGCAATTTGTAGGTTATATGTAACTCTGGATGCATGATCTTTGCCAGCCTTTTCTAGAGCCGCTTGGCACCATCAGGCACGAGGCAGAGACGACGTCAAGATGTAAGATTGTCACAGGGGGGGACGTAGGCAGATACGCCGGTTGTGAGTCCAAGTAGGGCGAGAAGATTGACTGCGGAGAAGGAGATTCACGGGAAAAAAGTGAGAAGCAGAGAAAAAGCTATGACTCTTCAGCCTCTCCTGATTGACAAGTCTGGATTAGAATGGCAGCTTATAGTCAACTGAAACGAGAAGGGAGGAAAGAGGGTGGGCGGAATTTGTTCTGTGCTCAGACGAGTTGAAAACGTGACAAACGGCGCTTCGGCGCTCAAGGAGATGAAGCAGGCAGACAGACGGAGCGCACGGAGCTGAAATAGGCTGCGGGAAGGAGACAAGGACGCCACCATCCGTCGGAAACTTCGCGCAGCCATCTCCCAGACCATGCATGGGTAGATGCATGATGCATGGCTCATGGCTGGCCTTCACTTTCTTCTCCCATCCCCCCTCTCTCGCCACAAGTTTGATATAATCTCACCCGTTGCCTGCTGTTGTAGCAGTCGTATTATTATAGCACCCGGGAACCACAAGCGGTCCCGTCTGCCAATATAGAGAAGAGACAGGTACAAAGCACTATCAAGTACACAAAATTGCGCCTTCAATCAGTGGACAAAAGAGTATCTTGGAAGTTGTTTCTACGCGTTGGTTTTGCCTGAGGTCGGATGGATAAGCTATGGCTGAATCGGGATTAGCTCTACAATTGCTACGTGTCTTGAAGCTACAAGAGTTCCGAAGTGAGGCTGAAGGCGGCACGGACAATAATAAAAGCTGATGATAAAAAGAACAGGAAATCTCTGAGACGAAGGAGACCAAGGAGACGACAAAGAATATCAAATGAAAAAGAGGCAATTACTGTGGACGGCCTTAAGTCCGTCGCAGCTGATGCTGACCGCAGCTGAAATGCATCAGAAACGACATCCTCCTCATCCAAAAAGATCAGACATGGGTACTTCCTGGTCCCGTTAACCACGTTGCTCCTGGTTCTGAAAGAATCTCTTGCGCAAGTAATCCAATTACCGTTTTGCGTAGACAACAGGTAGCTAAGAAAGTTGCTTTGGTCCACCATGTGCAGCTGCTGGCAGTGAGGCAGTTCGTCTGGTCCTCGGTCCCCCTGTCCCTGAACAGTGCGCCAACGCGCCACGCTTTCCTCGCTGCGCCCCAGATTCCTCGACCACCGGACAAAGGAGACCCAATCATTATTCCTCACGAACCCTCCGGACCCCAAGCTAGAGAAATCAAGAACGGCCCATAGAAAGCAAACGCGCAAAGGGTCGGTTTGCGTCAACTCGGGAAAATGAAATGTTCAAGTACTTTGAGCATAACCATACTGTAGGTACAAAAAATGTACCTCTACCTTGTACGTGGCCATCATTCGTCTACCTTCTCCACGTAATCCTCTTTCAGGGGCAGACTCCCTTGTCGATAAGAACGGTTTATCCCACTATTCATAATACTTGACGCCGACTATCAAAAACAATCAAAGCACGATCCCATAATCATGGCAAACACAACATTTTTGCGTACATCTTCTTCCATTATAGATCACCAATTCAGTAAAAAACCCAATCTGTTGCAGATGCCTACATGTAGAGTGAAGGCTACCCTGTCCAACGCGACAACAGGTCTTAGACAATCATCATTTGCGCAACACCACCGCTGATGTCTTCGTTTTCCCAATCAGAGGTACTTTGTTTTGTCAAAAGTCGAATGCTGGTATTTCCAGCCTTTATCAGCAGATTCATCTACGACGTCATCGTGTGACCACACATCGGCTTCCCCAATCACGTCCCATTCCGTCAAAGCGAAACCAAATCATCCCATGTCATTACAGTATGGTAAAGAAGAAAAAAGAAACAAGAGAAAGAAAATGGGAACACTTTGAAGAAACCATCAGACGGCTCTGCCTGGAGACAAGTACGAGACGTAGACGCCGGAAATCTAAATGGAAGAAAACAATCACGAAACGAGTCGTGGAACATACCACGTCATCCCATCGCACCTTAGGCTGCTAGATGCAAATCGCCCAAGTAGATAGTAAAGCACAACAAAATCCATCAAAAAAAATGCCATTTAACAGCATTTGCTTTCCTTCTGATCCGGCTCCGTTGACTTGCTGATAGGCACCACGTTGCCACCACTAATGGGGTTCTGCGACTCGCCTCCGTTATCCAATGCCTTGCTTGAGACGATGCGGTAGATTTCTGTCATGAGCAATTTAGTAATTATCCACCTCCAAAAAAATAACACAAACATGCCAACACTCACCCGTCAAAATGTTTTGGAACGCAAGCTCGACGTTGCTAGCGTCCAAGGCAGACGTCTCAATGAAAGAGAGGTTGTTCTCGGCTGTCCAACCATGTCAGCAACCCCATACAGCCTTGCAAACGGCGTCGCACTCACCCGCAAAGGCCTTAGCCTCGTCAGTTGGGACCGCGCGCAGGTGCCGCAGATCGCTCTTATTTCCAACCAGCATGATAACAATGTTCGAGTCCGCATGGTCACGCAACTCCTTCAACCACCGGGTTACGTTTTCATAGGTGTTGTGCTTGCTGATGTCGTAGACCAAAAGAGCACCGACAGCACCTCGGTAGTAGGCCGACGTAATGGCCCGGTATCGCTCCTGTCCGGCAGTATCCCAGATCTGAGCCTTAATCGTCTTCGCATCGACCTGAATGGAGCGAGTCGCGAATTCAACACCGATGGTCGACTTGGAGTCCAGATTGAACTCGTTCCGAGTGAATCGACTCAAAAGATTGGACTTTCCGACACCAGAGTCTCCAATGAGGACAACTATCGAAGGTGGAATTAGCGACGGCCTTTATCATTAGTTGCGAGGACCTCTTGATTGGAATGTACCCTTGAAGAGAAACTAATATAGAAGTTAGGAACACTGAAACAGCAAATAAAGCTTCACCAGGGCGGACTTACATCGTATTCGTCGTTGGCCATGATTACGGTTTGCTGCGCTCGCGTGCCTGGATCACAAAGTCGGGATACGAGGTTGAGAGGTACGTCAAGGGAGGCACAGCGATTGAGATTGTAAGCGGGTATCTATTCGACGTGAAGGGGAAATTCTCGAGAAGTGCGGTTTGTCAAAGATTTATTTGGGGGAGAATAGTATCGTCAGTGGGATGGATGAAAGATCCAAAGGGGGTAACGCTGGCGCCTGTCGTAGTAGGGTAGTTTAGGAGATGGTGTCGTTGGTGGTGGAAGGTGCCCTGGGATGCCACTGGGGGGCAACTAAAGCGACTGGAACAGATGGAACACCGGGCTGCCTCGTCTTTGGCCCTTTTGGGATTAAAGCTCGCTATCATATCTTATTCGTGCACGTGATATCTACCACAAAAACACAGATGATATTACCACGCCCCTGTTAATTTCTCAACAACATATCTTCCCGAGGGCACAATGATCTTAGTGAAAGAGGAACAATTCTTCGAATTGGTTTCTTGATGAATTTTTCCACATTGATGTACTATCTATGAATTGCTTGCTCTCTTAACATCATATGCAAACTCGGGTGCATTAATAGAAGCTGCCTTGGATTTTGATGGCATGGTTGTGACTCTCTTTTTGCAAAATGATAGAAGATTGAGGCAATATTATACGCTTTTCTTCACGTTTCTGCTTGCCCATTTTTGCAATTGGTCCTTATGTTATTCCCGTTGATACATTGCAATTTCTCCAAAAGTATCTTTGTTCCAAGAGTCTCCAACCTTTCCCGCCCCGGGATGCTTAGTCGGTGCTTAGTCGTTTCCATGTGAAGCTCTGCACCTCAGTCAACTTCAGGAAAGTTGTTTTCCTACTGACATACTACTCTCCTCAACTTCCGACAATGGCATCGCCAGAAGACCACATCATGGCGGAAGCTAGCGAGGACGATTCCATCTCCATAACGTCCACGGCTGCTAGTGAAGTGCTAGACGAGTATGAAGTAGAGACTATCCTGACTGAGCGCAGAGGTCAAGACGATAAGCCGTACTTCCTCGTCAAATGGGCAGGCTACGATGTCGAGCGAGCCACTTGGGAAGGAGAAGAGTCCTTTACCACATCGGACATGATCGATGATTGGAGATCCCACCTAAATCTCATCGAGCGAGGATTGGAAGAGCCCTTTGACCTAGATCAATGGGAGCTGGATGTGCAGACGAAAGATGATGAACAACAGAAAAGAAAGAGGCGTCGCCGGGCCAAAAGAAGACGACTTGGAATCCCGGTCAAAGAGCCCGAAGACGCGAAATTGATGGGTGTGGAAGAGCTAGGAACTGAGTCTGAGGAGGACACTGATAAGGACTCCATGATCGAGGAGCTCCTCCAAGAAAATGACGATATACTTGGCTCCACGCAGCGCCGGCGTCTTGTTCGTGGAAGGAAAAGACACGAGAAGAGCAGCGATGAAGAGCGCGAGGCACCGGCTAGAGCAGCGAAGCAGCTCAGACAAGAAAAGAAACAGCCTGTTTCAGGAAATCGAATCTTGCCTGGGGAGACTGCTGTGACGCCAACTATTACTTCAAGGTCGTCAAATATTCCATCTCGACTACCAACTCAAGGCCAAGATTCCGGCAGCTCAAGGTCTAGGCCAAGGCCGGCTGCGAATCGGATTGTCGGTCGCGGTCCATCTAGGCTAGGTGCCTCTTCTACCAAGTATCAACCAATGTTAGCAAAGCGCGTTCAAGGAGCCGACATCTTCAAGAACTGGTCGATCCCCAAGGCTAAGAAAAACCGTGCCGCAGGCCCCAATGGCCGCTTCACGACCCTACAGAGTGCTCGTTGGGCTGAATTGAGAGGTCGAAATGAGCCTGTTCCAGATGCCAATGCTTTGCAGCTCTTCGACCCTAGATCAGCGAAAGACAAGAGTAGAGCTTATCAGAGCATAGAGCCCACGACGACAGCTGAGTCAAGGAGTCCATGGGAATTGCTCCAAGAGCAACTAGCAAAAGACCGGGCTCTTTCCGAGGCCAAAAACGCCCCCAAAAAGAAGAGAGTATCTTTTGCAGACGCGTTAAGTAAAGATTCGTCAGACCAATTGGGAGAAGAGAGCTTACAGCAAAGCGCCGGTAGAAGGCTCTCCGAGCGCCCTACTTTTTCCCAAGAAGACAGCATTGTTCCCCCGAGTACTGAAGTCTTCTCAACGGGTCATAGATGGTCTGGCGGTCTGCCACATTCACCCACGGCGTCGGATGCTAGCGTCCCGGCTCCTGCCCCGCCAAGTCGGCCTAAGAAATCAATGTCATTCAAGGAGTATTCTGAAGCTCATCGAAGACCTTCCGCTGAAATGCAAGCCGGATCTAATATGGAAGAAGCCATCAAACCGTCACTCGGCCCAGCGGATTCGACCGTGGACGACAAGGATCCAGTCGCGCACACTGAATTGCAACCTACTCCAAAACCGAAGCCGAGACCATTCGATCCACTGGCAGTGTTTGCTGAGTTCAAGAAAGGCGATGATGGCTCTGCTATTGGTGTAGTTGAGCTCGTCGGTATGAGTGAAGAAATGAGAAAATGGTGGCTTCTTACTTTTGGGCCAAAACCAGAGGTTTGGTTTCGTGAGATATGCCTCGCGGATAATTATCGAGAATTCATGAATGAGGTATGCCTGTGATATCTTGAAATAGCCTCATATTCGATAGATCTTACTGCTGATTTGAGTCAAAGGGGAAATCTACCTTCGATTCGGTCGATGTGCTGCCAGTTGGCGAATCAGCAGCCGCGGGAATTGAATCGTTTGAAGAAATGCTGTGTCTTACGGCGTCTGGAGCGATGTTCTTTCATGATAGCATTGTCATTGTTGCTTACCCTCTACAAATGATGGATTCCTGGAGCTTCTTGAATAGCGGACCCAGAAAGGCACCCGAAGCCAAAATTCGTCTTCATTTTCGATCTCCTATGCCGGCACCGATCCGCAATACGCAAGATATGAACAGCCTCTCTTCTAGTTCGGTTGACGTCCCTCGTCTTGTGTCAGTCTTTTCTGACTTGTTGAAAGTCAAATACGACGATCTTCTACCAAGGCCGCTCAAGAAAGGGGAATATGTTGAAAAATTTTTCCTTATCTTCACAGAACATGCAAAGGAGGAAATGCTTCTCGTGGTGGACTTTCTCATGTCGAAGCCGCACGATGCCAGAGTTTACACTTCCACCACTCCTGGTGCATGGGATTACTTTTCTTCTACCGTTAAACAAGGAGTGATTTTGGTTTGTACCTGCATCATTCTTTCCTCTTCAAACGTCTTTCTGACACCTGCAGATCCATCCTTCGTTCTATAGATATCACCTAATTCCTCGCCTGACTTCGGTTCTTCGCAACAATATTAGAGTTTGGTGCCTTGGAACTGACGAGTGGAAGCCCTCGGCGCCTTTTGTCTGTTATGAACTATTCCCACTAGGTGCGGTCATCTACCTTACCGAGGACCTCTTGCAACAACGATCCAGCGATGCAAACGCAATTGTGCAGTGGTACTGCAAATACAGTGCTAGAAAAGTTCCAGGTACATGGAAGCTTGCTCTTAGAGGGGAGATACAGGAATTTCTAAAGAATGAAGTTGAACTCAAAGGCCCCTATGAAGGGTTTGTTCTCCCTCTCTCATACCACAAGTCAAATTTAGGCTAACTTGGCCGCTTCTATTAGACGATTGGAAATGTGGAACGCGGTAGAGGGTCTTCTAGACCCCTGGTTTCTGCCAAACTATTACGGGTTCATGGAGGAACTTGATCCCCCTGTGATCGACTTAGGCACACCGGAAGGCGACTCTAGCGAAGCAAAGGCCGATTATCTTGCGGAATATTTCGCCGGATGGGCTTGCATACATGCGGAGCACTTTCGTCGCTTCATTATTGTCCATCCCACTTCCGTGGAATCGTGGAAGGAGCGTTGGAACCACGTAAGTGTGAAGTTCAAATGCTGAAGTACTGAATTCACTGATCCATGTAATAGGTGGAAGTTTTGACTCCTGGTGAGTTCACGGACTCTTACATGAAGAGACAGTAACCATTCGAATTGCTTGAACTCGGGCTTCATGATTGTAATGCGGGCAACAATTCTTATCTCGAGGAAGCTGCCCGGAGAAAGAACAGATTCTGCATTGGAAAAGGTTTCAAGAACAATTCAATGATTCTCAATAGCGGGATCATGACTCAATGATGTTCTCTGGTGGATGCAGTCTTAGAAGACTCGTTTACATTTCCATAGATATACATTCAGTTAGCAATCAAATTTCAGAATTGTAAAAGGTTTAATATTATTGCAGATGGAGTTCACCCAATAGTTGCGAAATGGTTATAATGTAGCCTACAGGGAGTTGAAGCAACCTATAGCGAAATAGCGCTCCGGCATGTCTAAAGTTACCGTAGCGGAGTAACCGCCGCCCTTCGTACCAGGAGAACGGTTATGGAGATACCCTTCTTCAATTGATTACATTTCAGCCACCAACTAATATTTTTATTTCTGCAGTCAATCGATTAGGCTTTGATTTATTTTCAAAAGTAATTGCATTCCCCGGTCCAACTACTTTTTTAGATCCCGATCCAAAGAAGCTCAACTTTTCCGCATCGTCGTTTTTCCGAGAAGCTCCTCGACGACCTCAGCTCTCTTGCTTGTCAGCTTCGGGAGCTCCTGCAACAAGATACCAGCTATTTTCGAGACCCTTCCAGCAAGCATCTAATATAACTTCTGGAGCTGCTAGTGACTAAGGATAATGCGCTTCTTAACCTTATCGGCGGCAGCGCTTTCATTCGCAGCTTCAGCAATAACAACGGCTACTGCAGCGTCCACGATCCTCCGCGTGGCGGTCCCGTCAACGTCTCTCCTTCCGAATCCCGGCGCGTCTCTTCCAGCTTCGACAAAGCTCACCTTGACTACGCTTGGAAAGGACTATGAGGCACCGATTTCGCGCGACGGCACATTCACCCTAAGGAACGTTGAGGAAGGATCGTATTTGCTGAGCGTTGCTTGCCTGGATTATATATTCCCGAAGCTGAGGGTTGACATTGGTGGGGACGTAGAATTGGTGACAACAGAAGCGGGATCTCCCGCTGATGCGGGTATTGAGACAAAGGTGCAAATGATCAAGGCGTGGCAAACGTTTCCAGATACTGAATGGGCGAATACGGGCGAGACGCAGGCCGTGGACCCAATCAGCTTGGCGCCCCTTGTTAAGAAGGAGTATTATGTGAAGAGGGAAGGATGTGAGTGATTTGGTCTCGTTCCTTCCTATCAACTAGAAATCAGCCGGCTAACACGCATAACTAGTCTCTCCTCTCTCGCTCCTTCGTAATCCTATGATTCTGCTCGGACTTGCCTCTCTGGGTCTCATATTCGGAATGCCAAAGGTCATGGACAATTGTATGTTCTGAAAATGTTGGAATCAATGCTCATTTTACTTTTACTGATATTATCTTCCCTGCAGTGGATCCCGAAATGAAAGCCGAATTAGAAGAGCAGCGCCGCAATGGTATGGGCTCGGGCAGCTCTGCTGCAGCTGCATCTTTCCAAAACTTTGACATGGCTGCATGGCTTGCTGGGAAGAACTCCAACCCATCAGCGGAGTCTTCGAGCGATTCAAGGAAGTCCAGATGAGTACAACGCAGATGTGTTCATAAGCCTTTAGCATTTAATTTGTACGTTATGCTTGCAGACAGATACTCTGGTTTCTTAGACGAACTAAATCTTGTTTTGTTATATATAAGAACTCTTTCCTCTGTATCATCGAATTGGCGTGATACGACCTTTTCTGCAAGGCGGGTTTGATATGGTGTATAGCTTGCCTTCTTTGGAGTTTTGCCGACATCCTTCATTTTCCCTGTGTCAACAAATGCTCTTACATAGTCTTTGGGTCTTGCCTTTCCCGGAAGCTTTTAACATTTATCCCACTTTTTCGCTCCTTCCTCCATTCAGAAATTGCAACCTTTTCAAGCTTGCATTGTTAGGCTTGAGAAGACCTGCCCGGGAACAAGATCAACATAACCTTTGGGTGATAGCTGTTCCCTTCGCGATCATTAATAATCGCACCCGTTCGTTTCCTTTTTACCTTTGCATACTTTGAACAGGTACGTTCTGAGGCTGCTCCTCTTTTTGCGTCGTGTTATCCCTCCTGGACAGCAATCGATGCCAAATCTGCTGTTTTGCTAACCTTCGCACAGAGTGTTCAGCGGTATATCAATATGGAGACTCCCTTAATTCAGAGCCCATCTATCCCGCGGCCAAGGCACCCTCAGCTTGGCGGAGGAGGTGGGTAATCTTTAGCTTTTTCTCTTTCACTTTCCTTATATTGTGTGGGACAATCCTTAGTATCGCTGCCTAAAGTCTTTTGGGAATCACTATCTCAAATCATTTCCAAAAGAAACATCTTGTTTCACTTCTTTCCTTTGCCTTTACATCTGGTTTCCCTATTTGCTGCATAGCGCTTAAGAACTAATGAGATTTCACGCTTGGTAGAAAACGACAATGAGAGCTCTGCACCCGCAGCACCGCACAACACCCCAAATTCAGCATCAACTAGTACGACTTCGACCCCTCTTCAGGACATACCGCCGCAAAATTCAAACCCGACGTCTACTTTTCTAGGTTCTCCAATTTCCTCTCCTTCGCGAGATACCGCCAGAAACAGCTCGTTCTCTTTTGATTCCGCTCCGTCAACTCCGCTTCTCGGTCCGTCTGGTCAAAGTACGAACGGCATCTCGTACCGCACTTCAAGTGGCCAGCCTTTACCCCCAACCCCGCCCAAGGACAATCGTGATGATGACTCAAACTCGGAGGGCTCTGACTCTGACGAAAGTACCATTATTGCAGTCGGCACCAACACTGATGGAAGCGGGAGATCTCGGCGTGCCACCGTTACAGAGACTAGCCCACGCGCTGCTCGCTCTGGAACTGGCATTTCAGGTTCTGGCATTGTCCGACGCAATACTGTGCCGCGCAGAAGCCCCAATAGCAATAATATCTCATTCCGCATCAATCGCGCCCGCCTTGTCGGCAGCGGAAGGTTGACTGTTAACCCAAGCCCAGGCAGTTCCATTTCCAGCCGTCGACAGTCTCCCTTACAGTCTCCAAGACTATCCCTTGAAAGTCGCTCCCAACATCGTAACCAGGGCCCCGGTACTAGTACTACTGGAAACAATGTCACCGGCGCTTTCGGCAGAAGCCGTGAAGAAAATATTATGGCTGGTCTCCACGCTCTCGGATACCGCGACGATGGTCCCAATGGGCCCCGTCTAAACACCAGCGGCAATTATGTGGAGGAGGATAATGAAAATGCTTCGAATGTGAATATTAACGACTATTATCGACCGCAGCGCACGAGGCGGAGTTGCGTTCAGATGCTCTATAGGAATCGGGACCCGCTGGGAATTATCGATCAAATTATCGTTGGTAGTGTTGCGGCGATCCTTGCGATTTGCTTGGTCTATTCATATAATTATCACATCGGGGGAAGAGTCATTGCCGGCCGCTACTCCTGGCCCTATTGGCGACTCTCTGATACCATAGGCTTCGGATGTCTGCTTCTTTTTTGGGAGGGGTTTGGAAGGGGCCTTATGACGGTTCTTGTTATCATATTAATGTATATGGGTATTTGATGCCTCGTCCTCAGCCTCCCGGATGCTCGATTCTTTTTTTATGCAAAGGGCTTCCTCGACGTTCGGCGGTGTAATACTGGGGCTACGAGATTCCGTAGGTGTTGTACGTCCTGGTGCTCTCAATTCCTTTCTTGTGGAAGTTTCAGAGTTCGAGGATGGTTATGACTTGAAGGCATGATTATGCTTGGTATCATTCGTTAAACTTCAGGTGCAGTGTTTTCCAAGGCTATAAAATGCGTTTATAGGGGGTAAAAGGGGGTGTGGACTCTCACGTCTAACCGTCTTATTTTACACTTTCGTTGCTGTGTTATTTTATCAAGCCCAATAGAAAGTTGTTTTACTGGACACACCTTTCAGTGCTTCGTATTTTGATCATGTTTTGCGTAATATTTACCCTCGGCGGTGAGTCGTCCCCCTTCCGCTATTGGTGGTGATTTTGACAAATCATATCTTGATGACGCAGGACATGAAGGGTTTCTTCGAGAAATTTCGGAGACATCTGTCTGACAACTTTGATAGAAAGGCGACGACTTTCCTTATCGGATATACAGAAATTGAATTGCCCACGGCCAGAGAAGATATTAAAAAGCATCAGCCCAATTATGTTGTCGAATCCGAGAAAACAACGACACTTTATATTTTCCGATATTCGAAATCTAGCCAATCGCCGAATCAACCATCTCGAGATCATACATTTCCAGTATGTCGACATATTGTCGACAATTATTTATCTGTCTTGTTGTCACTGTGTGAGAATTGTGTTGCTAAGGTCTGGATCCAATACTCCAATTCCACATTGCCTCGGTTGTTCCATGAATCAATGCATCATCCACCGTGAATATTCACATTCTGTTGAAGCAAGACTTTCTATTCTCCAATTTTGGCTCACTTGCAGCTCGCTTAGAGCACTTCACTGACTGATTGTTATTGTGTTTGTGTATTTGATCTTCACTCGCGCCATCCATTCTCTCACACCAAACACACTCGAATCCAGACTGTCAGCCCCGAACATCAGAGTTTTCAGTCTGGATCTTGTTCTTTCCCATCTCTTTTGTTCTCACTTGTGATATCCTCTGCCTGTGATAGTGTTTTTCCTGATCAGCCTGTTGGGCTGCACTTGGGCAGCTTGAGGGCAGTCTCGAGCGTGACTTTTCACAGTTGGACAGCTGGAAAGGTGATTCTGAGAGTCTGCTTGACTTGACTTGCACTGCTGTTACTTGAAACCCGTTCCTTCAGCAGACATCTGGTTTGTCATTTGTTAAGCTCAGACCTGGAAGTCTTTGAGCAGCAACTGAGCCTAGCCTGCTGGCTTGACAAGGTGGTAAGTTGCACTGCAGGACATCACGCTCGAGGATCTTGCTTACCAGCTGATGAGCGGCTTAAAGCCTGACAGGTCATTGCTTTTAGTTTGAACTAGGAATTACTACGCCTGATCAGATCGACCCCAATCATTTGTTGAACCATAGTTCTTTGGTGCGAGTTCTTGTCACAGAACCATTGTAAGAAAGACCCAAGAACTCGAGAGGCAAGACTACACGCAGTTCCATGCTCCCAGAAAATGTTAAATCAGCAGAAAGTTAACATTTGATCATTAGGGTATTGTTTTCCAGTGATACGACTTGCGAAGTTTAAAGTGAGCATTAGCACTCTTCCTCCGCCTGTAATTCAAGAGTGTGGGGCGGGTGCTAACCCCAACCTACAGATATCTAGACTCCAAGAAAACCATTGGGTTCAAAAGACCTGTCGAGCTTGACATTCATTCATCATGCCAAAAAGGTCCAAGCAACGCAACATGGATGTCAACAATTGGTTGAATAAAACCTATGAGGTAAATGAGCCCACTGTGTCAGAGGCAACGAAGGAAAGCTTCCAGAATGGCCACTGCCAATCGTCTCCCAACCCCTGTGTTGGTCTGAAGAGCTGCCTGCTCTGTGGAGGCTGCGGCAAGTGCAAGAAATGCCAGCACTGCGGAGAATGTGAGCACTGTGATGGGTGCTTGAACTATGGATGGAAAGAGTTCCGAGGTCAAGCTGTTAAAACTTCCGAGATAATTCCATCTACGAACAGAGCCACGAGTGGGGAAATTCAGAAAGACCTTGACGAACTTTTGGCCGAACAAGCCGAGTTGCGTCAAATGAAAGCCGAACATTTCCCAAAGCCGATACAGTCTTCGTATAAAAATCCAAACAACGACGAAGACCTTAAAGAAAGGATGGACAAGATGGAAAGATTCCTCACGCTTAGGACGTTGCTGCAAAAGGTACTCGCGGATCCTACGGCTTCCGAGGCAGTTAAGGAGCGTACTCGGCCCATGCTGGCGGATATCGAGAGGCGCCTTTATGAAAAATTGGGCCGTGGCCGTGGCTTTGGCAATGCAATGGAAGTTCAGGAACAGGCCTTCATTGAGAGGAAGATGGCCAGAGTTTCCAGCGAGGAGGATTTGATGAGCACGACTCCGCGTTTTCGCGTTGAGCGTATTATGAAACATCTCGAATGGTTCAACAAATTCGGCCCGCGAGTCTTGTAAGTATTCTCTATAATCAAAGAATTTTGCTCAGAGTCCCTTTTATCTAGTTTTGGTTGACTGACATTTTGATAGCCCTCTTATTGACAAGGACTTGGCAAAAGAGTTGAGGGCTACCTCAGCCAAGGCTCCTGCCAGCTCTTTTCCCTCTGCCGGCGTTTCTGAGGATGAATTGTTTGATGAAATTAGCCAGAGCTACGTTGAAAAAGCCAAAAAGCGACGTCAGCAACGCGCTCAATACCTAGCTGATGTGTAAGTTTCAGTTGCTTTGGGGCTTGAAGAGTAGTACTTGCAACTGGATGCCAAGCATAGACTAATGCAGCGGTAGATCTTCCATTCAATATGATCATTTCATGCCTGCCACCTTTAGTCCCCAGCCGGGGTTGGATCGTGCCTTTTTCCTTTCACAGTATGGCTTGGCTGAAATTAATAAAGGGGCAAAGCCAATTGTCAAGGAGAATTCTCCGGAGATGGTAAACAGAAATTCAAATTCCTTGAGGGATGATATTAGCACGTAAGTCACATTGTGCACAATTCAGACGTACCGAATGCTGATAACGGACTCAGTATCTCTGAAGGAGAGATGACAGTTATCATCACCCGTGGGTCAGCTGCTAAGCCTGCTAATGATCCTTCTGACGAGAGCATGAACGAGACTTGGGAGTTTGTCGAGGAAGACATTTATGCGGAGGTTTAGTGACGCTTCGTCAAGTTCCTCTTCTTGAAGTGAAGGAAATGTAAGTTGAACGGCCAACAAGGTCAACTGCAACCAAATTGTAGCAACTTTCACTGACGAGAGTATATAGATTAAGAATTCTCCTCGGCGTTGGGACGTTCTTTCAATCTGTTTATTTCGTTACTCATCGAAGATAACTAGTTGCATGTTTTACGCAATGTCTTGTGGCTAACTAAGCTTCAAATATATTGTTATCTTTGAGATTTACTGTTTTGTTAGGATGCTTGGTTGACGTAGCTTAGGCCGTGCCTGATGCTGACGGTGTCTCGAACACAAGTCGGGATGAAATTTTTCTTTCTTCTGATGGACACGCTGACCTCTGCTCCAGTGAATCCGTTGCGGCTTTCAACACTCTCGTTTAATCGGTCTGTTTATTTCCCCCCTCTCCTTTCGCCATTCTCATTTCCTCACGTCTGATCTTTCCTCTCCAGAATCCACTTCAAATTTGAATTGTCTCAGGCTGCACCTCTTCCGGTCGAGCTTTCAAGTACCCTAAGTTCTTACCTCACCTTAACCTTAAAAACAAGGTAAGTCTTCATCTCTCCCTCATTACCTTCCTCTCCTCCACAGTCACGCCTTCTCTCCACAGGAGGGCACTTTCTCGACTGACACATTCAAGCAAAAACGTTCAACACAGCAAAACCTCTGTGAAAAAAATGTCCGAACTCCCTCATCAAACTGGGCCACCTCATCAAGAGGATTCCCCGGTCGAATATGACATGTTTCGTACTGAGCTCCAAAGTCTCCAGCACATCCCCGAGGATGAGCTGGCTGCTCGAATGGTTCTGCACCTGAGACAAATCACTCAACCTGACGAACCATTGAGTTTCAAGATTGAAGCGCTCAAGATTGGCGTTGAGAAGGTTCACATTGATGTCAGTAAGATGCTAGACAAGATCAATGTTATGTATGGTCAGGTCCTTGGCACCGAAGAACGCACTTCTGGGTTGCCCGAAGAGATCTTCAAGTTGGCCGCCCGGCTCACTCGCCTCGAGGGCTTCCTCCATCATCTCAAGCTGAAAGTCGACGTTTTTGAGCAGTACATCAAATTTGTCGAAGATGATGAGAGTGATGACGATGAAGAGGAGCCCGAGTCGTCTGATACTGATAGTGACCCTGGGTACGCATTTCTATTTCTATTTCTATTTCTATCTCTATTCTTTTCGTTTACTGTCTTACCTTCTCTTCCCTCCCTCTAGTCACGGCTCATCGTCTTCAAATATACGAGGCCCTGTGTCACGCGCTGACATACGTATGAATTTTGTTGTCAGTGACACTGGAAGACTCGTTCCGGATACTGCTCAGCCTGACAAGACCGACGCCAAAGCCGAAGAGGCGGCCGCAGTCGAGGAGAATGCCGCTGCCACCGAGACTGGCTCTGAGGTCGCTGAGGACAAGGTCTGCGAGTGATTGACTCTCTTGAGCCAATCCTCTGCCGCATTCTGATGAGAGTGCCGCATCTCTGGGGAACTCCTGTAATTAGAAATCATGGAACATGTTGGGCATGTTGGTAGATGTGGTTTGCAGGTCTTGGATCCGTTCTGAGACCGGCCATTATCTACTTGAGCTATGTATTACAGGAATGGATGTTCTATCTTTTAACGTGCAATTGGTGACATTATGCGTTTATTAAATAGGTGGACAACACCCCTGCCAGCATAGCAACGAGGTTTTACAAATGGAAATTGCCTCCATCACGACTGGCCGCGAGATTCTAAAGTATTCATTGGTCTGTCATAAATGCTATGTCACAAACTTAATGCGATTGTAACATCGAAACCTTGAATGTACTTCTTATCCAATAATGACTTTTCAAAGCCTGTCTCCCATCCTGCCACTCCCACTCATCAAGATTACCAAGTATGAATCAAGTCTCTGACCTTTTTTCTTATCTACCAAGATACGGGAAAGAAAAGAGAACACATCTGCGGTCCTTCTGTAGGTCTTCAACGAGTTTTCAATCGCGGCGCTTAGAAGGTCATCCAAAGAATTTAAGTAACGCCGTCTAATTTATAAATAAATTGACTCCTACAGAATTGGTAAAAACAGTTAATATTATGACACAAACAGAGTGGACCACAAATGCACCATAGCAGAAAAGTCGAGCATATACAAGCATCAAACGCTATATACCACCATACATAGATTCTTTGTTCAAATGTGCATTCTACAACCAACAACAGGTTTCCAGACATTCTTGCATGCCGAATATAAGACCATTTTCTCTTATAAGTATCCCTAGTTGCCTCCACATTTCTGTGCTTTATACTCATCGTCCAAAAAAAAGTAGAATACAGATTCATCGACACAATCAAGGTAAATTGGCCTTCTATACCATATTACTGCGAAATAACTACTTACATATGAACACAAACCAGGACACCTCAAAATGGAGCAACCACCTCTCCCCTCACAAAATATTCTGCCCCTATCAACAGTCTACTACGCCGTCCCAGCCGGGGAATACGTTGATCAAGATCTTTACCATTCTTCAGGATATCCAGAATGAACAGTCTGATCTTAGATCAAAGGTCGAGCAAATCCAGAACCAGGTGAAAATGTCCCACAAGGATATAAAACATGAATTGCGCAACAGGGAAAAGACTACAAGTGCAATGCTCGAATTACTTGGCGAAATCGAGGAGACATGTGACGCTATAGACATGCGCACAGTTGGGATAGAAACGGGAATGCAGACAGAGTCAAAGAGCCAGTAGAGAAAGCTGAGTCTGTGTCGAGTCAGTAGGACTGTGTGCTTGATTCGGGAGAGTTGAGAAGATGGTATGAGACTATGGCAGATGTAGAGGGATATGTTGTCTTGTTATGGGAATACTATTGACATAAGACATTTACGGATGAATCAAGTTTGCAGTACAATTTGCAATAGATGTACAAGTGGTATGAAGCTGCCTTATTTTGAAGTACTTGAGTGTAGCTGAAGGACCATAATTTGGCAGAGTCTGCACTCGCTGATATGGATGATATGAATGATACTCAGTTCCAAACATATTGATACGAACCGTAAAAGATATTTCCAAATGGTAAAATACAAGCCCTTCTTTCTCGCTTATTTCTTCTTCATCAAGTGAATCTGAAGCAAAACGCCCACAACGTGTTGCCCTTCTATCCCAACTTTTTTGATTTGTTTACGGTTTACATACTTACATGCATACCTACAAGCTAACTATTCTTCCTCACCGAGTCACCGCAGGTACGATAAACTAATTATTCTCAGGCATATCCTTCAAAACAATGGCATTACTCACAAGTTAACAAGTTAACAGCCATCCCGCAGTTTTCGCAAGATGTCTCTACCTCCTGAAGCGCCGCAGTCTCTCCCGCCACTCCAGCCCGCTCTCATTCCCATTCCTAGCAGCTCGGCGGATGGCACTCTTGTCCAAATTATTTCCACCTTGCAAAGCATTCAGCACGAACACACAGCCATGAAGTCCAAGATTGAAGATATCGAGAGCAATATCGCCAAGCTACAACAAGAAATCAAGACTAACTCTGGGGTCGGCCATATTGGCCGATACGCCGTTCTCGAACCGTCAAGCATAAAGAAGAGAAGAAGTGAGACATTGAGACCCTGCGGTCCCTGCATGTTCTTCTCCGTTTTTTTTTTTGTCCTAACTTTTTGTGCAGGGAGAAGAAAAAAACAATCGCGAAAAAATGGCGGCTTGGCTTCGGACCTAGGGCGAGAAGTGTGTATGGAGGGGCACGGGCAGCAAGGCGAGTCGTAAGTTCAATTCTCAATTTCTCAACTTCTCATTTTCTCCCAAGGCCAGAGACTAGAGTAATTATGATGATTACATGAGATAAATTCTAAGTTTCTAACGCACATGTTGCTCTTGAAAGGACCGGAGCCCAGTACAGTTACCATGCGCAGCGAATCGATCCGTATACATTTCTTCCGGTCGTTAAACAAGACGAGATAAGTTCCATAGAAAAATAATACAGTGTTGGCATTGTTCTTTTTTTCTGCTCTGTGAGACTATGTCTGCTAGATATATATATATCTCTCTCTCTCTCGCGAAACAAAAGAAGCACAAGACATTTTTTTGGACTAAGTCAATTAATCTCTCTCAATCAGTCATACGTCTCTCTCGTGTGATATTCTAGTTGTCTCGCATCTTAGACGTAAACAAACCCAAGCAGCGGAAAAGAACCTTAAGCGCGGCCCCTAACGACAGACAGACCGAGGACCCATAACCAGACTGACTCTCCAATTCGGCTTAGCACCGCTGTGTAATTTTTCGCTTAGCGCAACTTGTCGCCCAGTAAACGCTGCCTCCGAAGACTCCGCCAGGCTGCGTTTCAGGAATAGGAGTGAGTCAGTGACTCAGTGACAGAAACACGAAAAGTCCACTGTCCACGAGTCCACGAGTCCACCACAAGAGGTACGTTAGAGGAGCTAGAGTGAATATCATACTAGAAACAATGAGAGGCTCTCTCAAGGTGCGAGAGAGCATGGCGATATACATTGTATTGACTGTCGCGAGTGAGCTGAGTCTGAAAGATTTAATAGTGAGTCAAACAAATAAATAATAAAACAACGACAAAAAGAAATTACGATAAAAAAAAAAAAAATAGAAAATATTTGTGAAAATATGCTTTGATAAAATATCGATTGATCCTAAAAACTCCAATGGTTTGTCCATATCTAAATACGACACAATAAAATAAAATTAAATAAGAAAAAAGGGAAAAAGGGAAGAAAAGAGAAACATGTGGAATACTTTTAGACCGTACTGTACACAAAGGAAAAGAGGAAACCAGGTCCCGAATAGAAGTCCCAGCTAATAATGTCCACCATTGAGAAAAGGGAAAGTGGATGACATGGCTGTATGGCGATGAGAAAAGGAGAAGATAAACCGGAATATATACGACCCCATGATAAAATGCCAAGGACGTGTAATGCGGCGAGTGCACTGAATCACTGATCCGCTGGAAGAGACACGAAAATACTAGACTTCACTTCCATGACGAATACGACGACGAAAAAAAAGTTAAAACAAACTTAAGCCTTGGTCTTGGTCTTGCTCTTGGCCTTCGACTTGGCCTTTGCGACAGCGGTAGGGGCATCTGTTGTGACGGTCTTTGAGCGTTGCTGGGAGACGACTTTCTCGCCCTTTTCAGGCTTCGAGGCAGACTTGATCTCGGCCTGGGCCTTCTTTTCCGTTTCAGGCTGAGTCTTTGCCTCGGACTTTTGCTGTTTAGCTTGCTTCTTATCCGCCTTGTCTGACTTGGCCGCAGGCTTTGGCGAAGACTCGGCTGTCGTCTCCTTTGAGGCAGCGCCATTAGTCTCATCCGACTTCTCTTGCTTGTCAGCCTTGGGCTTGTTCAGGACTCCCTTGGGATCGAGACCCTTCTTGCGGAGTCGTCGGCGGGTGGCTTTCTCAATATATGCTTCGTCTTCGTTCTCGTCGAAGCCACCAAAGTCGGCGCCACCGGCGGCGGCCCGTTCTTCCTCGTCCTCGGTCATGATGGGCGTCTTGTTATCGACATCCATCTCCTCACCGTTCTGAACAGCCTGTGTGTCAGGCTTGTCCTTTGTGGTCGTATTGGTCGAGGGACCAGTCTTCTTGAATTTAGCAACAAAGAAGCCATCGACGTTGTAGGCGTGAGGGTAGAAGCGGCGGGTCATTTTGAGCTTGGAGTCAAACTTCTTGCCCATGTAGGCTGTAAAACCGGGCACGCCGAAAGTGAGACCCGTCTCGACGAGCTTGACGTTGGGTCGCTTCTGCAGGGCGTACTGCACGACAGCCTCGTTCTCCTCCACAGTGACACTGCATGTGGAGTAGACGAGGTAACCGCCAGTCTTGCTGGCGTGGTCGACAGAGTCGATGGCGCACAGGATCAGCTGCTTCTGCAGGTGAGGGAGCTGCATAAAGTCGCGCTCAGACTTGTTGGTCTTGATGCTGGCGTCTTTGGCAATAACGCCTGTTCCTGAGCAGGGGGCATCGAGCAAAACGCGATCGAAACCGCCCATGACTTTCGGGAACTCGCGCGCGTCGTAGTTGCAGACAATGGTGTTCTTGCAGCCCAAGCGGTGAATGTTACCGATCAGACCCTTGGAACGGGACTTGTTGCTATCATTGGCGAAAATAACACCGGTGTTCTTCATCAATGCAGACATGTGTGTCGTCTTACCACCAGGGGCAGAGGCCATATCGAGAACACGCTCGTGTTCTTGCGGCGCGAGCGCCATGACGGGGAGGAATGATGATGCGGCTTGCAAAATGTAGTGGCCCGCCAAGTACTCGGGGGTGGCACCGAGCGGAACTTGACTTTCAAATACTTGCAGACCGACCTTGGACCACTTGCCAACAGGCTCGAGAGTCACGCCACGGTTGATGAGGGTCTGGGCGAGTTCACGACGGTGGGTGCGGAGAGTGTTGGTACGAATGACAATCGGTCGAGACGTTTCGTTGGCTTCGAAGAAGGCGAATGCTTCGCGCGGGGGGAAGAGATTAAAGAGCTTCTCAGCAAGGTAAGGACTGTAGCCGTAGTACGCGCAAATGTCTTTGAGCAGCTGAGCAACGTATTCCGCTCGCGAGCGACCCTCTTCAGCCAAATTGTGGAAGTCATCGAGTACGCGAACATTGTCGGTGATACGGGTCCGAAGAAGTTGAAGGTCGGGAGCGAGAAGGGTGCTCTGGTCGACTTCTTCGTCATCTTCACCGGGGAGAACCTTGGGCCTGTCGCCGGCAATGTTGGTTTGTAGCGCAGCCTCCTCGAGTTCGGCCTGCGCCTCCGCGTCTTCAATAGCCTTTTGTTCGTCGAGTTTGCGCGACAAACCTGCAATGTTGGCAGCGGTCAAGCGCTCCTCGGCGTCTGAGACATCTTCATCTTCTGAGAACATGGCTTTTTCGTGAGCCTCGTCCGAATCGTAGACTTCGGACCCCTCGTCAGACTCGCCCATAAAATCGTCGCCCATGGGCTCATCACCGTCCTCATCCTCCAGATCGTCGAGATCCTCAAATTCGTCGTCGGGAATATCAGATTCATCTTCCTCATCGTCGTCCATTGGGATGGGCGCTTTCTTGGATGGCTTCTTGGTGGCAGGAGCGGCAGCCTCAACCTTGGCCTTGGCCGCGACTTTGCCATTGGGCTTTTTCGTCACGGCATTGACCTCAATACCATTTGGCTTTTCCTTGACAGTCTCCTTGACCTGCTTCTTTGCCGGCTTCTCCTTCTCCTGTGTTGTTGTCTTGCGCTTCTTGTCCTGTTTAGGAGCCTTTCCTTCATCGTCAAAAGTAACTTCGCCGCCGGCTTTGCGTTTTTTCAGAGCGGCAAAATGGGCCTCGCCTAGGGCAGCAGGAGCGCCCTGCTTTTTCATACGCCGTCCAACACCCATTTTGTGCTGTATTGGTATGGGTATAAAGTGTGTGTTTTGAGACGGGTAAGTTTGACGGGACGGGAATTTTCCCAAAAAGTATCGTCAAGTTTTCTTTTCCTCATGTCGGAGTTTCCGATTCCTGCGCCGACTGGCACGCCTGGAACGCCGTAATAGCCAAGCTTAGTCCACCATGAACCAGCCAATCACGTATTTCGTCAGCATTACCTTGGCATCATCATCCTCCCGTTCGGTAGTAGCAGTCTAGTAATAATCCACCGCGGCCTTATATCAGAAGCCAACCTTGCAGCTCTTCGAAGACAGTCTAAACCTCTGTCGCAAATCGTTTAAACACGGGCAATCGTATCCTATTTATCTAGAGCAGTGCTACAAAACCCCGCCAACGCCAGCATGTCTGAGCTCAGCTTCGCCAAGCAGTTCCTTGCTGCACTGGACACACGGCCAATCAAGCTACCATCCGACTATGCCGAGGATCCAAGGAAACTGCCTGCCCAGCGTCCTGTATGTATTCACGGCTACCTTGGTGGAATAGCTATACTCTCTCCTAGCTGGAAATGCATGCTGACTGGTTGTAATGATAGTACATTCTCCCGAAATCCTCCGTCCCCATGACCAAACGTCCTCGTCTGTCCACTGCGACATCCTCTACCCTCACGTCCGGTGCGAAGCTCTCTGAGCAACTGATCACCGTCCAGCTCAAATCTCTCCGTAACCCGCCTTATGAGAGCACACTCCCTTCTCAGACCCCCAGCACGAGCATTCACGCTCTGAAATCTCATATATCAAAAGAGCTCGGTGCACCTTTGGACAAGATCAAATTACTTTACCAGAAGAAACCTGCATCGGATACAAAGACTTTGAAAGACCTTCTCAGCGGTTCTGGGTCCGGCACATCGACTCCGTCGGCGGACAACGCAGCAATGGACGTTGATCGGCTTGAGCTGAGTGTTATGATCATTGGTGGCGCAGCAAGCATCAACCAGCAGCCTGATTCAACACCTGCAGGTGTGGCAACTAGTCCAGGCGTAGCGGCGCCGCAACCTACCCTTCCAGAGTCAGTCAAGCGGGAGACCCCGGCTCATGTTCAGGCGGCGGCGGAGAGTCTAGCAAAGGCTGCTGAAGCGGATGAGGCGGAGACTGGAGAACTGGCAGCTGCTGGTATCAGTGGCGAGGCAATGACTATTGGTACTACAGGAGAGGCAACCCGTGATGAGACGATAGGGGCAACAGGACAGGGCCCAGTGGCCCAAGGGTTGAGCGGACCAGATGTGCTTCGAACACCTGCGTTCTGGGATGATTTGAAGGGATACTTGACTCAGCGGATACGGGATGAAGCAAGCAGCGAGCGAGTATTCGGGCTATTCAAGTCTGCGGTGGAAAAGGAAGGGTTGAATTAATTTTTTCTAACAATATCTATGTCAATTAGCATACAACTGTTCTCCTGCACCGAAGAAATATCAATCTTAGCATCAAGTATCAATCACCACATTAATGCAAGAGAGGCATACAGGAAATGATCACAGAATTGATGCATGTATAATAGATGATGAACAAGTGCAATACGGTGCAGCTAGGTGCAAAAACAAGCCCAGGGTGCATGATCTCGACTCAAATATCGGATCTCAGCTTCTAACAACTAACTAACATGTCTACTTCCTAACCGGTATTTGTCAACTCGTTCCCTCTGTTGTGAAAATAATTTGCTTGCCTGCCATGTACACGTCCTCCGGTGGCAGCAACAACCAACCAGTCTCAAATGTTGATTTTCATCGTAATCTAGCTCGAAGGCTCGCCCTTGGCGGCCTTGCCACCGCTCACCTTGCCGACAACTTCGTCCCAGGCAAGCTCATCGAGGTCAGTCGCCTGGACGACCTCGCTGACGCCGTTGAGAGCGTTGACGAGCGCCGATCTTGAGGACGCGTAAGTGGTCTTGTCCTGTAGGGGTGTCAGCATGATTCATCAATAGCAGGTATAAGGCATTCGCCCTCCATGCTCCGTAAGTGGGTGCCTAAGATAGGCAACACAGATCATACCTTGATCTTGGCGTTGTCAGGATTCCATGCGATAAAAGCAATCTTGCTCCTAGAAGCGGCCAGTTAGCGCTTTGAAAGGCAGACTAGAAGTTTTGGAGATTAATCATACCTGTTACCTTCGCCGCTGGCGAGAGCGTACTCAAAATCGTAGACCGCGTAGCGGGGGACGGGCTTTCCATTGTCCTGAATGCCGTCGAGAATCTCGACAAACTTCTTGTAGCTAGGGTCGGTACCAGCTTGGTCGACGACTACCTCGGTGTAGTTCTGCAGCTTGTAGATGACATACTTCTGCTTGCGCGCCTTGAGCTCCTCAAAGACGGTCAAGCACTCCTCCGACACACCGGCGCTGTAATGCCCTCTGTTAGCAGCTGTCGCAATCCATTGAATTATGAAATTCGCCGAAAAAAATTTAAAAGAGTTCGCGGAGAGTCCAAAAGTCGGAAAGCGAAAGCCTGTCTCTTGCTTCCTTTACCCCTTTGTCATTCCCCTAGAACCACGCAACTATCAAACGTACCCAGCTCCACTAGACTAGGATTCCAATTCATGTTAGCCACCGATCATATTTCAAGCCTAAGGATGCAAATTAACAGAGAAGCCCATACCATGATTAAGTTGTGTCTGGTGAATGTATATTCAGACTATATCAGAAAGAAAGCTTGGAATGATTGCTGCTGTTGCGGTGTAGGTGCAACGAGGCAAGTGGATCTGAAAGACGTCAGCCTTGTAAGCGAGATTGGTATCGTTGGGGGTAAGCTCCGTAGGATGCGCGTCAAGGGAAAACAGGATAAATCGACGGGGATGAAGGAAACTGTTTACAGAAGTTCAAAGAGTAAGGGTGAGGGCGTTTCGACGTACCGTGATGGGAAGATTGAATGATGGGAAGAAAGTAGGGTGGAATGGAGAAAGCTCCCAGGCGAGAGTTGGAGGGGTATATAGTGTCGACAGTTTACTTGTCGTGTGATTCGGAGGGGGTAGGAGCGACAATCAATGGGCAAAACAACAAGGTACAATGGTACTTGTCATCTGTATAGTGGGGTCTGCAGTAGCCAAGTTGACACCAGGCACTCCCTGCTTTAGCGAACAAGAGACCGTATTTTACTCCACCAAGGACAATATATACGCGCACAATCGTGGCTTCAATTTAACCAAGCTGCTGCCTACCTTGCATATTTTTTGTTTACTCGCATCATCATCATCCTCATCATTGCCATGTAAAAGGCATCCATCTATGTGTAAGCCACACATACTTTCTGTGCGATCACGAAATTAATCCTTGTCATACACGCGTATCAATGGAACTTGATCCAATTAGGGTCGCCTCTATGACGAATATAATACAAAGATCCGGGTTCGCTTTTTGCCAATGCTAGAAGTCGAGAGACTCAATGCGTAGGTCGAGTGGAGTAAGATATCAGAATACATTATACATGCAAAGAGAAGAGCAGCGTAGGAGAAAAACATAAAGACATGTAAAGAAAGCGAAAATGAGGAGGTGGCGTGCTAAATGTACAAGGATGTTACAGAAGAATCATTGGGATATTCAAAGACAGAGTACAAGTCACTGCATATTCTTAGGCATACGCTTAGAACATGCCGCCACCCATGCCACCCATGCCGCCCATGGGCGGCATGGCAGGAGCGGCCTTCTCCTCGGGAGCGTCAACAATGGCAACCTCAGTGGTACCGAGCAGCGAAGCGACACCGCTGGCATCAGTGAGGGCAGTGCGGACAACCTTGAAGGGGTCAAGGATACCAGCAGCAATCATGTCAACGTACTCGCCCTTAGAGCTGTCGTAACCCTTGTTGAAGTCGGCGCCAAAGTCGTCCATGAGCTTGCCCACGACAACGCTGCCCTCAGTGCCAGCGTTCTCGACAATCATGCGCGCAGGGCGAGTGATGGCGCTCTTGATGATGCTGACACCAAGACGCTGGTCAAAGTTGGCGGTCTTGACACCGCCAAGGGACTGGGAAGCGGCCTTGAGGAGGGCAGTACCACCGCCAGGGAGGATACCCTCCTCGACGGCAGCACGGGTGGCGTTGAGGGCATCAACGAAGCGGTCCTTCTTCTCACCGACCTCGACCTCGGAGGCACCACCAACCTTGATGACAGCAACACCACCAGAGAGCTTAGCAAGGCGCTCCTGGAGCTTCTCCTTCTCGTACTCGGAAGTGGCGGGGTCGTTCATGACGCCGCGGATCTGCTCGCAGCGCTGAGCAATGCTGTCCTTGGTACCCTCACCGTTGAGGATGATGGTGTCCTCCTTGGTGATTGTGATGGAACCAGTCGAACCGAGCATGTCGGGAGTGCACTTCTCGAGCTTAACGTCAAGCTCATCGGTGAAGACGGTACCGTTGGTGAGGATACCAAGGTCACCAAGGATGGACTTGCGGTTGTCACCGAAGCCGGGGGCCTTGACGGCAGCAACCTGGAGCTGGCCACGGAGCTTGTTGAGAATGCAGACAGCAAGGGCCTCGCCATCAATGTCCTCAGCAATGATGACAAGGGGGCGGCGAAGCTGGGTGGAGGCCTCGAGGGCGGGCAGAATGTCCTGGACGGCGGAGATCTTCTTCTCAGAGAGAAGGATCAAGGGCTTCTCGAATTCGACCTTCTGGGTCTTGGCATCGGTCATGAAATAGGGGGAAACGTATCCGCGGTCGAAGCGCATACCCTCGGTGACCTCGAGCTCATCGTCAATGGTGCGGCCCTCCTTGACGGTGATGACACCCTCCTTGCCGACCTTCTCCATGGCGCTGGCAATGAGCTTGCCAATGTGGGTGTCACCGTTGGCGGAAATGGTAGCGACCTGAGCAACCTCCTCGCTGGTGGTAATGTCACGCTTGTTCTTCTGCAGGAACTCAACAACAGCCTCAACGGCAGCCTGGGTACCGCGACGGAGGTCCATGGGGTTGCAGCCAGCAGCAACATTCTTGACAGTCTCGGAGAAGATTGCACGGGCAAGGACAGTGGCAGTAGTGGTACCGTCACCAGCAACCTCGTTGGTCTTGGAGGCGACGTCCTGGAGGAGACGAGCGCCAAGGTTCTCGAACTTGTCTTTGAGGGTGATTGCCTTGGCAACAGAGACACCATCTAGATGCTAGTTAGCGACGTAATTTCGATCTCAAATTGTGCATCAAAACCTACCCTTGGTGATCTTAGGAGAGCCGTAAGGGGACTCAATCAAGACGTTTCGGCCCTTGGGACCGAGAGTCGTGGCGACGGCCTTGGCCAGAGTGTCGACACCCTGGAGCAGAGAAGCGCGACCTTCCACGCCAAATCTGAGCTCCTGCAAGTACGTTAGCGTGGCTCAATTGCATTCCATGGACGCTTGAAAATGGTTCGAATTTACCTTGTGAGCAAATCTCTGCTGCTGGAGGTTAATGCCAGCAACGGCAGGCCGTAATCTGGAGGCGGAGCTCGAGGAAAGGGCCGAGGCCCGAGCTCTGGCAGTCAACGCACGCTGCATGGTAACGGAAAAATACGAATTGAAAGAAAGGAAAAAGAAATTAAGCGGCGCACGCTTTTGAATTAAAGAATTGTATATGCGTGGAGGAAAAAGGCGAAGTAGGAAGGGAAGAAGAAAAGAGGATGAAAGACGGAGATGGAGATTATTCGGGAACGAGACGAGATGGAGAAATGGATGGACGTCGGGGAAAATTTAGGGACAACAGCAGCGAAGCAACCAGAAGCACTAGTTCGTCTATTCTTGCTCCTTTCGTTTAAACATGCTCTTCTTTAAGTCACGTGGTGCATCTAGATCCCGAAAAGCCCGAGTTCCAACCTCAACCTAAACAAAACGACATTTCAACTTCAATTCTAGCCACAAGGTCCACTTACCGGACAGACATATCGCTTCAATTGTTTTTAGAAAAGGAGAAAGTTTTACTAATTGAATTGAGAATCTCATTATCATCGTATGAAATAGCTCTTATAAACATGTCAATTTCGCACGACAATAACCGATACACCAATTTCCCCGTTGCATTGGTGTAAATAGCGTCCTGATAGATTATGAAAAATCATAAGAACAAGGGGAATTTCGAAAGCGGGATGGGTGATCTGCACCCTGCAATTTCTTTCACAAGCAGCTCGTGATATCTTCGTCTCTTGGCTTTTCCTGCTCATCGCCATGAATTCGTTTGAGAATGCAAGAGCTCAAATACCCGCGACCGTTCATCGTGCTGAAGACATATCTAGAATGAGTCGAATGGGACAGGATCGAGGAACATCTCGCCATTTGCTTCCCCGAACATGTCGATCCTGTCCTGCTCTTCAACCCACTCCTGGAAGCCAGGGATTGAATAAGGGAATGGTGGAATCTCCTCGGCTTGCTCACTAGCCAAATATTCCGAATTGACAACAGAATCTCCAAGATGAGGGTCTTGAGTTTCCCTGTTTCTTTCCATAGCCGGCCCTGGGACACGGTCGTCTGAGCTCAGCCTATCTTGCATATTTGTCGCTGAAGGTCTACCGACTTCAGCATCATTTTCAAGTTCGTCTGAAGTAGTAAATTTCGCGAGATTTGAAGCCGCCGCAATTGCATTGCCGTTGCTTGGAATGCCAATTTCCGCATCGACCAAAGGCGTCCCCTCAACATTGATTGAATTAGAGGGATAAGGCTCAAATCGCGTTTGGCGACGGCTGTTGTCTCTATTTGATCTTGTACGTCTGGCGAGCCTATCTGAGATGTTGGTCTGAGGGTATTCGTGCTGCTCCGGGCCACTATTTGAAACCGGTGCCATAGACGGGGACACGAGAGGAGCACTGGTGTCATGTTTAGGCATATAAGCCTCAAACTGGGCTAATTGATATGAGGAGCTTGCTTGATCTCCTGCTTTGAGATATACTTTGTCAGTGGAAGTCTTTATGCATTCGCGAATTTGACATTTCTCGCCCAAGAGCTTACCATATGCAGCAGAAATCGGTTCAAAATTGCCGCCCCCATTGTTCGAATTTCCTGTACCAGTGGTGCCGAGATATTGGCTGTCAGGGAAGGCTTGCAGGTGGTATGACTCGAGCGCTTGGATTGCTGATCCCTGTTGCCAGCCTGAACTGTCGCCAACTCCCATGGCTGGAACTGGTGGTGCAGCTTGGTCAAAGCTACTCACAGCCTGCATGTAATTCGGGTTCATGAGGTTAGCTCCGCTCAAGGCGCTGATCTGTTGAAGGCCTTGTGGAAGAGTGGAAAGATTGTTGTAGCTCGCCATGCGGGCTTGAGTGAACTCGTGATTACCGTCATATTGGTCGTGAATATTTACCTCATTAGCGCCGATATTACTCGCAGGGAAAGCCTGTTGGCTCATCTCGTTTGAAGGTTGGGACTCGCTAGCAGAGCTGCTTTCAGTGGGGTTGCTTGAGATATTCTCCCCAAGCTGGCTATCTGTTGTAGCCTGGCTTGGCCAGTGTCTCAACCCCATTGGAAATCTTTCTGATCCGCTCTTGATGGGAAGAACAACAATTTTACTAGGACGACGGGGTTCGTCAGCCGAAGAGTTTGGAGAAGCGGCGAATTCCATCAAAGAAGCTCCTAGAGAGACTGACTCCTCTACTTCAAAGTGTCCGGGGCCCGGATACTGCGAATTGAGGGCCTCAGCGCGTGTCTGTTCAGTATTTTGGTATGAGACGTAATCTTCGTCAGTGAGTAAGGTCTTGTGTTCTTCGGTTACTTCAGAGTCCCAAGGATCATCATTCACTGAGTCCTCCTCATGTTTGATAGCCACAGCCGGTGCCTTGCGGGACCGAGGCTTTCTTTTACCGGCACGAGTTTGCTTCTTTCGCCCTTTTGGTTTCGATTCACTATATGTTTCGTCGCTTTCTTCTCCATCATCATCGAAAGCAGTCTCCGTCTTGTTGGATGTCATGGACAGGCCCTGCTGCTCAGAAGCTAGATGCGGCAACTGATATGTGGCAACCTGCGACAGATCGTCCTCCTCAGCAGCCAAGCCTGATACACGGGACTTTTTACCGCGCCGATTGCTAGCGGGAGGGACGTGGAAACCCTTTCGTTCATATTGGTCTCGAAGTTTTGCCTGATGTTGCAAAAGGGCGCCAACGGTAACATTGGGTCCGATATGGGGTACAATTTTGTGCCACGGAATCTTAACTCCTTCTTCCTGGCACACATGTTGGATCCAGAGACCCGTCAAAACATCCTTGTCGCCTGTTTCATATCAGCCAACTGCTGCAATCCTCTTGGATGGGACTAGAAAGAGAATCCACCGAAATAATTCGATGCTAGACAAAAGCACATGATAACCAGCGAACACGAAAACAAATCCAACAACCAATTATCCAATCGGTTTAGGATTTCAATTCTTGAGCTCCGAGGGTCAAGCGTGGAATGGATCGACATGCCATAAATAAAGGGCCCCAGAAGAGATGTCGACTTACTGTCCCACCGAGTCAGCTTCCGTGTTTTTGGCCTATTGACGATCTTCATATCGAATCTCGGTGAAGCTAATGAACATACAGTTAGCTGGTGAATGAAGGTATAGGAAGACGAAGTGATTTGGAAAGGTGAATCAGATAGTGAAGGGATCAACTCACCGAGAAAGATGAAGGTGAAGGTCAAGAGATGGTGACTGTCCGAAGGGGAACTAAGAAGGGACGGAATGAGACTTTATATCCTCGAGAGATTCATCTTTAACCAAGCCAGTTTCAATTTCGAGCTTCCGCGCCGCGAGGTCTACCGCACCCCCACCTCAAATGGCGCTAGGGCATGCATGCAATGGTGAGTGAGAAGAGAGTGAAAAGTGAGCGACGGATAGAGAAAGGCGATTCTAACAAGGGAAACATGAAGGTATAGATGACCGCTTTCATAACACCGCCATGATACCGGAATTGAGCATTCAGCTCGTCAAGGGGTCAGATCCGACGACCGTTTGCTCCAGAACTGGGGTGAAAACCTCCATTGAGAAGCCTAGCAAGGAAAAGACTTACCGGTGTCTTCGACGATTACTCCTCAAACCTCACAGAGAGTGACGCGGTTTCAGTGATCACAGGACACAACTCTCATCAGTTGTCTTTACACCCGGTCAGGGTTCTGGGTGTGATGAAGATGCGGATATCGAGTCCTTTAGGTAAAGAGATGATCAAGGCACTCGAGAGCCTCAAGCGCAGATGCAGCGCAACAAACACTATCAATCGTCCAATCAGACGCTCTACCATCTTCAGGATTTACAGTACAATAGTATCTAAGCGATGCTTCACTGTGAACCTCGGCTACACCTGTTGCTCCTGTCTACATAGGGCTGTGGTCTCTAGGGTAATGCATTGGAACTAGACTGAACAAATGTAGAACGGCTTTCTGTGCACTTTTCCAAGTTTTCGACTTTCAATTACCACAGAATTACATAGTATATCCGGAATTGATCATACTATAAGCCGTTGAAGCGTCGTATATCTGCAAGAATAATAGGGCTAAGCGCCATATGCACAAGCAAGCGCACCATCCCTGTCCTTGATAGCGACGCATGCCGCCGTATGGACTATCTTGATTTTGCAATGAGACTACGAAACGCCAAATCTACTGCACGAGTAAAGAGAAATGCGAACAACCATACAGCAGCCAATAGAATGTAAGACCCTCTAAGACTTAGACAAACCCTAACCCCTTCAATCCGTTGCCCTCACGCCACGTTACACACAAACAAGAGTTTAAAGACGTTAGTATACATGCCGAGCTCACATGGGGGTAGTCCAAGGTGTGTCTTTATTCGACAAGAATTGTGGAAGATTGATTAAAAGTGTCAGGCTTCTGCAGGGCTACCTAAGCGTATTGGTCCGGTCCGGTCCGATCCAGGTCAGTCTAGTCCGGGTCTCGGCTACGGCACTATCCATAAATTGTAAATATTCACAACTTCACAACTTCACAAGCGAGCTAAGCGCTCAACAAGACCGAACTATTTGTTAAGAATATTTTTCATTCCTCATGGCTAAGTCATTTCGAAAGTAATGACGGTATAATATAGCAGAGTCTTATTTTTTGGAATCAAGTATAAATATATCCCAAGTAAAGAATAGAAAACACAAAAGAAGCCGTGAAATGAATATTAGTCCTTATTATCATACATAGGTAGGTTTTTGGCAGTGGAAAGGGTTTCAGTACACGGCTGGAATATAAAAAAATTGAGATACGATATGCTAGGTCTGTTTGTCATGGTAGAGTAATTTGTCTCAATTCTTGACTAATTTGCATTTATGCATATCTATCAAGAGTTCAACGCATGTCATGATTCCATGGAACCGGTTTGTTATTTGACTTGGGTTATAACCACGTCACAATTCACATGTCAAAGTTCACAGTTCACAACTCACAATTTACAGCTCATGAATCTAGAACATGTATTCCATTCTGTGCATTTTCTAGTCTTTATTCCACTGTCATTCTCTCTTAATCTGCAGAGCTCTAAAGTTTTCCTCTATTCATACATCAGGCCGAGAGGCAAACCCCATAGCTTGGTGTAACGAAGGTTACAAGGGTTGCGGACAGATGATGGCAAGAAGCACAAGACACGGGCAGAGGTCACGGGAAGAGGTCACGGGAAGATAGGAAGAGAGGAAGGCGGAGGTCATCGGCAGAATCTATGATCTGTGGTGATTAGTAGAAGTTAGGACAGAACACAGCTAATCAGTGCTGATCAAAATTTATGGCTAATGGAACAGATTGTCTATATAAGGAGGATGGATTTCCTACGTAGTAAGTTTGTTCTGTGTAGTTCTTGACGTTATTAAAGTTATCGTTAACAATATTGAAGTTACGCTTTAATATTGGTTATCAGTATACAGATATTAGTTCGGCAACAATTCTATTGTTTACTTTTATCGACCCAGACCTGAATCGCTATTTCACCTTGCGCTTCTATCACTGAATAATATTGCGGGACGCTATATTACTAGGTGAGAACCCTTGAGATGCTGATAGGGATTATCTAGGAGATACTGCCCGACGCCTACTCGTAGGTGTCACCGTAGCACTTGGGCATCAATACACCATCTTGATTTTAGATTTTTGACTCGTCAAACAGAAGAAGAGAAAGAGAAAGAGGACACGAAATGTCATCATCGCCTTCAGCTTCTCAGCCCCAGCACCAGCACCAGCGCCAGCAGAACACGACAGAAAATGCGGAACTTTCGTTTCTCCGCCGCGAGAACCGCGTGTTGAGAACTCAGCTCGAAACACTTCGTACTCGACTTGATGCGGGGATCGTCGAGAATAATCCTTCCGTTTTGTCCGTTGTATCTGCCGGTATAGCCGCTGCCACTGCCGAGGATGGCGCAGGGTCTAAAACAATCTCCACTGTTACTGGTCAATATACCGCCCAGGCGGCCCGCCGGGGTGCTGGAACAGACTGTGGAGCTGGCACCGGAACTCCAGGAATACCCATCAAAAACAACAACAGCAACAGCAACACCACCGCCTCAGAGGGTCCTGTCAAGGTGACGTATTTCTGCGAAGCATGCGTGAATAAACTCGCCACGGATCCGTCGACTCAATGCACGCGCCGAGCGGGGTCGACGTTGTGTGATAATTGTCGCGGTGGAAGACGGTCTTGTATTCCTGTAAGCTCCCTTCCATTCCAGTTTCTACATCTTTTTTCTAGATTTTATCTTACTTTATCTTGTTTATTTCATCTCGATCTCTCGTCCCTTTGTCTCCCATCTCTCTGTCTTAGATGACGGAAAACAAGAAAACAAGGGAAAAAAGAAGAAGAGTGAATGAATGAAACGAGTGATGGAAAAATATTAACAAAATCTAGGTTCCTCTACCGCGCTTCAGTCCCCGTCTCGAGCGCAACATCCACCTCGCTCAAGAAATCATGGACAAAGCAGACAAAGCAACGCACGAAGAAAAACTTGCCCAGAGACGAGCCGCGCGTGCGCTCAAGGCTGTTTTGGAAAAATACCGCGCGGAAACAAAGCTCCCTGTTGAACCGAAACAGCGCGAGGTCCGCATGTATGACTTGAAACGGCGCAAGGTCGAAGCATTAGAGGAACTGGTTGAGCTTGGACGCATGACGGTATGTATACTTTGTTTGTGTGTGTTGTACGTGGTACTTTCTCCAGTTGCTTAAGAGAAGAAATGGGAAAAAGAAGAAAGACAAAGGAAGAAGAAAAAGGGTTAGCCTGAACTAATAAATTACGGATAGTTAAATCTCCCGCCTGCGTCAGCTGGACCAGACCCCGATCCGTATGATGATTCGTTGGGAGAAACTGTGAAGAAGAGGCCGGGCCAGACGGTTCTGGAGGGGGAAAATGTGCATGAAGGGGACGTGGTAAAGAAGGCGAAGAAATAGGTGGTGGGTATTGTGACTGTGTTCAAGTGAGGCGACCAGGAAAATTGAAGTGGTATATCAACGGCTTTGCATGTGAGGATGGAAAGAATATTGCAATGTAAGCAGTGTTTACGGTATTGGTTACAGTTAAATCGCGAATGAAGTTGAGATAGAGTTTAGGGTCTCGGTTGGTGCGTGGCTCGCTCGGGCCGGCGTTGGACAAGACATGGCCGGAAGGAATTTAGTCTCGGGTTTTACCTCATTCGCGGAACATTTGAACGTCAGAGAGAGATAGAAATAAATTGAAGAGTCGCCGAAAATATATTTTTTTACGATCTTTTGGTTTTACCTTTGCTATTTAGTATCCGGAATATGTATCAAATTTCGTCGACAAGCCCGTCTTGTAGAAAAATGATAATGGAGATCAATAATGAACCATTCTTGGCCGCCACAGAATCAGACGTGTTCCTCTGCATCCAAACCCACAATTTCCGGACCTTGGTCGCCCTGCGCAAGACTCTCATCGCCCATATTCAAGCCCGCAAAGCCCCCGCGAAATGACATACCCGCATCTTCAAACGTCCCAACGTGGTTGTACGATCCCACGGTATATCCAGGACTATCGGAATGCAAGTATCCGCCGTACGTAGCAAGTTCGCTCGCACCATCATATCCGGTACTGCCGCCGACAACGCCAAAAGGATCATCAAGCGCTGCACCACTGATAAATCCTCCGTTGTTATTATCATCGTGGGAAATAGACCGGTCAAGAAATCCGGATAGTTCTTTCTCGGCGTCCTCGCGTTTAATAAGCACCTGTGCGTGATTCTCGGCATTGAAGTTGAAAGCGCAAGGTTCTTGCTTGATGCGTGAAGACAAGCATTCCTCGTCATCAGCCGCAATTTCGCCGCTCAGGTCGCTACATTTCGCCAATTTGCGCTTCTTAGAGGAGCCCCCCTTCGTAGTGGTAGATGTGCCGGTCTCTTTGGACGGAGTGCTTGGGGGACTGGTCATGGCGCCGCTGATGGGCGAAATGCCGTGGGCTTTCATCATTCGTTCATATCGCTTGGCTCTACACAACAGTCAATACTAGTTCCGAAGTATTTTTTATCCGTGGTGGAGCGAGTGGAAACTTGGTTTGTCTAGCTGTGGAAGAGTGAAGTCTGCAATTGAAGCATTGAGAGACTTACGCGGCGCCTTTGCTGACAATTCCACATTCGTTGGCAACTTCGGAAAAATCAACCTATTTTGTATCAGCAAGACGAGCATATAAACACAAACGGTACGAGTGAGCGATTAGAGGTTATTTGTTTTTACAGAGTGGTAGACCGAAGCAGGCAGATGAGTTAGGGAGAGTTTGACGAAGGGTATATTGTAGGAGGGGCAGTGGCTTACCTTGCCATTGTTGGAATATCTGATGCAACTAATGAGAAATTTGAACTGTTCTTCGTTGCTGGCGGGAGGCATGGTGAGCCGCGAGTGAATTATTTAAAAACGGGTCGGAAGTGGCTAGAGTGAGTTTGCAACAATCCTCTGTCTGACTGTGTCCGGCTCTGGGAGATTTTTGACGTCCTCAAAGCGAAAGGAAAGTGAGGAAAGTTGGGATATTCTCTGACGCAAATGCCGTTTGAGATTTAGGGATTTGTCAAGATTTTTGACGTTGGGTGTCTGATAGAAGAATGAGATGAGACGGTGAGAGGAGAATAAAAACTTTCTCCGAACTGCTTCTGATCTGTGTAAGTTTGACTGCCAAGGAACTAAATGAGGACTCAGCTGCAGCTCAAAGTAAAGGAATTGAAAGGCTAAAGAAGCCAGAAGCGAGGCTGATGGATATCCAGAAATAGCGGCGGATGATTGTGGGAGGTCTACAATGATGTTCAAAGGAAATCCACTCGCAGATGCAGTTGACCGTGAGCAAACACACATCAGTAGTAGGGCTTGAATAGCTTGAAAAAACCAGAGTAGAATAAAATAAAGTTTAGGTCAAAGGACGGATGGCTGCAGACTGATGCAGCAACAACGAACGCACGACGATGGTCTTCTTTGTTGCAAATTCTGCTTGTCCCGAGATGCTGTGAAAATGATCAGAGGTTTGGAATACACCAGGTATTTGGATATGCTCTAGAAGGACTTAAAAACGACATCGACTCAGACGGAAGCCAGTTCCACACTGAAAATTTCATAACGACATAGTGATCCCCCGGTAAAACTGATAAAGACTCCCGCTTCCATGCTTAGACTCCCTTTTCGCTCTCAAATTTGATATCCAGATCTCGTCGCAATTCGCAGAGCGCTATCAAAGCAAACAAATGGCGCCTTTGAAAGCAGAGAAAGTCTAATCCTCAATCGTCACAGCCTCCTTCTTAATAAAGGGATTGTTGACAGGAGTGAAACCAGAAGCGACATTAGGCTCAACCTTGATGGTTTCATGAACAGAGTCATCGTCATCTTCATCTTCAAGTTTCTCATTGAGGTCTTCATCGAGCAAAATTGCTTCCTCCGGCTTCACGACCGATTCTTCATCATCGGCGTCATCCTCAATATCGGTGGTAGGTTTAGACAGCTTAGGGTTGGTCTTCCTGCCTCTTTTCTTGGGGGTCTCATCGCCCTTGGAAGCGGCAGCCTTGCGCTTGGTAGCAGCCTTTGGAGTTTTCTCAGCCTTAACTTTCGGCATATCAGCAGCGTCATTGATCATCTTTTTGAGGCGATTAAAAAGTTGGCGGGCAATCACAGCCGTCTTGTATCCCGTATCGATCGCAACTTGATCAAAATTAATCTATTCCTCGACATTAGCGATATGCTTTTTGTGAAAGCCTAGCCAGAGGGGAGCAGAAGCATAATTTCCAGGAATATAATGAGTAGTCGTGACTTAGGCCCATCAAAAAGCAGATTACTTCCAGTCAAGCCAATAGACGGCGGATACGCAGCGTATGAATGAAGCATAATAACATTAACTCGGGCCAAGAGGAGAGGATGCGAGGGCATTTCTTTAATGTAGGAGGAGTGCCACTGCGTTGCGAGCGAACGGCATTTTACTTGCCTTATCATTGACATTCTCCCCGATGTTGCGGAAGCAAGCAATCAGAAGACGAGCTTCAGCGTCAGTTGGCTTGTAGAGATTGGTAACTCCTTTATCCGACATTTTGACAGTATTGTTTGACTGTATGCAAAAGAGGTAGGTTTGTCTGTAGTTTGTAAGAAGAAAGACAGTCAACTACCCAAAGACACTGGGAAAATCTATACATCGTTCAAGTCCATGGAATGCTTACCCTTGAGTTCGAAGACTCGTAACTTGGATGTAAAGAAAGGAGCTGGCGGAAACCGAAACGCCTTTGAATACACCAGTGAGTAGGTTGGAAAGCAATAAGAATGAGAAGAGATTGTGTGTTGTGTAGGAAGAGAGAATAGACGAGGAGGTAAAGGAGGGAGAAATTACAAGAAGAGATGAGTGAGGGACGGGGAAGGTGAGATTGGGACGCTGTTAGTATTCCAATAAAAGCTCAGTAAAACTTACAGAAGAGGCTCTTGAAGAATGGATTGCGTCTTGAAGGAAAAGTCTCTGAAAGAAATATCAGGTAGGAGAGGGCGGGGTAAAGACTTCTGAGGGATATGAGAGATGATTAATGAGCAGCCAAAAGAGAAGGGAGAAGAAGGGAATATAAGTGGTTCCTGGGTTCAGAAAAGGGGGCCGGGATTTCAAGTGAGCTTGACGCGAGAGTTGAGGGAAAGGAGTGATTTCAGGGGAGGAACAATCCTTGACTAGAGGAAGAAAAAATATATCCCATGAATTCTCAAATGTAAGTGAGAAGGCAGATAATGGCTCGGAGACAGAGAATTTCAAGACGAAACCAAAGTAATGTTGTTACTATAATATATCTCTAGAGTAAGCTATCATTCTCGCTTCCCCAGACATGCTAACAATCAATTATCGGTCTCCGTGTTCTTCTTGACCCTTTCAAGACGAAATTTACCATCACCAATCTTATCGACACCCCGAAGACTTTCAGCATGTTCCAACATCCACTGCGCGAAGAGCATTAGGCCGGTGTCCGCTCCAGCAGTCCCCTGGTCAATCTCATGTTGTGCAATGGAAGAAAGTAGCAGAAGCCTTCCGTCAAGATCAAGATGGTCGAGTTCACATCTTGCTCTTTCGATACATTTCTTACATTTAGTGCACCAGTTATGTCTTTTGACAAAAAACTCCGCAATTTCTTCCCGATCAATCCTCACCGTGCCTTCCTCCTTGTTCACTGTTGTGAATCTGTGTATTGTAGGATCCTCTCTTTGAAATCGCACCCGTTTTTTAGGACGTTTGTTTTTGTCTTTTGCTCCACTTGGTCTCTTTAATGCAGGTGGAGCGATTCGGGGAATTCGAGGCATCTGAGGTTCCGGAGTCGCGCGTGTTGGGGTTGGCGGCAGATCTAGAGACGGCGAGCTGGAAAGACTGTGGCTGCTTCCACTCTCATTAGAAAGCGTATGACTGCTACTGCTTCCATCGCTCTCCGTTTCCATTTCCGTCTCAGTCTCGTCAACGTCCGGAAGAATCACTGGTATAGTAATACCAAAGCGACTTTCAAAAGACTTGAGACGATTTCGCACGCACATTGCGTTCCTGTAATCCAGAGCATTCTTGCATGCTTCAGCATCCACCTAAGTATCTTTCATTAGCAAGTGACCATTACACAAGAGCAGCGCCTCGCGTGCTATACTCTATCCCCCAAAGGTCTTAGAGACGAGGTCCTTTTTGACTTACCGCCCAGACAGTAGTATGTTTCAAACACGCTGCAAGAAATTCGACATCCATCGCCGGCATCATTCCTTTTAAAAATTCGGGGCTGACCGGTGGATATAGCCAGGTCTTGACTTTCTCCTTTTTGGACATCTATCACCAGCCAATCCAAGTCAGCAAGTTACCGACACCTTTATTAAGTGACTCATATACCTCTGCTATTGATTTGTTGATAAAGAAATAAGATACGAAAATATAAAGTTTTTGTTTTGAGACGGTTGCCAGATTTTTGTTTTGGTAAGAAAAGTCAAGGAGGGAGGAGAATTTATGTCAGGCGAGCTCGTTGGAGTGAAGAATAGTGAATCTGGAGGAGGAAAAAGCGGGGGCCTAAAGGGGCACAACGCCCTTATACGATGAGAAAGAGATTTATTTGATTAGAAGGTAATTTCCAAAAATTGCAGTACAGGTTTCTTGAGACAATTCTTAGCATGAACCTTACTGAAAAGAGCTTTGACTTCCGTTTGATATACGTTGCTACCCATATCTAAATATGAGGGATCTGGTAGGGAAAAACTTTAGGGTTCCTAACAGGAATTTAATTCAGCATAAAAAATGACGTGCATTTTTATAATTCTTTTTCTTTGTATTTAGATACGAATTGGTAAAATTAAAATCTTCTCAATTAATGCCTTTCAAACGCAATTTTTTTATGATTTTCAAGCACAGTGACTAATAATGATACTAATGCTAACCTAACATTATATTTGCTCCGAGTTCGAACCTTGACGGAAAAACTTCCATAATGAAATTCCCTTGAGATACGGTGCTGACTATAAAGCAGCTACTCCTCGTCCCATCGTGGCTCGACCTTGACCCGAACGGGAATGACACTCTCAGCGGGTGGGTAAACTCCAGCAAAGGGCCCAAAATCTTTTCGGTCCGGCATCATCTCGGGCGCCACTTGATGCTGTTGCGGGATTGGCATAACCGACATCATTCCCATATCCATTCCCATCATATGGTGATCGCTGACAGTGGGTTGCACCAGGCCATGAGTGAGAGAAGGGGTAGTGTCGATACTGTAGAGGTTCGAAGGGGGAATATCATCAACACGTTCGTGTTTGATGAATGGAATAGCTCGCGCAGGAGCGCATTCAGCATCGTCCGTCTGACCGTTCATCTCGTCATATTCGTGCTTCTTGACGACACTCTTTTCCTTGTCCGGATTTGTCTTGACCTTCTTCGGCTTTGGGCTCGCGCGACGTCTTGGAGATGGTACCACGCCCTCCATATGCTGCTTGAACCGGGAGAAGCGCATGCGCGCGGCGTGGCCATTGGTAATTTCCAGCTGGCTCGCAACAGCACTCCAATCAATCTAAGTGATATCTATCAGTGAAATATTCTCCAAAAAAAACAGATGCCTGAAATTACGTGAAGACATACCGATTTGAGATCAAGCTGCTTCAGAATCGTGTAGAGAAATTTTGCGGTTGGACCGTCTGTCGGCATTGTCTTGGACCTGCGAAGAGTAGCCATTTTTCTCAAATAACTGCGTGATGCTATTTCGGCGCTTGAGAAATGAATTGAGTGAGATAGAGGATCTCTAGGAATTGGGATAAGAAGATATTGACACACGAATCAGGCCAAATAGTAGTAATTTATGTTGATAATGAGTGAAACTGAGTTCAGGGGATGTGGAAATAAATGTATTCTGGGTGAACGAGCCATTTCAGTCTTGCCAATAACCAGGACTCAATCAAAGCAAACGGATGCATGCCGCGAGATGGAATGTTCTAGGTAGGCTTTTGAAAGGGATTGTGACCTTTCTAGAATTGACGGATAGATGCTTCGATTGATTACCTTCTTCTGATTTCTGGTGCGTGGTGGAGTTTTCTGAAGTCATATGAAAAGGCAATCCACCGGACGACGGGAAGAACCGGGACTGTGCGTAAGTAGTCAGCGACGAAACCTCCACCAGACGTCAAAATCATCAAACCTCTGCTAAAGTGAAGGGAACCAATATTACCCCAAAACCAAGAAGTTTATGATGCTGCAAACTGACATGTTTATCTTGTTTTTGTTTATGTTCAAAATTTCGGGAAAGCCGTTGGATAGGCTGGCGGATAGCTGCGCCGCAGCAAACATGCGATGTTGCAGGAATGTTGATATTGCATCAAAATGCCCAACAGCGCCCTCGTTATGTTTCTTATGCTGCTTGTCTAGAAGATAAATTATATGCCGTCTCCTATTGCCATGTTTTATCTGTTATAAGTCTTCGCTCGGCACTTTTCTCAAGGAGCGCCTTTTGCTTCGTCCTATCAGTGTTTCGCAATGTTTGTTTTGCATCGCAGAGATTTGAGTCTATGAGGGATCACTCACAGTCTCATCGCCGCGGCGATGCCTTTCTCGCCTGTCCAAGATGAAGTTGAGTTGAGATCCTCATCACTTCTGTTTTCTTTTACAAACTTCCCATCCACATCAGCACTTCCACAAACAGATCCTGAAACTCACTCATTACTCCATTCCCGTCTGACTTGAACTCTTTCATTCTTATTGTTTGCTCTTTCCTCGATTCAATTACAATGAGCGTCAAGCCTCCGACCACGGCCCAAATCAGGCTTCTTCTTGCGGTGATTGAGTCAAGCCGCGAACACATCAACTGGGACTCCGTCAAGAGTATTCTTGACTCGGATGCCAGCCCCGAAGCTCTTCGGTAGGTCTCGACACTCATACATCTAAGCAGGCTGGAGATTGTATGAGTGTTACTAGACTGTTTATTCCTTGTCTCCTCATTTATTTGCATTCAGTTTTGTTTTCATCATCTTCCTCTCCAAAAACAGCGCAGTCAAGCAGTACCCAACATGCATCTCTAACTTTTCCTTACTCCCTTTCTACTAAGATATATATATGACTAACAAGCAAACTAGAAAGAGGCACTACGACCTAAAGCTTAAATATCGTAGTGCTGGCCATGCCTACGGCTCTCCGTGTGCTTTCGCTGCTGAGGAAGATGAAGGTGCCACTGCCCCCACCCCGCCCAAGGCCAAAAGCGTCTCTACCGCTGGCAAACGTAAGAGAGTCGGCGCCGAAGCTTCCACTACTGAGGGCAATGACGGAAGCACTATCGAGCCGCCTGTTTGTTCTAAGAAGCGCGCCACTAAACGTGGTAAAGCCGCTCCTGCCGCTGCGGCGACCAAGACCCCAAACCGCGGCAATGCGAAGAAGACTCGCACCACTAAATAGTAGGTAGACCTCTTTCCGAGACAATCAAACTGCATTTGACTAATAGAATTTGGATCACTAGGCCTCTCTTCTTCATCAGTCTTAAGCAGTTTCCTAGAATTGCGTGGCTTATACCGCACGGTGGATCTTAAGTTTCTGCCACTAGGCACTGTCAAGATTGGTTTCCCCTCAATTCTGTGGTTCCCTGTTTATTGGACCCCGAATTGATTTCTGAAGGAATTATTTTAAAGCGATACAGAGTAGACAAACTGTATTCTATTCGAATGAACATGAGTAATTAAGGATCTTTATTTAAGCTTGCTGCGTAGTAGTTTGTTTGACTGGCTGAGACAATGTTGGTAATATTGCCGTGCATCATATTCTCAACGCTGATTGCCAGTTTGTTTGCTATTTCATATCAGACATAATCAATGAAACAACAATTACGTCAAATTTTGCAGCTGGAGGTACACCTTGGGCTCAGCCACATCAATCTTTCAACACAAAATTCAAACTTTGCATATTTGTATTCAGACAATTCTATCGTACATATTTCAAAACGCAGCATTAAAAGCCAAACCATCGTCTTTAATATCTTCGTGCTCTACTTCGTATTTGCTAAAGAGACTGATCACGTGTCGACATTTTTGTTTTAGGGTAAACCCTAAAGATTGCATAAGTCATAGTCTAAGGTATATTCCAGTCTTCAGTACATGTAAATTCTACGATGGTTTAAATCGTGTGAGCATTAAGCTTCCGCGTGGGAAGACTTTCTCTAAACGCGTAAAATGATTGACCAGGATGAGTGTGGTTTGCTTTGCATATCCGAAATCACCGGCCGGTTACGCTGCAGATTTGAGGTTTCACAACATGAACAACCATGCTCTCCAGGTGCTGTGGAAAATATCATTTGCTACGATACCGAAACGGCCAGGATAATGGGGCAATTTACTACAAACCCTAGAAAACTTTGCCAGTCCTCCGAAAAGCCAGCTGAATTGGAATTACAGCGTGACGCGTTGATACGCGTGATTCTCAAGGCGTTCAAATCGTATAAAGGCTTCTTTCCGTTTGAAGTGTTTTCTGCTTCGCCTCACAATTCAAGCTTTCATCCTACTACAATTTGGATCCAATTGTCTTCCTTGAAAAGCGGTTGAGACATCGACTTGGAAACTAGAGAATGCCCATGCATTGGACAGATACTTCGGATGCGCATGTAAGTAACATTTCTTATTGCAATCAGCCTATTTGATGCCTCACAGAGACTTCAAATAAATACTGACGTTCGTGATCTTCCAGCTATTCGCGCATCTCCTTCGCACGCACAAGTTCAAGATCGATATTGATGCACTTACTGAGGCGATGCGCAATGGTCCGTATTGCAGTCTTTTGAGTATCCATTCCCTCCCCATCTTTAAATGCTGCTTACTCCCTCTTACTTGTATTATTGGCTGTTCGCGACTTTGGACCAGTCGTACTACCTTCCACAATTCGTCAATTTTCGTGCACTAACATATATTTTGCGAAAGAGGAACAATTGTCACCGGGTGCAATTGATCGTCGGATCAAGAATCTTCGAAGTGGCAGAGCTGGGCCAGCGCTGGGGAATCCAAAGAAATCGGACGCAACATCGCCAATCACTCGATCTCATACAGTCAATGACGACCCTCCCAGCACAAACAGCGATGTGACTTCGCCTACGCCAAACCAGAAAAGAAAACGGGCATCTGGGCACGAGACCGATACCGAGACCAATGAAAGACCCAAACCAAAATATAACAAAAAGCAACGACGCTTCTCCCATCCTGGAAACCCCACAAAGCCCCCAAATATGCCACATACTCGAGTCGCAAACTTAAGCAACAGGCCGTCTTCTGCCAAGGATGGCATGGAAGAAAGACATGTCAGATTTACTGACAAGGAAGGTAATGAGAATAGAGATCGGATGCGAGACTGGTTAGATTTGATATATCCATTTCTCGCCAAGATCAGTAGGGATCCTGTCTTCAGAGAAGATATTGAGAAGCGTTGAAGGCGAGGCTTAGCTAGCATAGATTTTCTTGGTCAATGTATTTGCAAGTTGTAGTTCACAGATTCGGAAAAGGAGTGATGAGATTGGTGGAAATTTGGCGAGAAAACCAACTGTCGCACAATCATTATTGTCACCAATTTTCGAACTTCGGCATTGACAGGATTCTTCACCTTGTTGAGGGGCAGCTTATTGTCATCATCGACTGAAAAGAAAAGTGATTTAATTTCTGTGAACGCCAACTAAAAAATAATAACGATAACGACATTAGCTTTGGTATTGTCGCTACCTCCGTCATGCAAGTTATCTTCGATTATCGCTGGCTGAGAATGTCATATCGAGAACCCTACGCTCTTTATGAGCAATAGGCTATGGATGGATAATAAATGATGAAATATCTTAGGAAGATTATGATCACTGCATATTTGAAGACGCACATCCAGTGAGACGCCGTACTGAGTGCTAACAGGAAAACCACGAGGAAACAAAACCGACCGGTCGGCAATGCCGCGAAATTCTTAGCACAATGCAAGATAGCGCCTGGTCTTTAGGATGAAGTGCTCATGTCTCCAAAGGGAACAGTGTAGAGCAAGTTCTCATCTCCAAAGTCGGTATTGCTAACATTCGGTTCCATCTTGACGAGAGACTTGGTCTTTTTGCTCGGACTTTCCATCTCATCTCCATCGTCATCATTTTGGTCTCTAAGAACCTGATAGCTGGCGGAACCATTGAGATGAGCCAGACCATCAGCGAGCCACTTCGTCTCGGTGCCGGGAATATTGTAGCTAGCGTATTCATCATCGGTGTCCTCCTTTGGAACAGTCTTGGTAGCCCGCTTGCGTTTGCTGTTCGGGGTGGAAGGAGTATCCTCGCCTTCGGCTTTGATAGCGCGCCCCTTGCGGGGAGTATTGGGCTTTGAATTGCCGGGCTTCTTCACAGCGAAATGGCCGGCGCCACCGGCTTTGGCATTGGCGCGAATTTTAACGAGACGTTCGGAAATGGCACGAGCGGTAGGACCTTCGCGGCCATCATCGGTGGCTTGAGTTGGGTTAGTACTGAGCATAGAAAAGAGAGGGAGAGACTTACGCCAGGCGGCAGCAATTTTCTTCGTGTCGACGGTAAGATCGTGGGTTTCGAGAATTTTCAACAGGAGCTAATTAACTTTTAGAAGGAGGTCCGAATAGAATTATGGTGAATGGATCAGAGGCCAAAATAGTGGAAATGTGCTCAATAACTCACCAACTGGTCGTTGTCTGGAGTCCACTTCATAGGCATTTTGGCGGTTGTGAATGTTGGACTTGCGTGAAGTTTGTTGCGAGCGTCTGTGACTTTGAGCTATAAGAGGAGTAAGTGGTGACTCTACTTGCATTTGAGAAGAGAATCGTGGGACCTGGTACTTACGAGTGAAGATGTTGTGTCGAAGTCTGTGCGAACTTGGCAAGGTTACGGAGGAAATGCCGAAGTGAGAGTTGAGAGGAAGTGGGTGAGAGGGATCTGAGACGGAGCCTCGATTCACTTGAGGAAAGAGGGCTAGGACTACTCTTTTCTCAGCAACATATGCACTTTCGTGTATCAAAAGAATCAAGCTCGGCTTTGGGCACTGAGTAAGTGGGAAACATTGATAAAGAAATGAGATCCGATAAGATTAACTATTTGAGCCTCAGAATGACCACGAAGGACAGAAGAAGAAACGTAAGTAAGTGGAATAGAAAAGTTCAATTGCGACGGGACAAATCTATGTGATGTTCATGAAACGATCAGCCACCGCTCTCACGAGCCAATCGACTTCAAGCCTGTGTCGATGCGTAGACATTCCAGCTGTTCTGCAACAACGAATACCGATGTGGGCTACGTTTATTTCTACGAGTGAAATGGTCAAATTGCCTGCCAGGCAGCAACTCATACTCTAGGTCCATATTGAGCTCATAGGCTGCAATAATGCGACATGACGTCCTCACCTCTCAAGCGCGGAATCATTTTGTGACTGTGATCTGAAACCCGACGGATAAGCTACGATACCTTGCCGTTGCAGCAGGGGGGGCCTTTTGGTTGGTTCAGGGGTAAAGACACGCTAGGCGGCAGCGCTATCTTTGGCCCGGGGCGGCCGGTGCTGGAGTTCAGAGGAGAAAAGTGCATGAATGGGGTGTCATGACTGTCATTCGACTCGGTTACCTGCCTTGGGCCGTTGTCTGTGCGACCGATAATGCCCTACTTGGTAGTCGCTCCCACCCTCCCCCATGCGTATCCCTGAAGGGGCGCCGGGGATCTACGGATGGGCGTCGAGGGCCTTGGCCTCGAAAGAAGCGGTGTGGTAATGACTTTGCGTGATGAAAGAGGATGTGACTGCGCATTTTAAATGGATGAAATCTCAAATGTTACAACGGGGTACGCTGCATGTGGCAAGGTCAAGGAGTTGCCCTCGATTGAATGGTTCATCGGTCTCGCGGTATAGTCGGCTGCAGGCGGAGTATGGCTTAGGTAGGTTCGCCACGTTGCTACACGCTCGACCCTACCTAAGAAAGTCAGTGATTCGGTCTGAGAGAAAGTCCAAGGGTATAAAGCACATTGATGATCCTGACTGGCAATGATGCCCGTCTTTCTGCCAGCATATAAACAGGCTGTCCCACCAATGGTTTGTGTCTTTAACTATAAATAAATTACTGCAAAAGAGTCACTTAACAGCAGTGCATGAAAGCATCTTGACAGAGAGGTGTCATGATGAAACCCCAAGAGAGTCTAGGTAGATTATCAAATAGCAGCAGGATATCGCTTATTGAAGATGAGAACATCCAAGTACCACCGAATGACCCCATGCCGTCAGTGTTCGACAATGAGGACGCCGAAGATGAGAACAGCCAACAACTGCTACCCAAAAACGTGGATGCATACACATTTGTTAGCGTGCACATCAACCGACCGCATCCAGACCTTACACCTTTTATCCAGAATGAAGACATAACAGACAAGGACTTGCTCGAGAAGTACTTGACCACAAAGATGCCGGACGCGCTTTTCCATGTTGGGGACGTTTCCCTTTCAATCTACAACAAAGAGCCCATGAACGCCCTGCTCTCTTGTACTATAGTAAAAGAAAGTATTTCGAGTAAAGTAATAAGCTATTCCATTCTTCGCGACAGATAAGAGTCGAAAGCTAGCTACCATAAGCTGGGTTAATCTCAGCAGAGTAAAGATGAGCGAAGCTATGCTAAGAGGAGCTGAGCTGATCTGAGCTAAATAACAGCAGTTTGAGTGGAGATGCGACATGATAATACCGTGCAGTCTGTCTGGATACTTCAGCGAGAAGAGGACATCCCGCGAGAAGTCAGAGATGGATACACAGTAGTTGTAGAAAAGAAAGACGCCCCCAGAGTTCCCAGACAAATGAAATAATTGATTTAATCGACGAAGCATATGCGAGCATATGTAAAGCAACACTAGCCGTTGCGTGTCGTGAGTCGTAAATACAGACCAGCTGCATTATTATTCTCTTCAACCCTCCTTGCTCGAGACCATCACCATGTATGTATCTGTCAAAGACACATACGTTGTCGCTGGCGAGAAAAGACAGTTGATATCAATAAGAAACTGTATCTCTGGACGACAAGGCAGAGGGGATAGGTACGTCGAGGAATGAGGGTCTAGAAACTCGGATCATAACTGTCGTCTTCTTCCTCCTCCTCTTCATAGTCGATGGTAGCTTCACGCTTGATGCGGGCAGAGGGGATAGCCTGGCTATTGTACCAGCCCGCTTGCGCGGCACGTTCATCTTCAAACTGCTCGGCCATCTCGGTAAAGGGATTGACAGGACCGCGGTAGTAGTTCGGGGCAAACATGTGGCTGCGTGGGTCTTGATAGCGCGGCGGACCTGGCTCGTAGTATTTGTTCTTCTCAACGCGGCCGGTCTTGACGGCAGATCCAGATGTCTTGTTAGGGCTGGACTTGGTGCCGGTCTTGGTATTAGAGCCGGAAGGGTTAGCAGGCTTGGAAGTGCCGCCAGTAGTAGCAGTAGTGCGCTTCTTGGACGGAGTGGATGGTCCGGCGGTAGTAGTCGTAGTACGAGCGGGCTTGGCGCGGACATCAGTGTCGAGTTCCATATGGAAAATCCCCGAGCCGGAGCTGCCAGGGGAATCGGAGCCAGCGCTGTCATTGCTATTACCATTACCGGTAGAAGCTTGAGATTGAGACGAGCCGGGACGAGCCGGGGAGCGAGTGGCCATACGGAGTAGCTCGTCAGCGGCACTTCCACCCTTCTTGCGCACAATGGGAATGGCCAAAGTGGCATGCTGCGGACGCGGGGGTTTCGGAGGAGTAGTTGAGAACCAACCCATCTTGGGCATGGTAGGGGATTCATTCCTGTGAGAGCTATTAGCATATAATAGATTAAGATAGACTGAGAAAATGGGGTGTGTCAAAGGTCAAGTGACTTACTTGATCTTCGGCTCGGAAGGCTTTTCATTGTACTCCTCTTCCTCATCATCTTCGGGCGGGCCAAGTTCAAACATCGGCTTCGCCTTGGCCTTTCCCTTGCCCTTTTGGGTAGAAGCGAGAATGGAAGCGGAAGGGGAATCGTCTTCGGGAGAGTCTGAGCTGCTCGAGTCCGTAGAAAACGCCGACTTCAACCCCAACTGCGCGTACTCTTCTTCTTCCCGAGCCTTTTCCATAGCTATCCCTTTAAAGGGGCTTTCTTCCGTCTTAATAAGAGCTTTTTCAGCTTTGACAGGAGTTTCCTCTTTCTTTAGTCGAAGAGCCAAGCCTTCCACGGCCATCTTCCTTTTAATTCTAGCAATCCTGTTTCTGAATGCTTGAGCGTTTACATCACCACCTGGAAACGCCGTGAGAATCGGTAACGACAAGGATTAAATTGTAATAAGACTTACCCCATTCTTCCGCGATAACATTGCAATCAATCTTCGCATCCGGATGGGTTTTGAGATAGATTGCGAACAGTTTAGCGTCAGCGGCATCATCCCAGTGGATGGTGATCGGTCCGCGAGGCATCTTGAGCTAGTAAGGTCAGTCAGACCTATACGACAACGAAGAGAAACACTATCATCTAGGAAATAACTTACAGTACCTTGCGTTGGTTGACGTAGAAAGGGTTTGTTTGGGCGGGCTAGCAAAGCTTCCTCGTCAGAATCAGTAAAATCACTTTCACTCACTTTCGAGAGAAAAAGAAGCAGGAGATGATGGATTTAGACCAAAGAAAAAAAAAGAGAATTGATCAATGAAGAAGCAGAAGATGGATAGAATAAGCTTTATAAGAAACTGGATGGCTTACCGTTGTCTCCGTTGTTGTGGTGTTGAAACAACGGACAGGGCGAGGTGGTGATGAGGAAGAAGAAGAAGGAGAAGATGAGGAAGTGCATCTCGAGTTTGAAAATTACCCTTTGTGGGAACTTCGTGATAGTGTTCGAGATGCTTAGTCGTCGATTAGTCGTCTTCGTGGCCCCGAGAATATTTTGGCCAGTCCAGGCGCCACCGCCAAACATTTCCCGTAAATTTTTCATGCAAATTCATCTTCAGTAACGTCTTCTGCAAATACCACGGCACCCGACAAAGGCATCGAATAGATTGGGCATTTGGTGGTTTCATTAAACTCATTTTCAATCATTTCAAAGTTGATAAAAATGTATATCTAAGTGAAGCTGCTGGATTATCACGAGCGTCGGTTTGGAGTTGCAGATGCGCGAACCATTTAGCGAGAGAGCCCACAAAACGGCCCATACTGATCAACTAAGTCATTATTAGCAGAACACCCTTTTCGAAAAGGGCGCTCTGCTACTAAACCCTTTTCGGACATAGTCCCGTCCCCCGAAGTCCAGGGCTTTGCGGCTCCCAGCCAGTCTCGAGTGATGGGCAGCCGTTCTAATAATATCAAACCTAATAATCCTTTGTCGATCTCAACACGACGCAACCCGCCTCCTCCGGCGTGGATCCCCTGAGGAGGGTTTATACGGTCAGTTTCAGCTCATTTATAATGCCGCAAAGGGCTGCCGTCATGGGCCATCGCTTCTGCCTGCCGCTCACCGCTTCGTGCTTGCGGCTTGATTCACGATGACCGCCATGGAGTAGGGTCTGTTGTATATTGCAAGTTCCAGAGTGCTGGAGACTTTAGTCCCAGTCTATTGGAATAAAGGTAACTTTGGTCCAGCGGCTGCCAAGTATATGTACCTATACGAGTATGGAAATGTAAGTGGAAATGTGGGGCTTAAGCATAAACACGTGACAGCGAGGAGTCTTGTATTGTATGGTAGACTATAATACCACTGGCGTGACTCAAGAGATGCTGAGATGACGAGAATGACGAGAATGACGACACGCAGGATTGTAGGATCGTATTCACAGTCACGTACTCTCCGCCATCTGCATCGTACGTGGCTCCTGATTCATGACAAATGCAGAGGGCAGAAGTAGAGCACAGTAAACCGCAAGATGATTCAAACCCAAAGGCAAGGACAAAGTTATGACATGTCAAGTGCAAATATGGTCGTGTAGAGACGGCTGAATGTGTTCAAAGGGGAAATGGAGAAGGGATATGATCATACGACTGGATGTTCATTTCTCAGATAAAATGCCAAATTACAAGAGAAAATAATAAAAAAAAAAGAGAGAAAAGGGGGTATGGCGGGTTGTCAAGTCGAGATGTAAAAGTGTCAGGTTGAAGAAGAGGATGTTAAATTACAAGAGAAAATAATAATAAAAAAAAGGAAAAAGGATACCGCTGGATGCTGAGTTAAAAAAGGAAAAATGTCAAGTTTTAAAAAAATAGAATAAAAAACAATACAGCTGGACGTCAAATTACAATAGACAAGGGAAAGGAAAAAGGGAGAGATGAATGAGTTGTAAATTAAAAATATAAATTCCATACGTTTGACATTTTGGTTTTGACATATTCGCTTTGGCTTTGGCTTTTGGAATTTAGATTTGATGCCTTTGGCTTTTGGTAATGATATGAATACAGACACGTCTAGACCGAAAGATGTTAAAGACGAGGAAGAAAAAAAGGAACAGGGAGTAAAGGACCAGAAAAGGGGGGCTTAAAGGTGAAAAGGGCCCGGAAAAGATACCGTAAGAGAAAATAATAATACTAATACTAAATGACCGCTTGAGGATAAAGAAGAAAAGTACAAAGAAAGTGGTATGGAAAATCTTTTTTAATATGGAAGTTAGATAAAAAACGAAAAGAAAGTGAAAAGAAAAAAGAAAGAAAATTATAGAATTAGAGAATCAAGCTATCCGATATACCCATAACCTGCCATTGCCAATCCAGCACCGTGTCCCATCCCAGCCACGACGCCTCCGCTGGGAAGAACATCCTCGTCATCATAGTCATAATATCCAGAAGACATCCTCGTGCCACTTCCAGGATGGATATCAATTTCGTCTTCGTCGAAAAAGGTACCCACGGCAGGACCGACACGGTTCGAGCCGGAGCGCGATGCAAGAGGCACATGTATGAGCTGTGACGCCGAAGAGGCAGAAGAAGAGATGGAGCCGGAGCCGCTGCCCCGTGCACCACGGCCACCAGTAGCGGGAACGTACTCGTCTTCGTCCTCGCCGTAGCCGTAGTTGTACGGGAAATAGGTCGATGAGGATGCGGATGTAGACGTGGAGGTTGCGCTGGTGGTTACGCCGGGGTTGTCGTCCTCGTCGTCTTCATGATCATGATTGTAGTGGTTGCCAGTGTGAGTGATGACTTCAGAGTAGGCGTTCATATGGGTATCAATATCAGCATCAGCATCAGGTTGCTGGCGGTGAGCTGCATATGAAGAGCTGCCAGGAGGAATAATAAAGGATGTCGATGTCGACATGGAGAGTTGATACGCAGCATCGTCGTCATCTTCTCCGTCGTCCTCGTGGTTATTGCCGTGCGGAGCAAATGTTGAGAATGGATTCGAGATTAATTTGAAGCTCGGACTGTCGGTCCTGGTGCCAGCGCTGGTAGATGGTTTGCTGATATTAGGCCTTTTCCTGCTGGCGGTCTTGGTCGGCGTTGACGTGGGAGTATGTTGCAGAGCACTACCCGTGATGCCGCAGATGGGAAACGAATCAATATCTTCAAAATAATCATCATCGCCGTCATTGGCTTGGGTTCTTTGGGTTCTCTGGGCATTGCTCCCCGTGGCAGAAGCAATCCCGACTTCGTCGTCATCCTCATACATTGCATCGTCGTCGTCCATTATGTCAAGGTCGATGATATCAGCTGGCCGGACGTTTTCCTTCTTGATCGCTTTTAACATCTCCGTTTGGTTCTTTTTGGGGCGCTTTGTAGGAGTACTAGCTCCAGATGGCGTGCTCTTTCCATTCGAATTTGACGCTTTAGTCACGCGGCCCGTCAAGACGCCTTGTGCTTTCTTCGCTCTTGCAGAAGAAGCGGTGGGCGTTGAAGGTCCAGCAGTAGATCTCGCTCCGCGCTTGGTAGGCGTGCACGTTCCCGAAAAGTCTCCGTCAGGGTTTTGTCCTCGAGATTTACGAGGAGTAGATTGTCCGCTTCCTCCATTGCTTCGCACCTTGCTTCCTCGCAGGGGAGCTTCAGGGCGATGGCCATTTTCGATTTCCTCCCGCATTTTCTTTGCAAGTGCACGGATGGACCGAAACTGGCCCTCGATGGAATCGTACGTCGCACCCTCACCGAACATGCTTGCTATGCGCTGGTAGTTGAGGACCTGTATGGGTCAGCTTCCTGACGCTGCAAACGAAACTGAGAAAGAATTGAACGGGCGAATGGGGAAGACATCAGATAATCGAGCAATAGGGAAGCCAGCAACGAGCAGTAACTGAACAGGACACACTTGAATTATAATAAGGGGCGACGTGAAAACAGACCTTTGTATCTTGGAGGGAGGCCACGGTCGCGGCCAGAAGGCGTTCAGCCTTGTCCTTGGACTTCCAATTGATCGTCATGATGAGGATGAATGAATAAATATATGATTTTATGGACCTTCGAAGCTGAAACTAGCAACGAAGGGTTATTAACAGATCGAAGCAGATTGGTGACGCTCGCCGAGTAATGTGAGAAAGCCAGAAAACCAGGAAGCTCAAGGTTTCGGCCGTACGAACATACGACGAGCAAAAGGACAAGCTCAGCGACGTGGAAAAGAGCTAGGACCTTTCAATCTCCAAAGACTAGTAACCACGTGGAGTCACAATCCCAAAGCACGAGGAGGAAGACGACCGTTGAAGCTTTTGATAGCAGAACAAAAGCCGACGATTGCACACAAAATCACAATGATAGAAAGGACTCGACTGGGGGAGGAATTTTCAAGAGCGGGCAAATGTCGTAAATAGCAGATTGGAAAAGGCCCAGCCTTCTAACTGTTCGCTCACAAAAGCAATCAAAGACCATCTGCAGGACCATGTCATCTTTTTACCCCTCTCAGCCTCCATCATCTCCGCTTCGTACCTCTCGCGGAGTGGGCATGGTTTCCTACACTCACAAATCACTTGTCCAGAGTCGCAGGTCACAAGCAAAATCACATAGCAAATAGTCTAAATGCAAGAGTTAGCCGGGAGTGATTGCCAAGGAGCGGCGACTGGCGCGATACTTGACGCAGGGGACAGTTATAACGTAGGGGGTCACACAAAGGCTGAAAGGCGTCACATCTTCACTGTTTGGCGCATATTGTGGCTGCAGCATCAGCAGAGTGTCGATTAAATGGATGGCCAAAGAAACTCTAATCCTTGTAGCGTAGCAAAGGGGAGTTAAGAAGACGGTTGGCGGGGATGGGTGAATCGGGGAAGTGGAAGTGGTTGCATACATCGATGCGAAGCGGTGACAGGGGTACGCCGAGCGAAAAGGGCTAAACCCCACCCTAACCTCCCATATCACATTTCGCCCAGATGACGAGCACGGATGCGTGCAGGACCTCGAGAAGCTGCCTAAATGATATAATGGCAAAGTTGAGCGCCGTTCTGGTCCAAATGAGCTTTAAGACTCGCTTTCTGATGAAGCTGATGCGTTGAAGAAACAGAAGTCTTGACTGGATAAATTGATCAAATATGACGGTTTCTATCCCCATTTTCGCACGAGGAACCCATTAAAAGAAATTCTGGTCTAGTACTAGCAATATGTACACTATAACCTTATACGTTTCTTTTGCTACTTCTATAATAAACATTGCTTTGGAGCCATCCGAGAAGCTGCTGGCTGCGTGCCACGACCGCACCAATACTGACGAGTAATCCGCAACCTCACCGAGATTAATGTCCTACCACTTTGTCCTCCAATTCCACCCCTTTACTTTGACTCTGACCCATATAAAAGATAGAAAGGCAGCCACGTAGCTGAGTCCGGCAAAAAGAGCAATGCCCCAATACTTTTCTTTTCCCGTCGCCTCCACCGCATCAAGAAGACTCCCAGCAATAGGGAGACTTGCCAATACCCCAAAACCTACTACTGTGTAGCAGGTCGCGTAATATCGTCCATATTCTTGAGTTTCACAAAGCTGGCTTAGGCAAATTGGTGTCAAGCTAACATTGGAACCGCTGAAGAAGCCGAACAGTAGAATAAAGACGATCAGGAGTGCATAGTTTTCCAGTTTTGGTACGAGAATGTCTGGTAACCAGAAACATAGAACTGATACCATGCAAAAAAACAACGAGACAATCATGGTACTGTAGCGGCCGAATCGATCAGCCAGATCACCCGCCACGTACCGGCCAACGCATGAGGCTGCATTGAGAATCGCGAGAAGCTGATATGCGAACGCTGCCGATCCGGTCAGAGCCTCCTTATCGGATAGATGCTGTCGATCGATGTAGTAGCTTGGTATGTATGTGATCGGTATAAAGTATGCTAGATCCGTCAGGAGGACTCCAACGGTCGTGAGTGCCATAGCTCCTGTTCCATCCATGAAGATTTTCGGGTCTGGCAATGTATCTCGCCAGGTGGTTTCCGGTCCTTTGCGCGATGGAACTCTACTTCGGCAAAACGCCACACTGAGGGCACAAAGCACAATCAGCACAAACCCCAGGATGCGGATCGACCATCCCCAACCAACTTGAGGGAGGAGCGATTGAATCATCAGGGGGAAGAGAACGCCGCCAAAACCGCCTCCTATGAATGCTATGCCACTGGCGAGACCACGACGCTCCATGAACCAATGAGCGACGCAGCCCATTGATGGGGTGAGGAGAAGGGATGAACCAATACCGGTTAAGATGGAGAATGATAGAAAAATCTGGTAGTATTCTTTTCAGTATTAGCAAGCAGGATTTTATAAAGGTCAGAAGACTGTCAGTCTCAGTAGAGCGGCACGAACATTGAAAATGCATGGAGAATTGTATGAAAATTAGTCTTACTTGTACATACACTGAGTGAGAAAATGCCAATGAGAGTGCAAATAGTGCCTGCAATCAACAGTGCACGCGGGCCCATTGCATCAAAGGTTGGTCCAATTTGTACTCCACAGACCCAATTAACAAAGGCGTAGACTGAGAATATCCAGCCAAGAGTGGATGAAGTGACTTCCGGTAAGAGAACTTTTGCAATAATGACTTCGAACACACCAGATGTGTTGTAGATGCCTAGCGATGCGGTTAAGCCACACCACGCACCCAACACCACTAGCCACGCATCACGACCACCCTCAGGATACGTGACCGCGACGTGGACAGGTGCTGGGTCGGCTTTGTTGGGAAGACATTGCGGTGCTTCGAGGCAAGGAGAAGCAGAAGAATGTCTGTTATCAATGAGCGTCTCTTTTTTGTCGTTCGAGGCGTGCAAAACATCCATCAGGGATAAACAATTTTTGGACCTCGGTGCCGCAGTATCCGAGTGCTTTGCTCAGCAAGTGTCGCAATGCTTGTACGGAAGCAAGGAAGAACGCAAAATCTGCTGCTAAGATGGGTTGCAAACTTCTAGCAATTTTATAGCAAAGAACATGCTCTATATATATATGTGTGTGTGCTCGTTGTTATACATCTTGATGAAAAAGGCAGTAAACAAGAATTTGATTGAAACATGTCCGGGCAGAAAACAAAATAGAAAGCACAAGAAATGTACTAAAAATGACTAATTATCAACAAGTAATAGAACTGTGAACCCACAATGGCCAATTACAGCCAAATACACGCTGCGTATTCATAATTAATGATTATCAAGCCCTGAGCTTGGATAATAAACTCCGTCATGCTAAATGTTAGTGGAGATAAGTTAAGGCTGATCAACCCCTGTTATTGTAGTGGAATTGACCAATCAGAGCCAAGCACAAACAGTGTACTCAAACTGGCCAATCATTAGCAAGCCCTCCGGTTGAGCAGCTATGACATATACTGGGCTATAGAGTAGACCGAAAGCTGCAATACCATTGCACCGTCGATTATATTAGTTCTTGCGTAATTGACTAATGTCCTTTTCTACATTATATCTGGTTTAGGGCCTCCGCCGGTCTAGTCCGGGTTGGTCTTGGAACCAGTTCTCCCGGTCGGGTCGACCACCGGAACCAACCCAAAGACCACCGGTGCCCACCGCCCTCAATACCGTAGTAGACACCGGAGATGTAAGTACGGGCTTTGACAAGATCAGGTGTGAAATCGAATAAACTTTATCATGTGAAGTATAGTACCATAATAGTGCCCTTAGCCAGACATCACGGACCTCATACATCCATTCATTCAGTCAGTCAGGTAATCCTATTTCACATACTGTGTACATCACTCGATTTAGTCTTATCATTACACGTCCATCCAAAACACCCTGGCCCACTCGTCCCAGAGACTCGTCTCAACATGCAAACCCAAACTCTAAGAGCCTCGATCAACCGTGACCCATTTCAAAGCTCCCACTCTCGTTGGCTCGCGCTTATACACCGCGCGCCTTCATCCCACTCATCCTTCGTCTACGGCGTCAAATCCACAAAGATCTACTGCCGCCCTACCTGTAATGCACGCCCTGCTCGACGAGCCAATATCGTCTTCTACGACACAAAAGACCAAGCGCAACGCGATGGCTACCGGCCGTGCAAGAGATGTCAGCCTGACAATGCGAGCTTCGTGGGGAAAAGAGACGAGCTTGTCACAAGGGTCATGGCGCTGTTGTGGACAAAAAAGGATGGTGGGTTGATGATGAAGCGAGGCTTGAAAGAGCTGGCAACAGAGGTCGGAGTTACGCCGAGTTATCTGTGCCGTGTCTTCAAGAAGACGATGGGCGTTACAGTTGGAGAGTACATAAAAGAGTTTGAGAGGGAGACAGGCGAGGGCGAGATAGAGAGCGAGGTCCAATCTCTGTCTCCCAGCGAATATGGGTCATCAAGTGTAGTGGATGTGGCGACGGAGTCCTTGACGACGGCAATAATACCAAGCGGCCTTCTAGTGCCTCCTGAGGTTCTGTTGGGAGAGTTGGTAGAGGTGGATATGGGGAGTATTGAAGAGGATTTGGACTGTAGTGTTAATTTTGGCGACTGGGTCTGGACTGATGACTTCTTGAATGAAGGATTCTTGGATGGCGGCTTCTTGGATGATAGTATCTACGAATTGACATGGCATGATTCAAGGACCTAAATTAGATATCTATATCTAAGCAAAGGCGGAATACGTTAATAGAATAATTATTAGACGGGTCTAGGACAATTACATGACATCAGAGCCAGAGTAGTAGTATATACCATATAATAATGGTACTGCTAGTAACGTCCTCCAGGTATGCAATCAAGCAGCCGTGCAGTCGGTATAGATTAACCGCGGGAGATCTTACTGTAGCTGAAACTGGGACGGACTGGATCTGGTCCGGGACCCAAAACGAGGACTGTGGGTTAACAATTCTCATGCAGCTGGAGACAAGAGCCATTGGTCGAGGTTTTGCTGGTAAGAAGTCACAGGGCCACAGTGCAATCTAAAAAGTCAGATGAGTAAAATTAACCGTGTTGGATTGTAACTTACTTGATTGCTCAAATACCTTCCAGGCCATTGAACTCATTTGAAATTATGTAATTCACTGGTTTGCAACGTGTAAAGACAAACCAGGTTGCTGGCTATATATGTGTATAACTGGCCTCTTGAGGGTGCGTTTGATCCACTGGAAGTAGAAACAAAGTGAGCAAATAGGCCAACAAAAAAAAGGGGAGGGAGGAGAAAGAAGTAAAGAGGACGTGACGAAGGGAAGACCTACCAGATAGACAATGAATGCTACAAGGGGACTAAATGACAACACGGCAAGCTTCTCCCCAGATCGCTGCGTGGCCTGGCCATTATCTCCTGATGGAGGGACTTGATTTTAGAGCTTCCCTTTGTGAGCGTGCCCAGAGCCTAGAACCACGAGCTGCCTTCCTCTTTGGCGGTCGAGAACCATTGTGTATGGACTCTGTGTGCATGTGTCCAGATGAGTTCACGTTTGGTAGGCGCTGTGTGAAGGCGGATGATCATTCGGGTGGCAATGCTGCCAGCAGAGTCGAAGAGGGTGGTATTGCGACTTCGCTGAGCGACCGACAAGTTTTGAAAATCCCTTTTCCATCCCTATCCAGTCTTCATGAAACCTAAATTCTTGATCCATGTGAAACTGTTCCGCGTTTGTTGTTTTCTTTGTCCTCCGCGTTTACTCGAATTGGATACCGGGGTGTTCTATTTTCCGCAATCAGACTTAATTCCGAGGCGCCACCATTCTGGTTACCATCTTTAGTGTGGTTTAGATGTCTCGATTTTCAATAAGCTGTATGAAACATAGAGCTGTTGTTCTAACATGAATGCAACAATATGTGAAAAGCAGTCGGAGACCAACGATATGAGCTGCAGATGTGAGCGTGAGTTGAGGGCGTCTTGCAGCCAAGCGCCGGCCCAGTCAGAGGAGGTAGCAGGACAGCAGCACAGAGAGGTCGTCGCCGAAGGAGTGCCCGTACCGGCTGGCCCAGGCAAGGGATGATACGACCATGCAGTCGACAAACATGGACCATTGCATTGTTGCTAGTGGTAGCAGCCTTGTGCAGAGAACCAAGGAGATGATGAAGATCGATGGTGGCGGATCCGTCGCTGGCATCCACCCTGGACCGCCCATTAGAAAGAGGTGTCCACGACATGTGTGGACGGAAGATAATTAAGACGCCAGGTTTCAAGAATTTGATCGGCCAATGTCGATGTAGTAAAGTGACGTGTGTCAACGAGCATAAAAAAGTGGCTGTCAAAGAGAATTTGGGGGGTGGGAATGTTCTCCAAACGTCTGTCCTGTTCACAGCAGCCCTTGGAAGATGCCAGATCCTCCCATGAGATGTCTCGATGCATCTGTAGCCACAACTTGCTGGGTGTTGAACGCAAATGAAATGAGCGCTGCAGTCATATTGGTAGCAGGTTTAAGGTTCTTGTAGAGGTCGACCGTTGGCAGGGCGAGCAGGTGCCCGGTCAGCAAAATCATCTAAGAGAGGGACTGGATCTGCTGAGGTGCCCAGCAGCCGGAAGTGGCTCGTGAGCAGATCATCCTGAGTAGAGCTTGGTGGATGAAGATTTGACGATTTTGCGTGTATGCCGTGTTTTGAGATGAGGGTTTCTACTACCCTTCCCCAAATACCCTCCCGGTTGCATCAGTAATGTTCTAAAAGAAATATTTGGAATGGGAGAAGCAAAAAGGTGTTCATGGTGCATATATACAAGTATGGCGCAAGTTCGAAAAATCCTCTCTCGCGGGGCTGAGGGGGTATTTATGCTGTTTAAGACCTATTGCTGCCTAAACAATTCATTGGGTGGCGAACAAACACAATCACTGCTTGCATTGATCGTATCCACAGTCAGCTTCAACGTGAAAGGACAATACTTACCTGTGCTGGAAGAGTGAATATAGTTTGCGACGCCAAGGTGGCAAATTAGGCAAACAACAAGGGCTTCAGAAGGACGGCAAACATATCACCTCGTGAAGTTGGGCAGGGTTTTGTAATGTTGATGATATCCGTAAATATATATCGTAGTCTATCCCAATATGTGGTAATTAACAATTTGAAGATAAGTCCGCCACCAACCAGTCGCCCGCATCAAGCTCCGCCAACGCCGCCATGCAATATAAAATGTTAGAAAAAGAAAAAAAAAAATTCATCGTATGATACTGCGATGCTGGTATTGAAGCGAAGGGATATTCATGAGTATTTGTGGCGCAATCACTTGAGGTCCCGAAGCGTCCGACCACTACTGCCAGTAGACTTTTTCTCGGCAGGATCATCTTTCTTCGGTTTGGCCTCTGCGTCACTACTGTTGCCACCCTTCTTCTTTGTTCCGCCACGAAGCGACTGGCCGGCGCCTTGGAATTTTTGTTCCTGAGTGTTTTCTGCCTGCTCCCCTTTCTTCTTCAGCGGCTTAATTTCATAGCCGAAGAACAGCATTCCTGGGGGCAAGCGGAGGGGTTGAGGGCCAGATTTCCGTGAAACGTAAGGTTTTGGTTCGGCATTAGTTGAAGTTCCAGCAATTGGAGTAGAGGGTTGTGGTGTCGGTGCCTTGCTACTCTTGCGCGACGATAGCTTTTGTCCTTGGCTCAAAAAGTTCGATGACACGGCCTTGCTACCGGCAGCAGCGGTTGTCGCGGAGGGTGCGATTGAAGAATAGTTGATGGATTGTGCCATGGTTCCCTGGTGATGCAGTAGCCCTCCCGCAGGCAGACCACCGCCGCTACCAGCAGTCTTGGGTGTACTTGTGCCACTCTTCCTAACGGGCTCTTCATATCCAATTGGCGGTGCGAAGTCGACTGACAGATCGGTCTCCAGCACTCCGATAGCATGCTTATTTGTTTCCGGTTTGCATTCCAACACAGCCATTTCGTAAACCTGATCATTGTAGGCAAAAGTGAAGATATCGCCCTTTGTCAGACAGGCAAAATTTCGGAAAACATTTTCGAGGACAGCTTTGGGATCGGTAATGTCAAGAAAGTTGGTGGCTTGCGGTTGAAGTTTGATAAATTGTCCAGGCGGAAGATCAGTCGATTTGACTTGCAGTAAATCTCCGGGCTCAAGCAGTAATGTTTGCATAAGCTAGAAAAAATGTCTCGTAAGTATGACGCCTTCCGCATGGGAGAAACTAGGAGCTCTAATACCCAAAATGGTAGATAAATCTTTCCTTCCTCAGCAATAAACTCCAGCACACCAGCATGCGAAGTCCTCTCTTTAGCACCGTTGATAAGCTCAAAGAGCATAGGATATGTGATATGCAGTCGGGTAAGCTTCTCCAGTGCGCTGGCCGGCATGAAGACCTTTCCACCATGGTTTGCGGCTTCTCTCTCGGGTCCGGGCATCATAGCGACAGGATAACACCTAAAGTATTCGTCAAAACGACGAGGAGCGCCAGATCTCCGCATCATGGCCGACTGAAAGGCCATCATGGGATCTTCCTCGTCGTAAAAGCCGTGTGAGAACTGGAAAAGTGTCAGACGGTAAGCTGCATGAGACTAGGTGGAGTACTTATTACCATGACCGGCTGGTAGTAAAGGTTTCAGATGAAGCGAGGTCTGCTTTGAAACAGTGCAAGAAATGAAATTTGTGGCAATGAGTGAAGAGGGGAATGATCCGTGTTCCTTGAAATGATTGACAGGGAATCAAAAACGGAGAGCAGGGCCAGAGTAGGTAGATATGGTGATAATGTACGGAGGATGAAGCTCTTGGGATACTTTGGGTATGACGAACCCAGTGCTAACCGTTACTAACCGGAATAGGAAATATTCATGGATTATTCCGCTCGCTACCGGCAACTTCACCAGAAGCTCTTGGATGAGAGATGAAGCTTAAACGTCACAAACAAAACATCCACTTTAAGCCAACTTTGCTTCTTTCTACACCTATCAGAAATTCTTTTACTTTTGAATAACTGAATACCTCTGATTCTGCTGAAGCCACATCCTAGAATAACCCATATCTGCCATTTCCGCCATGTCTGGCCGCCGTCCAGCTCCGCGCCCAAAACGGGCCGGCGAAGAGTTTGCACGATTGCACCATGCAGAGGAGGGCCAATCTTCCAAGAAGCCCCGCTTTGATATGCGAAACCCGTCAACACTCGCGCCTGATGCGCGGGAAGAGGACGCCATATTAGACCTGGACGAGATTGGCAAACGCGGACAACAGGCGAAGCGAAACGCCGTGAACCTGGAAGGATATGAATCAGACAGCTCCAACGAGGGGTTTGACGCCCGAGCAGATGCCAAAGCCAATGCAGCAAAAAATCCAGAGCGATCTGAGATGGAGGACGAGAATGATATGTTTGCCGACCTGGAGGACGACTTCCGAGACGGCGATGAAGACGAAGACCTTAATCGAGAAGGCAAAAAGAAGAACAAGGACGTGCGATTTCTTGACGAAACCGAAATTGAAGGACAAGTCGCTGGCAGCAAAGCAGGAGGTCATGTTTCTGCGGACTTTTCTATGAACGGCAAAGGAAAAGAGCAAGAGGATGAAAGTGACAGCGAGAGCGACGAGGAGGAGCGAGATCGAGTGGGAAATGACGAAGACGACGTGGAGATTGGCGCCGGAGGGAAGAAAGAGCATGCGCCACGACTCGATGCATTCCACATGAAGTCTGAGCTTGAAGAAGGTCGCTTTGACGCTGACGGCAACTACGTTCGCAAAGCCATCGACCCGGATGCTGTCCACGATACATGGCTTGAAGGAGTGTCGAAGAAGGAAATGAAGAAGGCCAAAGACGCAGAGGAGAAGCGCGAGCAAGAACGCCGGCAAAAGAATCTTGCAGACGACCAAGTCTTAACGAGCGAACTCCTTGCGACGCTCATTTCTCGACTGGAGAAGGGAGAAAATACAATCGAAGCTCTAGCTCGCATCGGAAAGGGCGTGCACAAGAAGCCCAAATGGCAGACCAAGAAGAAGAATGCCAAAAAGGCCGAAGACGCAATGCACGTTGATACAGAAGCCGCCGAAGATCCCGCCGAAACCCAACGCAAACAAACCGTCGAAACAATCACCGGCGCCGCAGACCAGCTTCTCACGCGAGGCCAGACTGAAATCTACGACACAGAGCGTGAGCTCCTCATGCGTCAGTATAAACGGGAAACGGGCGAAGACTGGATCGACCAGCCAAAAGACACAGAACAAAACGGCGCGGAACCATCTAATGTAGTCAAGCAATGGGAGTACCGCTGGTCGGATGCACGCGACGGTGGAGAAGTTCACGGTCCATACGATGGGCCAACAATGCAAGCTTGGAACGGTGCAGGTTATTTTGGCGAGGGCGTCGAGTTTCGCATGGCCGGAGATACTGGCGGCCAATGGTCGAGATTGGTCGAATTTGTCTAGTCGACGTCTTGGTAATCAATTCCATTGTTCGAATGACTGTCATTCACCCAAGAGTTGAACCAAGAGCCCATAGAACGACGAGCATCTCGGGCCCCTAGGTGGCAGTGGGCTCTGCTGGTCTAGGACGGCGGTGGATGCACAGATGGGTACTCCGGTCATCCAAACATTCCACGGCGGGACCTCTTGCCCGTCCACATAGTACTGTCTCCCAGCGCCGTCCATTCATTGCCATCTCGGCCTGAGCAAAACAATTGCCACGCCGAGACGACCTTGTCTCCGAGTCTATTCATCCTGCCTGAAATGGCCGTACACTCGACGACCGTCAAGGCTAAAGCGTTTGGTGATGGTCTCACCCGAGAGAGCAAGACTGTAACAAGTCTTCTGAATGAAATGCAGATGTAACAATACGACACGACACGACACGAATCCTACATTCTCTATCTCTACCATCTGCGTTCTGCCAGTCGAAGCATCAACCAATGTACGAAGATATCACCAATCATGTCCATTTCACCATGTGCATGTACAGATTACATTCAAGCTTATACTTGTTCCCATCTATCCTAATCTAGCTGTACGATTATAGGGTTGATGTTTACGATTTGTATAAACATGCCATTTTGGACATGCGATTCGTGTTCAAGGTGTACAATATGAGAGTAATACTACGATTTCAGAATACGGTTATTTGTAATTATCGTTGATACGAAGCTAAGACGCAAATACAAGATACCGTACACGTTTTTGTGGGTTTGGTTGCGTGAAGGGAGAAGTATGTAGTGGACTGGCATGAACTGGACTGGACTGGAACTGTGGGAGTGACCGCCCTGCCGCCTTTCCACTCTCACCATTTTCCGTTACCCGAACCTCCAGGTTTCCTTCCACGCGCATCATTTTCTGTGCATATTCCTATCCTCACAATCCTCTTGTGCGACAGTTCTTCCCATCCTGCCCTTTCCCATCCTGCCCTATCACTCCATGAGACATTAAAACGAACTCAAGAACATAAAACAAACCTGGACAATTAAACAAACTCGAGTACACCTAAAAGAACTCAGAGACAATAACCAAACAACCCAAGTCCACCCCCCCAACCGAACCAACTCCACAAGTTCATCATACTTTGGTTCCACAAACTACCAAGCCACATGGAACCATGACAAAACCATGGACAGAGACAATGAATGTCGATATTCATCTCGTCTGTGCAGGGACGGTGGCCATGAGATATTGGTTTTGTGGGTAAGTGTGTCGAGGAATTAGGGGATGGAGGAACGGGAGGACTTGGATTGAAGACTGTAGATAGTTTGAAGACTATAGGAAGCCAAAGGCCGTGGTTAAGGACTGTAGGTGCTTAAAGACTGTAGGAAATTGAAGACTGTAGGTAGATAAAGTCGATACTAAAATTAGTTGTGTCAAAAACATGAGATTGAACTGAGTTAGTTGTTCATTAATTTTACAAGATATGTGTCAAGAGTCAAGAGTCAACAGTCAACAGTTAAGAGTTAAGAGTCAAGTCCATTTTGATAGTACTAGAAATAGTAATATTGATGAAAAGAATCCCAACTGTGAAAATTGGAGAAATGGAATTGTAGAATAGGAGAATAATGTAAAAAAGGAAAAAGACAATATGGAAAAACACCCTTGGAACGCGACCGCCGAAGACCGAGAGGAACGAGAACGAAGACAAAAGAAAAAGAAAGATGAAAGTACCATGTCCCACACTTTTTTAGAACAAACGCATAAGAACCGCATTTTAAAAAAACAGTAATCGGAGCAATCGAGCCGTGGAAGTGAAATGAAACGGAGAGAACAGAAAGTGAAAAAGAAGAAAGTGGAAGAAGAGAGGCGCCGGTCTAAAGCCAGACTGCACATCTAGAATCCTACCCAGGACCTCTAAGACAACTCCATTGCATCCGCACCGTTTGTAACCGAAAATGTAACGCCGCCTTCTTCGCCAATAAATCGCTTTTCAAAATCCGTCACGAACTTGACGCTGCGATTCGGATCGTAAAAGAGCTGGAAACTCCGCTGGACATCTTCAATAGCGACCTCGCGCGCCTTTCGCTTTTGTGCGAGCAGCGTCGAGGTTGTGATCAGGTTGCTTGCATATCGTAGACCAGTCTCCTCGCCAATCTTTGTGAGCAGGGCCAGCGCATCTGGCGAGAGATCGACCTCTTCCTCCTGCGCGCGAATCGAGAGAATCTGCTGCAGCTCTTCGCGGCCATAGGCGTGGGTGCTGACGATGACGACTCGGTCGAGGAAATCGAGAGGCAGGCCGTGCGGGCTGCGGTAGTTGGTGCCGCGTATCCGTGTGTGTCCGCGATTGCTTGCCATGATGACAATGGGCGCCAGTTCGTCTTCGAGCGCGCGGTTAATGTACGAAAAGCATTCAATGTCGAGCATGTGGACTTCGTCGATGAAGAGCACGCCCGGCACAATCTCGGCTTTGCCTTCTTCTTTCCATTCCCCCACTTTGGTGTTGATCTGGTCGCGCACTTCGCTGCGAATCTCGCCCGTGTCGCCAGAGAAGAGTGCGAGGAAGCCTTGTGTTCGCGAGTTGATGACGTCGATCTCGTGCAGGCTCACAGTGTGTACGACTTCCTTGCGCTTCTGTAGCTCGCCGTCGGGGCATTGCACGAACTTGGTGTCGGCGCCCATGGCGTCGTAGTCGCGCGAACGAGTGTAGCTGCGTCCGATCTTGGTGATCTTGCCAGAGGCTTTGTCAATGGAGATGACGTCTCCAGCCATGACACGCTCTTTGGTCATGGACTCGATCATTTTCGTGCCCATGTCGTAAATGGTCTCCATGTCGGTCGTTTTAATGGTGAGCTTTCCTTGCTTGTTGCCCTAGTTTGACGCAAGTCTGTTAGTATGGTACGGCGCATGGAAGAGAAGATGGCAAGAGAAGTGCATACTCCGGTGACGCTGCGATCGATTTGAATTTCCACGACTTCTCCTTCTATTATCTCGCTCTCTTCCTTGATCCGCACGCCGATTGATTTCCGAAAGGCTTGCGTCAGCGCTTCCGTCTTGGACATCTCCAACGAGAATATTTCGGACGACGCAAGCATGGTGAATGGCACATCAGCGCCTAGCGATTGAGCCATGCCCATTGCGATGGCCGTCTTGCCGGTGCTTGGTGGTCCCGCGATCAATACTGCTCGGCCGGCAATCTTGCCTTCCTTGACCATTTGAAGAATCACGGCAGCGGCTTTGCGAGCCTTTTCTTGTCCGACGAGTCCTTGCGATGACGCTCTAGGCTGGAGCGTATCTGGGTCGACGCCAAGACCGCGAATGTGCGAATGAGCAGCTACGAGGTTCAGGCCCCGAAGCTCCTTGCTCTCGGCCACAGTGGAAATTGCCTGCCTCTTGTTAGACATTTGAGGTGAGAGAAGCACAAAGTATAGATATGAAGACATACGGCAGCCATTTTGAGGGAATGAGTATCGACAAACTGATCCTCAAGGGAGAGACGAAGGTGTTGTCGATTGCAGAGGGTTTGACGTTTGTCAGTTGAAGTTGTGAAGGTTTGAGATGCACAATTCTCTACGGCAAGTGACTCTAACCAAGTGTGCATCATCCTTCGTCATTGGTCCCTACTGTACAGAGTAGTGAATGTGTTGCCTTCCGCCCCTTTCTCTCTGGTTTCGTCTCGTCTCGTCTCGTCTCGCGACAAACTCGACTGGCTCCACGGTCGCGTGCGGTAGGTTCATAACTTTGACGCGTTAGGTTTTCATCTTGAGACACAAAACAAGCTCAAATCGAGTTGAATATTCTTGTTCTTAAGTTCAGACTGATTTCTTTACATTTCTAAGAAGGTTGATCTCTATTTTAACAAGTTCTGACTTGTTATTAATTCCTCGAGCTAATCTCTTCTCCAAGTAGTAACACTCTCTCTCAGGATATTACTGGAGGCAAAACAGAGATCTACAATTCAATCAGTCTGAACTCAGTTTTCATGGTTCTACAGGATGAACATAATATTCAGTGAATAGAGCTTTTGATTGACTAGAGTTACTAGCTTTCTCGAGACCCACTTTTCAAAGCTTCACTTTAGCTTTGTTTGGGTAGAGACTAGGCTCTCTAGACAGCTCCATGAAGGTCTCTAATCACTAAACAACAATCAAGAAGATTAACACACTTTCAGTCAACCCTTCACAAGATGGGTGATAGGCACTACAATCACTACGATTCTGGTGGATACAAATCTTATGATCATCGTCCATCAGATTTTTCTCAATCTTCATCTCGCTACATTCATGAAGAACCTCATCCGCCTCGTGGCCCAAGCTATGATCGAGGTCGTGGGCGTGGCTTCTCATTCAAATTTCGTGGCCGTTCAAATTTTCGAGGTAATTATTTACCAGTGCCTAACCCTTGACCTTTAAATACATTGTCATTTGATATTCACTTCGCGATTCCTCTTGTTGTGTTCACCCAAGCATCACTTTCTTGTTTGTCCAGCCATTAATTATCATTTAAAGCCTTCAGGCTGCTCCCTTCATTTCGCCCCGTGAGCATTGTTCTGGATCACTTCTTTGCGTCAACGATCTTCAGAGAAAATTTACTGACTCTGCTTTCAGGATCGCCTTCTTCACGTGGTGGCTTATTTCAACCGGAACGGAGCAGGTCATTTCCTGGGCCCAGTCATATTAATAACGATGGTGCTATGGACCTGGATTCACTTCATGAATCTTCATCACATACTAATCGTACTAGGAGCCCAGCAGGATCTGGCTCCAATACACCCATTCACCGCCAGAGCTCAGACTCGGGTGAAAATGCTGTCATTACCGTTCTTGATAACTTCGTGCAGCATGTAACAGCGGCGGCGGCAACAAATACCCAAAATGATGCTGCCTCGAAGCAATTGCTACGAAAAAAATCGACGGCTGATTGGACGCTGAAATATCAGCAGGATTTTCCCGCTGTCGCCCTGCAAAGGCGAAAAGCAACTACTTCGGCCAAGGAAGATTTAAAAGAGGTTAACCAAAAGCTCAAGCACCATCAACAGTTGCGCGACCAGCTCGCTGCTGATCTGGCCCGCTGTCTGAGGACAAACGGAAATCTGCCAAGTGAATCTGAAGTTCATTCGCTACAGTCGTTGAGTAAAGAAGTACACGATGTCAAGTGTGTTGTTGGTCAAGTCAAAAATCTCCCCAAAAAGTTGAATGACAACACGCAAGACATTGAAGAGATGAAAAAAGCCATTCAAGCGTTGACTGAGAAGAACGCTGAGCTTGAAAAGCAATGTGAAACTGCGGTGAACGATAGCCGCAAGGCTAACGCTCAGCTGATCGCAATGGGAATTGGGAATCAGCAGAAGGCGAAAGAGTTGGAAGACCTCAAGAATCACTGGCTTTCTTCTCAGACCGCTAAGACCGATTCTGTATCCGTTGATCAGTTTCCTGCGAATAGTAATGTTGCCGATAAGTTTGATGAGCTCACTTCATGGAAGGAGGATGTCGAAAATCGGCTAGAATCTCTAGGGAATCTAGCGGATCTCAAAAAGGAATTTGACAGGACGAAGGTGAAAGCGGACAACGTTCTTGACGCCGTGTATGGTAACGAGACTGAGGTTGAGGGCATCATCGATCGCTTGGAAAACCTCACTGACAAAAGTGAAACACTCGCCACAAATTCAAAATCCATATTTGATGAGCTTGACTTGATCAAGGCAAAGATCGAAAAGACCACAGAGGAAAATGCGTCAACGAAAGAAGATCTGCCCTCATTGAAAGAAGATTTGGTCTCATTGAAAGGAGATCTACTCTCATTGAAAGGAGATCTACTCGTATTGAAAGAAGAGCGAGTTCAAGCTGACGAGATTTTCAGCGACGGGTTGGACAATATTTTAAATGCTGCCATTGAGAAGACCAAGTCTGAGATAAGTGAAGCTCGGGAAGGTTTACTCGAGTCCATCACCAGCCTTGAGGCTAGAATCAGAGAAGTTGAATCTCGTCCCGTATCTGTCGCAGATGCGGCTCCAGCAAAGGAATTAGGAGAGCCTACCTTGCCGTCTGCCGCTCTGGCGCTGGTCAATGACCAGGGAGATATACGTATCACTACAGATAATATTAGAACCCTACAGGACAACGTTGATGGAGCACGGGGACTTGTTCAGAACGTTCAAAGGGCTATCTCCATACTGGAAACGTCTGTCAAAGATCTTGATAGCAGACTCGCTCACGACAAGCTTGTCGACTGTGTGTTGAATCTCATAAACAGTATGGTCCCTTTCGAGAAGATCAAGGAAACCGAGGCTTCTACCAAGCAAATAAAGGCAATGATGAATCAGCTCGAGGAGAGTGTAACGTCTTTGACAAGTGGTCTGGGGGGCACCAGGAGTCAAATGGAGGAAGATCGAAAGACTGTGTCAACGCTTACAGACTCCGTTGGGGAGATGAATACTCGTCTCTCACAGGAAAATCTTGTTGATTTTGTACAAGATCACATTCTCGGCGTGGTGGCCATGAACACGATCAAGGAAACCGAGAAGGTGGTTAAACAAATGAGGACGACGGTAAACAGACAGGAAGATCATATTGTTTATCTGCTGGCTGGTTTGAAAGGTGCCGAGGAAAAAGTTATGCGCAATCAACAGAGTTTGTCTTCACTTTCAAACTCTGTCAAGGATGTGAACTTTCGAGCTTCCTCCGAATATATTATCGACTGTGTGCAAAGCCACATTCTTGATATTCTCCCCCAAGACGCGGTCAGCAGGGCTGATTTTGAGCAGTCCAAGGACGTTATAAAGAGGGTTGAGACGATGGTGAAGCAGCTCGAGGCTGGCCAACCAACCATGGCTACCAGGCAATTCGCTGCTTATCTCGTCCGACAAGCTGCTCAATGGCTCGTGTCCGCGATTAAGCCAGAGATGGAGAAAATTCACGTCGATATCCGTCTCGCTCAACAAGGGCCACCTACCACGCCAGATGGTTTAAATGGACCGCAGGATCCTGGGGTCATGTCTGGACTAACGGTCGTCCTTAGTCCAGAGACCGTTCCCAATCCTGGGTTTGCTGCCACCCGTTCCAACTCGCTGCCCACTCCTGGCCAACTTCTTCCAGGTAATGTGATTCCTGGGCAGCAAGCACCTCCACCTCATTCGATTCCTCCACGACCGGTTACTACTCTACCTTCTTCGGGAGCCGGCTCAAGGCCCCTAGTGCCAATTGCCCCGCGAATTCCCAGCACAGCTCCCGCAAACCAAATGCAACCCCAACAACAGATTCAGCATCCTTCTCACACCCATCCTCCGATTCAAGTTGCTCCTGGGCCACAGTCAATGCCAGTGGGTGTCTATTCTCCTGCAGCTTTGAGCCGACAGGGCCCACATGAGAACCATGAAGAAGTCCTACGATCCATTGAAGCGCATTATGGAGAGCTTCAATCGTGGAAATCCAACATGGTCAGTGGGATTCAAGCCCGCGACAGGGATTTGGCGCGGGCCACAGAAGCAGCTTTGGAGAAGCACGAGCTGTTCGTCAAGCAGGTTGAGGAACTACGCCAAGGCTTTGACAATAAAATTTCATCCCTACCGCTGCTTCGAGCTACAAGTCAAAAGAATTCAGAGGACATTGGTTCTATTTTAGAAGATGTCAGATCAATACTTGTCTCGCTGAAGGAGCTGGATTCGTTGAAAGCGACAGTGGACGAAATGAAACCTGCACAAGAAAGCAATACGGCCAAAGTAGAAGGCCTTTGGAAAGCACTCGTCGAAGAGGTCAGGAAGATTGACGACCGGCTTTTGAAGCTGGAACAAACAAACCTCGAAGAGCCCACTGGTCGCAGACAAGGCTCTGCGCAGTCTGAGAACGGAGAAGCCGCAGGACAAGAGCAATTATTTGGGGATTCCAGCTCAGGACCTAGCCGACCTCGATCTGGATTGTTTGTTTCTGAAACCTCCACTGCTCCCACTGCCCCCACTCCTGTCGAACAACCTTTTGCTCGACCGTCACCGAGAGCGGGCTCAGCAACGTCCATGTCCACAACTACAAGCAGCTCAGCGCCTGGACAGCCCGGGCAAACCGGTCAAATGCCTTCCCAGGCAAACGGATCATCTTCCTCTTCAGCTACCGCCGCAAAAGCATCATCTCCAGACTCTATCCTCGGCCCTCGCACTCGCCGCGACTCATCTTCGGGCAAGAGAATCAAGCGAGAAACATCAGAAACTACCCACGACCCCAGCCCAAGACTCGCAGACATTCCTCCTACACCCACCGTCCCGGCGCACACCAGAGCATCTCCCGCAACGACGTCCTCCTCTCGCGCGCATACTCTCCGTAGAGCATCGTCAATTGCAAGATCTGCAACGAGCAGCCCTGCAGGACTAGCAGCACTTCCGGCGGGTGGTCTCGCAGGCTGGCAAGTCCCTGCCCCTAGCCCTTCAGACAACCGTACGATCAAGAAATCTACCCCTGTCAGAGCGTCTAGACAGGGTCAAGACGAGTCAAGTACGCCAAATGTGCCTTCCTCGACGCCAGCTCCCACAGAGAGGTCACGGAAGTCTGGGAACACTCCTCGGCCGCGTCTGGCAGAACTCATAGCTGCCGGTAATACTGCTGCTAAGAGTAGTAATCTTAATGCTAGTAGACGCGATGGCGGCAACTCGAGCCACAATGCCTCTTCTCCAGCAACTCAAGCGGGCCCAAGCCCGTCTCAGCCAAGCCTACCTACATACGTGCGCAGTCGCCCTAAGAGGAAGCGTCCTCGGATGGATAGTGACTCAAAGTCTGATTGACCTTGGGATGTCTAAGACTTCAAGGTTCTTACTGTGGACAGCGGTCGGTCCCACACCTGGTGTCTTTACATTGAGTCTCAACTTGACATTTGTACTGCATTTTGCATGTGTACGGTGCATGTCTGGCATTTTAGACTGCTTGTATCCGCCACTTGTCAATCTCGTCAACTTGTCTTTTGTCGTCATCTGTTTGTCCATCTTGACTTTCACTTCTTAATCTTTCGGCCCCGATGATATTTGTACTAGCCCTTCTTTTTCGGCTTGTCTCCTCTAGACACTTTTTTATTTTTTCTAACGTTTCTTTTTCTTTTCTACACACATTCTTCTTTCCCATCTTTTGTCATATTCCTTCTTTCGGACTACATTCTTCTATTTTTCGCCATCTTTTTATCATGTTTCTTCTTTCGGACACCATTTTTCAGATCTTCTTTTTCGGCTCAGCTTCAAGAACTAAAAGTTAAAAGTTAAAAAGTTTACAATTTTATTAATTTTTTCGGGAAGGGGATTATGATATTTATTTCTTAATACACTCATGTGACGTGTACGTCGTTTCTCTCATTTTGTTCATCTTCTTTCCTTATTCACCTTTCCTTCTTTCCATTCTTTCTTGTCCACCTTTCGTTTCTCATTGGTTTCGAGGTGCGGTATGTAATACAGTATGCAGTGCAGTATGCAGTTTGACTGTGCGGTACGCATTCTCAAGCTCCTCCTTATTACCTATTTCTTATTTCTAGGTTCCTCTTGCGGATAGGTACTGTGTAAACCTATGCCTCTGAAAAATTTACCTTTACTCAACATACCTAATTCAGTTTGTTACTTTGTCAAGATCTAAGTCACTTTTCAGCTTTTTCTTTTTTCTTTTCATTTATTTATTTCTTCTTTTTCCTTTTGTTTTCCTTTTCTTCCTTTATTTTTTCAATTTATTCATTTATTTTTTTTCCCCTTCTGTTTTCATTTTTATAGTTTTATTTTTAATTTTCATTTTTCGGTTTGCTACCTACCTGATATTCAAGTGTATGTCCTTTATGTGACCGTAGGACCGTAGGAACGTAGGACCGTAGGTAGTGTGGGTGTCAATGTGTGTGAAGTAGCGTCATAGCATGGCTGTATGATGGACTGTGACTGTAGGATAGTAGCAATATGTGATTGTATAATTGTATGACTGTATGGATTGCGCTGTTGCTGTTGCTAGATGTCTTTCTTCATATAATTGGAGACCGATATGTATAGATAGATAGATAGATAGATAGAAAGAGAAAAGGTCGGGAGAAATGAGAGAGCAGCAGGCTACAGTATGCTCTTCATCATAAAAACAATCGTCACAGGAATTATTTCTCCTGTCTTTGGGTTCGTCCAATGATATCCGCCCGTCTCGGTGCCCACCACGGCGTATCCTTGCCGTCGATACCACTCTTCTGTCGTCATTTTTGTTTTCGTCTCTGCCACTGTCGATTGGGAGACATGGCCCGCATCTCCCGCACGCTGGGACTCAGGCTGTGACTCGGACTGAGACTCAGACCGAGGCATCTTCCCAAAATCTGTCCCAGCGAGCTGAAAGTCGCTCTGGACAGTATCGAGTGCGACGACGCTGCGGTTGAACGGAGGCAAGGTGGCTAGTCGCTCGGTTTCGAGCATGGCGCTGCGGCCGAGTCCTGTGCCTTGCAGGGCCCTGACGATGATAAGTCAATCGATCAGTTTGTCAGTCATCGCAGTGCAATATAAAGTACAGAGCATAATCAATGTTGTATTCGGGAATAGTGAATAGCGAAATGTGAGTCAGATATCGGAATGGGAATCGGGAACGGGAACGGGAATAGGGGATAGGGGATAGGAAATGGGCGGATGAAACGCGCGTCGGGAATAAGACGCCGGGAATGAACCAAAAGAGAGGGAGAAGAAAAATAAAAGAAGAAAAGACAAAGCAGAAAAAAGAGAGAAAGGAAGAGAAAGGGGCACGTAGAGTGTCGGATTATCATACCATGAGATATAAAGAGACATGATCCAGATAGTCGAAGACGGCAGACCCAGGCTCTCGTTCCGATCAGGGAAGAGTTCTAGAGCTATATGGCCTACGGGCAGGAATGGCATGTATGTCGCCTCTCGAGGGGTGTTGAAGATGGATTCTGCCGTGTCATGTAACTCTCCTGATTCCTAAACGTAGATCAGTCAATCATGTTGTTGTGCACTGGATTGTGGATTGTGAATCACTCAACGTCAAAATTCCAGAATTTAAAAATCCACAAGTATAAAATCCAAAAGGACACAAGGCCTTAAATAAACAAGAATCGAAAAACAAAGACAAAACTTACGTTGGGATATCTCCTAAGATGCTTTTCCACGGACTCATTTCGTTCTTTAAAGCCGTCTGCTAAAACCTATTACAGTTATCAACACATTTACTTGATTTTTCAAACGCTCTTCGTAGGGAAAGCGTGTCGAATAAATAGTATTGCAATACAGATCAACGGTGGTTGAAATAATATAAGATCAATAGCAAATGTAATCAAAACGTAATCGAAAAACATGATACAGCTACGGATACAGATTCAGATACTCACCACCCAGTAAAGAAACTTCTTTCCTGCAAGAACCTTGTCCTTCCACGTCTTGACCTCGTCGTGCCGCCATCCGCACGCGACTCGCTGGTCGTACATGCGCTGGAAATGCGCCTCGTCTGTGGGATTCCACGGAACGAGCACTGTTTTTGGTTCATATGCGTTGCTGCTCTGGGTGCCCATTTTTCTTCGTGTTTTGTTTTTGTTGCTACGAGTTGTAGCCAGGAATGAAGCCCGAGTCGCAGCTCTTGAAAGTCGAGCGAATTCGGGAATAATTATACGATCTACCTTTAATCAAGATGCAAAAGCGGGCAGTACAAGAAGTGAACCTTGTGAGTCAACAGCTGTATTTGCTTTTGCGATAACATTGCAGTCAACTATTCGTATGTACAGGTTAAAGATGAGTCATGGGTTGATAAGATAACTTAACTACCTATGCTTCGTACTGATAACTAAAGTATAACTGAAGATGGGCGACAGATGGCTAGACACGGCAATTAAGAGTTCAAGGACAAGGATAAACCCCAGTTTTACAGGTAAGGTGCAGTGCAATACTGGTAACATACTATAGTTTAATTACCATGGCTATAATGCGATAATATAATGTTCCATCACTGTATGGCGATATTCTTTTTTGGATGGAACGTTTCACTACCAACTTCTCAATAAATTAAACAACATGTGGCTGATATATATATCATTTTCCGACAAATAAATTCATTTCTATTGGAAATAAATGTTAGGTTCGCTCAGGCAGAAAGGTATCAAAAAGGACCAGAAAAATCTAATAAAATAAACAAAAAATAAAATAAAACATAAGACAAAAAAAAAAAAGGAATATAACACGGAAGAAACAAATGCCAAGGACAAACGCTACAATGCATAAATGACCGAAAGAATCTGCTGGTACAATCATTGGCTTGAACTACCTTGATATATTGATTGCGAGGCAGGTAGCAGGCTACATCGGACGCAAAACTACCACATGTAAAACCGCACCAATCTTTAATAGTGCCAGACTCGTCGCATAAAAACATGTCATCGGATCAAACACTGTCGGAAATTCATATCGTGAATCATCACATAACAATACAATCCTTCTTCCCTTCGTCTTCTAGACCTTGAACACCAGCCTGTCTGCCCCTCTGAGGCAAAGTCCCACCTGGTCTCATCCTATGTTGCTGCTGCTGCTGCTGGGAGGGTGGCAAAGTACCGGACGACAAAACACTCCCAGACGCCCGGTTGTCTGCATACGCGCTACTTCGCCTTCTCGATCCGGTTCCTCCCAATGTGGGCCCCTGCTGCTGATGCGAGGCGACCGGAGTGGTAGGCGGATGCGGAGCATATGTTGTTCCCGTAATCTGGGGCGCATTCGGATTCGGCGGATGATACGCTGGTCTCCTGGCAGCTTGTTCGTAGCTTGGCGGCGGAGCATCATCGGCAATGTCTTGCCCATGGCGAGGAGGCAGAGAGGGACCGCGTTCATCGGGCCTTGCGCCTCGCTCACCACGCCGCGCTGGCGGCGGTTGGGCTTCGGATGCGATGTATTGTTGGGATAACGACTCTTCGCGTTGGCGAGCAGCCTGTTCCCGCCTGTGGCGATCTTCTTCTTCCTCTTGCAATTGGAGAGCCAGGGCGAGATCATGATCTTCCTGCTCAGATGTCGTGCGTGTGTGAGAGGGTCCTCGGCTGGTGGACTCAAGGGAAGGATCATTGGCCGTGGTTGCTCTTGAGTCGAGCCGATCGGCAATGCTGTCCATTGCTGGTGGCGGTGGAGCAGCAGCGAGGGGCTGGGTCTGGGAAGAATGCTCGCTCGGCCGGTTTTGATGTCGGGTATTGCGTCGACTGACCGTGGTCCAGGAGGACTGGTTCTCATCGCCGTGTGTTTCTGGGGCGGTTTGATGGCTCATATTGCCGACGGGCCTAAAGTCCCCAGAGAGAAATTCGCTCCCTTCGCCATTGACGTCGACAAGGCTCTGCCAGACTACCTCCTCGTGACTGGCAAAACCTGCATCGGTAACAAGTGTGAGAAGTTGGCCCGTACGCGGATGCTTGTAGAGTGTGCTAAAATGGTCGTTGCGAAAAAGTATGGCGATTGCCCCAGGTGTCAAGGCCTGCTTCATCGTTTCAAGGCCATAGCTGGTCAGTTGGGTCGCAGAGTTGGAAAGAAAGTATTTAATTGTTCCCACATCCTCGAGTAATTGTTGTTCATCGGTGGTGAGACCATCCCGTTGAAGCTTATCTTCCAACTCTTCCTCCCGAAATTGGAGATTCTGCGCATCCTCGTACGTCTTTCCCGACCGAGCAAGCGCAATTTCTGCAGGATGGCCTTGTGAGGGAAGCCATCCATGAATAAGAGGTATTGAGAATGTGCTGTAAAACTTGAGTTCCCTGGTTTCTTCAAATCCTCCTGCTTGAGAAACTAGGCTAGTGGATGCATGTGTAGAAGGATCATCAGAAAAGTCTATCAGGTTGGGTATCTTTGCCGGAATTGGAACAAAACTTGGATTGACATTCATCCCGGTATGCAAATTGATAAGAAATGCATATAATTCGCTCACGTCTGGCAACGCAGCAGCTGCGCCGCCATGTCGCCCTGACATGAGCTCGTCGAATACAGCATCTAAAAGAAGGCCAAGACTGACTTGTTCGCGCACCCGTAACGTCTCGACTAGTGCAGTCTCGAGCGTGCTAGGCGTCGACAGTACCAACGCATTAACAAGGGCCAGCAAGGGACAAGGGCCATTGGCGTTTTGGATCAAGATTGGCGAGCGTCGAGGATTAGTCTCTGAAGAATTATCGTACCAATTGATCTGCTTGATTTGATATGTCTCGCTCCTCTGCCGGTTTATAGTCGTGGGAGAAGGTACCGCTGCACCACCTGATGCCCCAGGCTGAGACTGGCTGGTCGATACAGAAACATCGGGTTTCGGCGGTCGTGGAGGTGGAACCTCCTCTACAGGCAAACGTGTATGATCTCCGGGGTCTGCTTGCTTTGAAGGCGGCGGACCTGGCGGAGGTTGGACATCATCAAGGTCGACCTCAGTTTGCTCATTTTTCCAGGCATCCATCTCGCCACTATACCATTCCTCTGTCGCTTGCCGTTCCCTCTCTGCTCTGGTAGCCCTTTCCGCCGCTTCATGGGCTTCCAAATCTCTCCTTTCCCGCTCCGTTTTCTCCCACTCTTGTTGCTCATCCCAAGTTTTGTGTACTGGGCTCTCTCCCTCGTTATGGATGTGTTCGGACAAGCCGCGATTGCGAGAAGAGAAGGCATCAAAGCTTGAGATGTCGGCTTGCGGATCCCAGCCCAGCGAGGATTCGGAGCGATGAGGGTCCATTGCTTCAATTGGAATGGTGTAGTTTGATGCTGGTAATTCATGAGCCGGGGAATTCTGCGCCTGCGGGTAGCTCGTGTCGTTGTTTGCAGGATGCGCAGTTCTATAAGGATTGGTGGGATGGGTATCATCAAGAGATAGATTTGCCGTCATGTTTACAGGAGGAACGTCATCTTGAAATTCATTAGTATATTCAGGTCCAATAATACGATATAATTGCTGCAGTATGTTGTTGGCTTACTTTTCTTGTCGGTACTATTTGATGTTGGAGCTGAAGCGCCCCATACTGCGGCACTGTTTTCCAGGCCCGAATCGGTCTCTCCTACCCCTGAAGCTTTTGGCAGAAAGGGATTGTTGGAAGAGAATTCGTGGTGAGCAGGCTCGGAATGTGCTGCGGTCTCCCAAGGATTGGGTGCAGAAACTGATTCTTTAATCGCATCGTCCTTCTGCGACTGTAAAGGCTTCCTGGGAATACTGTTCTGGGGGCCCACTCGAAGAGTTGGTGGGAGATTATTCTCTGATAAATTTGCACCCGTCTTGGATGAATCTATTCCCACTTTGAGTGGAGGGGGCAAGCTACTTTTCCCCTCATCCTCATCGTCCGATGCGTCCCATTCAAACGCACTCTCGTCCGAATCATCATCTTCAGCTTTACTGGACGAGCGATGCTTCTGCGGGCTCGAAGTATCTGCTGTCGTGGTCGTCGTAGGCTTCGACTCTGCAAAGTATGAGTTGGAAGAAGGCGTGCTCGGCGTGACTGGATATGGTGGTTGATGGGCGGGCTGCTGGTCTCCCGGAGGAAGGATTTTTGGAGGCATCGTCTCTTGCCGCAGAACCATGACAAGTCTGCAAGAAGATTATCGATTTCTGAACCAATTCGAGCTCCAAAATCGACCTGTAAAGATTTCAAGTTGACCGGGGACTTTGCTTGTCGGAATACAACTGCAATTATGGTATGACACGACGGTCGGGGGGATACAGCCGTTGTGGGTGACTTTGGGACTTCCTCAGGTAAGCTCCAGGCAGACACAAAAGGAACTCCACGATAAGTGACGATGGAGCATTTACAGGGCTTGCGCGTACAAATGCACCATTCGAATGTTCGAGGCCTTTTTATTGCTATTAAAGATTTATCAGGATCTACCTCACGAGATATTTCGCTATTATTGCCTGAAAATCTACTCGTGGAGCACTTGATCGACTTTATCCCTACTCTCTTTGTGTCTACGTCTCATTTGCCTCCATGTGGAATGACGTGGGATGCGACTGTGGAGGGCAACGAGGGACCCGCAAGGCACCAGCAAAAGGGACTTGCACTGCCACAATCTGACAGGACTCCTCAGCACGTCTCAACTGGAAGACTGAACTGAACTGAACTGAACTGAACTGCACTGAACAAGATTGCGATTGGCATAGTGCACCAGCTGCACCGCCACAGCCCAGGAGAGAAAACCTAAACATTTCACATGTGGGGCTTAGCGCATCTTTTTCCGCGCCCAAAAGGATTCGGCCATTCACGGTGGGTTCACTATGCTGGAAACTGTTGCTCTGCCCTTGCTTTTGCTGCAAGCACGTTGAGCAGTCCTTGGTGCGCAGGATGCATTCCAGCATCAAGCCATATAGCTATTTGGCTTTGCGCCTTCCGTCAGAAACACTGAAGATTGTCCAGTTGGTCCCAAATGCGTATGTACTGCCGATAACTACTGCATAATTTTTTTTATCCCTGTGAAACAACCAAGTTGACTTCCCCCCAGGGTCATTTCCATTGGAAAATATGGAACTTTCCAAGCAAACCATCTGCTTGGAAGACCTTACAATCTCACCTATGAGATTGTCGACGATATAAAAAGCCAACAGCATGGTGGCCTTCGAGTTGTACCTGCGTCCGAGCTTCACGCCGAAGTGCTTGCCGATGGCACCGCAACGCCCACAGTCGAGGGAGAAGAAGACCGACCGGAAACGGGAGAGGAATACGAAGTGGTGGGAGAAGATGGAGAGGTCATAATGCGGACCAATCGGCAGACGATTGACGATCCTACAAGCCAAAAGATGACTTTTGAAGAAATCGAGGCGCTGAAAAAGGAAGGATCCGGCGCTGGCAAGGATCTCATTGCCAAGCTGCTCTCGTCGCATTCTGCCATTGATCAAAAGACGGCATTCTCCCTGGCCAAATACACGCTGCGCAAGACAAGAAAATACGCGCGCCGCTTTACAGTGCTACCACTCGACATCCCGCTCTTTACAGAATGGCTCTTGGCGGAAAAGGAACCGATGCGCAGCTTGGACTTGCGTGATGAATTGATCGGACTGATCGGCAGCTGGGCCAATATCCGCTGCAGCGCTTCTGAGCCGCAAGTCCTCGAGGACGGCATCAGCAAGGTCGGCGGCGGAAGATGGTTAGTCGTTGATGAGACAGGAGGACTTATCGTCGCCGCCATGGCAGAACGATTAGGCATATTATATCCACCGGAGGAGGATGACTCGGACTCGGATTCGGAATCTGAAGAACCTGAGAATCCTGCTCCCACCACCACTGCCGCTGCTACTGGCAACTCTGCTTCCACCACCGCTACCCAGGAGGCAATAAATGACGACGTTGACATGACCGCTCCTGAACCCGCAGAAGCTCCGTCTGCTTCTGCACCCGCCTCTGCTCCAGCTCCTTCCCGCCAACCTCACCACCACCATCACCATCATCCAGTCCCCCAGTCCGCGACGCGAAATACTCTCACCCTCCTACACGCCAATGCACAACCGAATCTCTCCCTCCTGAAATACTTTCTCTTCGACGCATCCACGCCATCCCCTTCTCATCCACTCCACGACCACCTCAAGATGCTCTCATGGCTACAACTCCTCTCGCCCGAAGACGACAACGGGTACACCGAACCCGAGCGCGTCCCCGACGACATCATCAAGACCTGGAAATCCGGCAAACGGGGCACATATTTCCGCAAACGGCGCCGATGGGAGCGCATCAGGGCCGTCGTCGACGAGACCCGCGCCGGCGGATTCGACGGCCTTATCGTCGCGAGCGTCATGAATCCTGTAACGATACTACAGCACACTCTTCCTCTCCTCCGTGGCGCCGCTCAGGTCGTGGTATATTCGCCCACGGTCGAACCCTTGACTGAGCTCGCCGATTGCTTCTCGACTGCCAGACGGACTGCCTTTGTCACCATGCAAGCGGAAGCCACGATGGACGACCAAAGTATATCCAAAGACGATTTCCCCATAAACCCTACCCTCTTGCTCGCCCCCTCGATCCAGACTTCCCGCGTCAGAGAATATCAAGTCCTCCCCGGCAGAACACATCCGCTCATGACGAGCCGCGGTAACTCTGAGGGCTACGTGTTTACCGGAACCCGCGTGTTGCCTGCAGAAGGCAAAGTCGAGGCAAGAGGAAAGAATAAGCGCAGAAAGTTGGTCGGGGAGCGGTCATCTGAGACCCCCGCTTAGGATGCCGTTCTTTTTCCAATATCTAGGTTTAATTTACCCCATCTTTTGCTCTTCACAGTTGCATTGTACAAAAAAAGTCGATCTACCACGGAGTTTTGTCACTTCTTTTCTCTTACTTCTTTAACACCCTCTATACAATGGTGCATATATCTCTTTTCAAGACAGGGGAAATGTGGTTATATCATATGCGTCAATACGACAAATATTTTCCTCAACTGAGATATGATAAACATGATGCAAAGTGAAATTTCTCTTAATAGAAACATTCAAAGGATATTTACACACAGCTAAACGCCTTTCTGCGCCGTAGATGCTAGATTTTAGAACCACGTCCGTACCTCATTACATTCCCATGTCCCCCTTATCCACGCTCTCTTTCTTTTCCTTACTTCACGGTTCCATATCTGACTCTTCCCTTGAACATCGGCTCAGAGGCAGAGTTAGAGTCAGAGTCATGGTAAACCTACTTCCCATTTTCCATCAATTCGACACCACTCCTCACCGCACCAACTAGACCACCTGTCTGCACAGTCTCCGCGCCACCGCCGCTCAGTCGCCACTCGATTTCCGAAAGGCCCTCGAGCCACGCCACGCGGGTTTGGGGCGGGACGTCCAGGGCGCCCTTTGCGCCATTCGCGCCGCCCAGCTCGTCTGACAGGGCGGTCAATATATCCGCCAAAGCTAGACCTTTTGTCGCTTTGAGCGTATTGATTGTTGATAGACACGAGATGACGTCAGGCGTGGTCAGGAGCGTGGTGAGAATGGTTTGAATGTCAGATGGATGCGGCGCGGCAATGCAGTCGTAGATGGTTTGCGAGGTGATGAGGTCGCGCTGGATCGGCTCGGAAGTGGATGTTTCTTTATCCGATGCGGATTTTGGGGGGCGAAGAGGTGTGCCTGTGGTTCGTTAACGGGAGTATAATAGTGAGAGTAGGAATTACGACATACTACTCGCATGGCAAGCCTGCAGGACGTTCAACGAACGGCGCATGTCTCCCTTGCTCAGGCGCACCAAGTCGTCCACTGCATCGGCAGTGATATTGACTTCTTCCTTTTCAATAACCAAGTCGACGAGTCGTTTGATATCTGGCTCTTTGAGCGGACTGAATCGGAACCGTGTGCATCGCGAAAGAAGCGCGGGAGACAGTTTGTGCGTGTAGTTGGCTATAATACAGAAACGGGTATTGGCGGTGTATCGCTCCATGATGCGGCGCAGAGCCATTTGCGCGGTGGCGGTCATGGCGTCGGCCTCGTCGAGAATAATGAGCTTGTATGCACCAAGTGACTGCGCGCCGTCTTTGGGTGCCGCGCTGAAGATTTGTTTTGTGCCTGATTGGTTGTCGTTAATTTCTCGTTCGTACCCCTTTACAGGCTTGCATTGAGGGAGTGTTTGGATCCACAAAGAAGACGTGGACTTCGAGGATGGGAGGGAAACGTACTGGCAAATGTCTTGATTTGTTCTCTCACCACATCAATGCCTCGATCGTCACTGGCATTAAGCTCCAACACCATCTGCTTCATGTTGCGATTGCCATAGATTCGTCTTGCAAGTGCGAGAATTGTTGATGTTTTTCCTGTACCTGGCGGGCCGTAGAGCAGAAGATGAGGGAGTTTCTATCATTCCCGTCAATTTTTGTTATTTCTTGGACAAAAGCTTCTGGGTCGGAACGCACGTTTGTGTCCACGAAACGATTAATTGTTGCAAGAATATCCTTGTGTCCTGAAACATCGTCGAGAGTGTCGGGTCTGTATTTTTCCACCCTTTTCCCACAAGTCAGTTTCTAATATTGCATGAATTATTTTCGCTGGCCGTATTCGACGTACCAAGGCAGAGTATCCTCGGCTTCTACTGGCAAATTCGCCGCGCTTCTCTTGCCCTTGTTCGTATTGTCCGAGCTGAATTGGATAGTATTGTTGAGGGGAGCGGTATCCACGTCCATTTCATCTTCAATGTCTGACATGGTGCACGCTTTGTATCAAGGAATCCAATATATCTTCGCTGGAAATATCTCGTCGGGATCCGGTTTGGTCTATTGATCCTTTCGTTGCAATTTTTGTCGTTGGCGATTCTCACTTGATAGCCGGAAGACGCGACCCAGCGCGAAGACGCGTATAGTGGATTTCGCACGGGTAAGTAGGTAAGCTATGACCAAGCTCCATCCTCCCATCTCATTACCCGGAAGACATCCCTCCACCGCCCCAGGTCAGTTTACGTTGACGTTGACGACGACGACGACAACAACCACAACGATACCCATAGCACCGTCGCAATGCCTGTTCGTATATGCATCTTTCAAACCCTACGGTCTTCATTTTCAAAATAACTAAAATGTGTCTTTAGGCCTATCACTCCATTTTCCTCCAGGACCCTGGCGTCCGGATCATCGGTATAGCTAGCTCCCTAAGCTCAACTCAGCACCTCATACGTTCCACTCCACTATCATGAGCTCATCTGTTCCAATTCCACGTCCATGAATCTCTACGAGACGGGCTATTTACTTACACAATTATCCCAATCAACAGGAAACTTTGCGTTGCTCCCCCTCCGCACCAAAACCCGCGGCCCCGCATACCAACTCCCCGCTCTCCCCACTGGCGGCAATGAGTTCGACATTGACCCTGACAGCGAGAGCTACGACCCGCTAGATGAAGTGCTTTCGCTGTTCCGCGCGAATACATTTTTCCGCAACTTTGAAATCAAGGGACCCGCTGATCGCCTGTTGATTTACGGCATCTTGTTTGTCAGCGAATGTCTTGGCAAGATTCGACCAGGCATGAGCCAGCGTGAGGCCGAGAGGGTGCGTTTGACGGATCAAATCCCTTCATTACATTTTCCTACCTCGCTTTTTCTCTTCACTATGCGCATAATCTGCGCTCTAGTCCTAGTGATTTGCGCAAACACCCTTACTTAAGCTTCAAAGTATATGCTGACAAGAATTCCCATTTCGCGATACAGGCCGTGATGAACACCGCCCTAGACAACAACTTTGCTATCCCCGGCGACGCGACGTTCCCCTTGAACCAAGCTTTTGAGGCACCTAGAGATCGCAATGACGCCGAGCTGATGCGAGGGTGAGTTCCAACTTTGTTCATTCCGCTTCACACCATGTCCTCTTTCTCTTTTTTCCTTTTTCTGCCTCTGATCCGCGATGTATCCATCTATCATCAAACCAAGGGGCAACAGAATGAGCTAACATGACAAAGGTACCTCTCACAAGTCCGCCAAGAACTCGCAGTCCGGTTACTCGCGCGCGTGTACGCTGATGATCCCAGCACGCCGTCAAAGGTGAGCAGACCATTTCATGTTTCAACTCCATCATGTCCTACCAGTCATCACACTCTATTCTCAATTATCAATATACCAGTGCCAAAACTAACAAATACCGTTTCAATATCAATAGTGGTGGCTCAGCTTCACCAAGCGCAAATTCATGGGCAAATCTCTCTAAACAAAACATCCTACCTCGTTTCCCTCCCTCCCTCTCTTCCCTCCTTTCTTCTCGTCTCGTCTCGTCTCGTCCCGTGGCTTCGGAATCGATTTAATCCCCACAGCGCAAATGCCCAGACGTGCATTCTCGTCTCTTGACCAATTCCCTCTTCCCTCCTCCCTCCCAAAAACCCAACTTTTCAAACCTCCTACTGTACACGTTACACTTCTGTAAAACGCACGTCAGTAGACAAGATCTCCATTAATTGAAACCTTGAACACGGGTTGGAGCCACGGGTTGTTTGTTCTTCACTATCTCCTTAAGTTTATTAGCTTTGTACCGCTTCATATATATTATCCTGCAAATCGGTGCATAAGAGTACCTTTAGCTCGACATCTTTATCTCTCTCGTCTCTTAGTTATATCTTTCATCTACGTTTACTTTAAGTCAATTAAAACCATGTACCCATCTGCAGTCTTGTGTAGATTCGTTGCGTCTCGTTGTGTCCTGTTATGTCTTGTTATGTCAATTCGTCCCAAAATAAAATAAAGGATGCATTTTTTTCCTACCGAAGGTCGTAAAGACCGTAATATTGGTAGACATTGACACGTTTAAAGCATTGGGCTCCTTTGATCTGTGGTGGCATGACTTGCATTAGATCATGACTAGAATTTTACTTTTTTAGATACTAGTTGTAGAAAACTGGTGATAATGCCTTCATAGATACATAGATACATGAAACTTAATTAAATGGAAGGAACGGAAATGGCTGCTCGAAGCTGAGGAAGGAGAACCTTCCGATTCCATTCGCTACGCACCCTGCTCTTCATCCCTTTGAAACAGCCTGATATCCAGACCATTTGCACGCTACACATTACATTGGCCGAGGCGGCTCATATGGTCCATACGGATGATGGCCATATTGAGGCGGGGTATATGCGCGCGTCGTCGTGGGCGGCATGCCTGGTGGTCCTGTGACGGAAACGCCAACGGGAGAAGGGCCATGAAGACCATCCATATGCCGAACGAGGTGATCTGAAACTGCTCGAGGAACCATACGGGGAGTCATGTCTGGCGGCATGCTCGCCCGAGGATGCATTGCCTGTGATGGATGATGGTGTGCCGGCATGGAACTCGGGTGAGAGCCCATTGTCGTCGTTACAGGTGTCGGACCCTGCGACGTAGGGCTGGGTGCGTACATGGGCTGATGTAGCTTGGCAGGTGGAGCAGCAGAGGATGGTGGGGGCGGTGGGTGAGACATTGGAGTCTGCAACGCTTGTGGGTAAGAGGAGCTGCGAGAGTGACCATGTGCTGCGTAAGTCGCCTGCGGCGGCGGTGATGGATTGTGCAGCGCTAGATAAGAAGGCCGACCACTCTGAACGTAGCTTGCATGGTGAACTGGAGGCGAGCTCACTGATGAAGGGTGGGGAGGAGGTGGCGGCGGTCCTTGACGGGCATACGGAGTTTGCTGCTGATACCAAGGCTGTGGACCAGGACTGACCACTGGTGGTCCAGCAGGAAGAGCATCCGACATGGTCCGTGAAGAGGGAGGAGGCCCAGAGGTGGCCATTCCATACGATGGCCGATGAAATCGCTGCGGAGAAGGCGCCTCAACAATAATCTCTTGCCTCGGTGCAGGAGATGGTTGAGATGGAGGCCGTGGCGCGTGGTAAATTGGTACTTGGGCCGACTGCGGCGGAGGTGAGGGTCCGCTAGGCATAACGTGATCGTTGTACCTCTTCTTCTGACGAGGGTCTTCCGCCGGTTCACTGTTTAAAATGTCAAGGATATTCGACGTTTTCCTAGCCGGTTCCGGTGGGGGCCGGCTTGGAGCTTGCATGAGAACAGGCGTTGACACTGGACGAGGCTCGTCCCTAACTGGAGAGAAAGGCGGCGGTGGTCGTGCCACCATTGGTGGTTGAGGTGAATGTGAAACATACACTGCTGACGGCGGCGGCGGCGGCGGCGGAGGATTATTGGGTTCAATGAGATGCCGAATGTTAGATTGCTGAGCTTGCGATTGGTGAATCGACGAGGGAGGCGGTGGCCTAGGGCCACCCGTAGACACAGGCTCAGCAGAGTCAAATTCCTTGGTAACGGGCGGAGGAGGTGCAAGGGGATTAGGCGTAAATGGCGTCCTAGCTTGGAGGTGCTGACGATCCGGCACAGGAGCCTGGTATCGCTGAGGGATGTGCGTCTGATGGGCCGGACCCTGCGCTTGTGGAGGCGGAGGCGGTGGTTGGTGTGTCATGGGGTGCCGATATAGATTCTCCACAGCCTGTTGCATGGGTCGAGGCTGGGGACTTGACTGTGCCTGAAGAACGGGGCGCGCATCTGCTCGGGTATCTGTAAAGAACCCAATTCGCGGTCCTTGCTGGTGGTTTTGAGGAGATGCATGATGAATGGCTTGAACTGGTACCGGACCTTGGCCTGCCATGCTCACAGCGGGTTGAGGTCCGCCAGCCTGGGCTAGCATTGGATACCTTGAAGCATGCCCTGGAGGCGACATTCGTGCCATTGTAGGCTGCTGCATTCTCGCAGCTCCGCCATCAATCTCCATTGGATCGATGCTGGGTGCGAGCGGTCGAGGAGTGGTAATATAGTTGCCCTCCATTCTCTTTCTCGACACAGCAGCAGGTGGCGGCGGCGGTCCCAAATTCTCGCCGCGCTCTCTCTTGGCATTGCCCTCCCTGGCCATATCGTCGAGTTCAGTTCTTCCAGCCTCCAAAAGCCGGTTGTAGTAATTCCTGACCTATTTACTGTTAGATTTTGCCCAACGCAATGAGTCATAGGGAAAATTGTTTTTATCTTACCATTGTCTGGGTTTTGGTGGTCATGTAATTGGCAATAGCCTGCCAGTTTGTCCCAAAATGCTGTACCAGTCGAGGGAATTCCTGCTGCTCAGGGACAGACCAATAGCTCGACGCTTGAGACCCCGAGCGGTGAAGTTGAGCCTGCTGCTGTGCCTGTCTGCTTACGCCCAGCTGAGGCTCCGGCACTCCGGATGCTCCTGCTGTTGTCGCAAGGGTTGTTTGATCTGCTACCTCACCCAAACCTTCGGCGAGTGGAACCGCTGGACGACCAGATTGCAATACAGCCAGGAGATTTGCACCCTCAAGGTCCTTTGCTTTCTGGGCCTCATCCGCGACTACCTCTTGGACCTTGTCAAGCAATTTACCTCTATCCTTTTCGGCCTTTAATGGGGAAGTAGTTGCTGGCGCAGCTGCAATAGGTGGGTTCCGAGCTCTACGTTGACCTCTTTCCCTTGCTCCCGTTCCTCTTGTGCGTTTGGCAGCACGCTCAACGCCCTTTTCAGGAGCACCAGCTTTCCGGGTAATGCCTGGTCCCGGTGTGCCTTGGTCCGTATCATTGCTCGCAGACTCTCCAAAAGTAGGTGCTGCAGCCCTGCGAGGCCGTCCCGTGTCAGTGACCGCAATTGCTGGAGTCTCGAACTCGTCGCCTTCATAAACATCAGGGTGAACACCAAGATCTTTAACAAGCGCATTTGACTTGGGGCGGGTTTGCACAGTCCGTCCGCCCCTACGACCACCCTTTCGGTTACGTCTCCGGTTGAGCAGCGCCTTATATTTGGCTTCAATCTTGGTGAGATAGTAGTGCTCGATACACTGATGATAGTCGCGGTTCGGAATGCCCTCAGCAATCTTGCCCCACTTCTTTGGGAACTCGACGAATCGCTCAGTGAAGATCTGTTGCTCTTCTCCATTAAAGTTATCTTCAGGAGGCTCAAACTCGAAGAGTTCTAGTGCTTGATGAGCATTAATGAGCTGATTCGTATCTTTGAAAACTTTGGCGACCCGTTCAACCTTGTCCAGCATCAATGGTATTTCTGCTTCCTTTTCCATGTCCGCCTCTGCCTTGGCCAGTAATTCTCGCCTCTCCTGCTCCTCTCGTGCAGCTTGTTCAGACTCTCTCAGAACACGCTGGATATCTAACTCGCTGCTGAAGCGATGAACGCGGCGGCCTTCTGTCACGGTCGTCGTCGGTGGCGCCAGCGGAGAGACGGCCTGATCACTTGGGCTCGCAGATTGCTCTGCTTCTTCCTTCTTCTTGTCCAAGACTTCTGCAACATTGACTCTCCATGCCTTGTAATTTTCACGATAGGATTTTCTCAGCTCATCATCCTCTCTGGCGATATCCTTGCGTTGTTTGACCAATTCAGCACGCAAAAGATCCTTGATCCTCTCATGCTTTTGGAGATTCTCTTGAAAAAAGTCTGATTCAGAGAAAGGGGTAGGAGGCGCCGTATTGAGGAAGGGCAAAGCATCTATAGGAGGAGTAGGAACGCGGCTTGGGGATTGTTCTCGTCGTGTCTTCTCGTCCCCATCTGCAGAGGTCTCGACCTCCTCAGTGCTGGGTGACGGAAGACCCATAGGAACAGAAGGAACAGGCACTGGCGCTTCCAGAGATTGTATGGCCGTTTCTGTCTCCTCCTCCAGCTCTTCTTCTTCTCTTTCTCTTTCTCTTTCTTCTACTTCCTCCTCCTCCTCTGCTTCTTTCTTTGCCTCCACAGCCTTGACGCGCTCTTCCTCTTCCTTCTCCTCCAATAGCCGCTTCTGCACCTCCTCGGTCTCCTGTGCCGCTATTTCTTCGGCTTCCTGCTTCTTCATCGTCTCCGCTTCCAAATTCTCTGCCAGTCGCTTTTCCTCTTCTAGCCTCTCTCCCTCTCTCTTCCCAGACTCTTGTTTCTCAATCACTCGACAAAGAACAGTGACTTTGTCGGCGACAGCCTGGTACTGTTCGAAGACCGACTTGGGCGTTTTCCTCATAGTCAGTGTCGCTAATTCCTTTTCAAACTTCTCTTTGCTTTTGGCAAAGTCTTCCTCGTCAAGCTCCATCTCTTCGTCATCTTCTTCCTCCTCGTCGCTGATTGCACCCAGTCCGGCTGGGCCGGCGAGATCTTCCAGAGATGGCTCAGGAGCCAACTTTGTCTCAAAAGACATCTCCTCCTTGGAGGAGGATGGGCGTGGTTCAACCTTGTCTACTTCCATCTTGACGTCTGACGCCCTACGCTTGGCGGGGGATTCGAATGGTTTAAATGCGGATTTCGAGAGTTCTGGGGAGACGCTGCCGCGAACCGGACTCTTTGGCGGTGCTTCCAGCTTAGATGGTTTTGACGATTCTGGGGGGCGGTCCTTGTTATCACCAACCTCCTTGCGAGCCTGGGCCACTGTCGATGGGCCAGGACCACGTCCGTAAGATGGAGCGCCAGGACGAATCCATTGCAGATTTTTGTTCCTCGGAGGCCCTTTGTCCGTTCGGTTCGGTGGCCGGTCAGGTCGACCCGGCGCTCTATCGGCCTTGGGGCCTGTGGGGATATTCAGTCCTAGTGACGGAGGTGAAGAGCTGAGCGTAGCTGATTGAGGCGCAGATGGTGCTCCCGGCGGTCCCGGAGAGCGAGCTGCACCAGCACCAAAAGTGGGTCTCGACGAAGCTGCGGATGAAGTTGGCCGGCTAAAAGACTGAGGGCCGGTAGGCGGGAGTCTTGAGCCAGCGACTGGAGGTGGAAGAGAGTCTGAGAGGTGGGTCATAGAGTGAGAAGTGCCTGTCACGGAATCTGTTGCTGGCTTCGATGGGGCCGGTGCCGGGTTGGCAGTTGATGGAGGTTGCTGTCGAGGAGACGGCTGGGTATCAACCGATTTTGCTGGTTCCTTGGGTTCTGGAGGTGGGGCCCTATCTGCGAAGCGATCGGCTCGAGGGCCAAGGGGAGGTTGAGAGCTCGTCGGTGCCTTTGGTCCAGCCGATGCAGCCTTTGGCCCTTGAGGAATCTGACTGGGCTCCGACGTAGGAGCCGTTGGCGGGAGCTTGGACTCGGGAGGTGCCTTCCATACACTGGAAGTCGGGCCCGGTAAAGGGCCAGACTTGTATGATACGGACCCAAAGGCTGGCACTTGCGGTGCTTGCGGAGGAGGAGAGGCCACTGCTGGCGGGGCAAATCGCTCTCTGGAAAAGTCTGCTCGCAATGGGGGATATTCGCCCTTGTCCATGTCTCGACGACCATCTCGGATGACGTTTGATGAGAGAGCGCTGGAGGCCCGCCGTCCGGGGGGTGGTTCTCGTGTAGATTCGACGGGCGCAGGGCGGTCTGAAGCGGGACCAGGCACGGATACGCCTGGAGGCCGGGGCGTAGAAGGAGTGGTTACGGTCCCTGTTGCAGGTCGAGAATCGCTGCGGATTGGACCCTGATCTCTCTTGTACCGTTCAGCCTCTCGCTCTCGCTCTTCACGCTCGATACGTCGGTCCTCCTCGCGGCGTTCAGCACGGCGCTCCAATTCGCGTTCTCGCTCACGCTCGCGATCCTCACGAGCCTCCCGTTCCCACCGACGATCCCGCGAACGGCTTCGTGGACGGTAGGAGGTGCGTTCATCGACATATGGAGGTCGTCCTCGGCCACGCGAGTCCCAATCTCCACGGCCTCGTCCACTAAATCCTCCACGAGAGAAAGGTGGGCCACCGGAGGAGGGAGAATCTCCAGAAATGATACTAGGCGGTCCATCTCGCGAGCCACGCCGCGAACGGCTGAGATCCAAGTCGCGGGGAGGGAAGTCACGGAAATCACGAAGGGGCGGCGAACGGCCGCGCGAGCCTGGTCGGCGATCTCGATTATCAAGATCGCGATCCCGCCAGCCACCGCGATCCCGGTCTCGGTCACCACGAAACGGGGGCGGACCGTCTCTAGGATCACGAATATCTCGAAAATCACGGTCCCGATCACGGTCACGGAAGTCGCCTCGGCCAGCGAAGCCTCTTCCACGGGGTCCAGCAGGCACAAAAGAACCCCCACCGCCACTGCGCGGGGGTGGATCTACCAAGGCTTTGGGACCACGGGGTGGCTCACGAAACGTATCTCGCGGATGGGCGCTGCCGGGGCCGCCATCTGGTCCTGATCGTGAGGGAGGTTCTGTGATGCGGGATGCCAGCGAGCCACCGTACGGCATGGAGGACCTCCGATCGGAGAACCGTGATGGAGATCGATCTCGAGGAACATAGCGAGACTCGCCGCTGGTGTTGTTGAATCGCGAGGACATGACAATTCAGAATGGCCCCCCGTTCTCAAAAGAGAATGGGTCTGTTTTTTTCGTGTGGCAGACGAACCCAAATGAGACCGAGAGCACCTTTCAAGCCACCAACATGAGTGGTTTGTTGTCCTTCTATCGTCCTACCCGAGCCCGATGGAGTTTCCTGAAATTGAGTACCTGAGCACGTCGAAGATTCGCCCAGCAATGGTTGGATAAGGGCAACCAGGTTGGATTTCCAAACGAACAAATTGTCCGTGGGTTATTGCTCTTGCTGGAACCGGAATGCCCGATTAGGGCAGTCTGCAAGTACCGTGTTTGTTGGTAGTCGAGCTGTCGAGTGGGAGGGACGAGGTGAAACAATCGAAAAAGTGTCCAGTTAGAGGTCGACCTCCCACGCGGGTTATGGTTTGAGTCGAGTTGTGTGAGAGAGCGAAGAGTACGCCTGTCGGCACCAAAGTCAGCCAAATAGGCAAGCGAACAAGACAAGCAAGCAACGCAACGCAAGCGCAAAAGAGAGATTTCGGTAACACCCTCGTTCGGCAGGCCAAGCCCGGTCTGGCGCGGAGAGGTGCAGATCTTGAGCGAGTGGCTTAGCGAGAGGGGCCCGCCCGATGCGAGTGTCAATCGGCTGCTGCTGCAGCTTGGTGGGTGGGTGTGTGTCATCTTTGGGGTTTTCGGTTGTGCATGCGTTGGGTATGTGTGGGAGAGAGTACGTGTGTGTGCCAAAAGGCAAAAACAACTGCTTTGGGGGTGGGTAAGGGGCGTCGATGGTCCCGCATTGGGTTGCCGGTCGACCGTCGACCGGACCTCGAGTGGTGTGTCCTGAACGTACCTGGGGGCTTCTTGAAGCCAATGATCGATCCCAAAGTAGGGAAACACAGATTTGCTGCGGCTGTAGACGTTGCTGCTGCTTCTTGCTGCAACTTCTTGAAAAGGATCTTTCTGCCCTGCTGCACACAATCTCGATTCGTCGTTCGAGAGGTGTCAAGCAACCAGGTCCCTTACTCGCAAGTTTGAAAGAGAGCAGGAAGGATTCGACTTGGATTGAAACTTGATGGGGGGAGAGAGCGTTTGACACTCGGTAAAGGCGCCCGTAGGAGCTGTGAGGGGTGGATCGCAAGACCACGAGCAAGAGATGTGGAAATGGCAGACGAACAATGTATTGAAATCTATGTATAGCGTAGAATTTCAGCAAGATTATTGCTCGTTTGAATAGGTGATCAAATGACGCGAGTAATCGCGGGGAATGGGCGCAAGGAATGAGAGAAAAAAGAGAGAGAGGGAAGGCGGGAAAGGAGACGAGGAAGAGGCGTGCAAGGACTGGAGTCGATGATGCTGCCAAGTTGAGCCGTGTGCAAGAGAGAGTAGAGTGCGTCTAAGTGAGAAGTGAGCCCAGGTTCGGGGCAAGATGGGACCGCCACGATTGTGATGCGCGGTCCACCTGCTGATCTCGTCTCAGTGGCTTGTGTCTGACTATTTCTTTTTGGTTTTCGCTTTTTCAGATTCTTCTGCTTTCTTCCTTTTTCCTTCGTTTCCTTCTGTTCCAAGGTGTGACGATGTGGACGAAGGGGGATTTTGCTGGCAGGACAAGATTTCGCTGGTTCACCAACGGATCGTTTCACACATGGCGGCGCCCCGGCAATAGCACATTAACCCTCGTCCAAGCCAAAGAAGTAGAGAAATCTGTAGACTACCGTTTTTCCCCTCGCTTGAACTACCGGAACAAGACAGAAGAGAAGCTGAGCAGATGTACTGGCTTTGACGCAGTACTTGTGTCTCCTCCACGACGAAGACTCTAAGACAAGTCGAGTGGCAGAAAAAGTACACTCCGGCGCATGGCTGGCGGACACTAGCAGAAGCACCGTCGAGGAAGAAACGAGAGGCAGAGAAGAAGAAGAAGACAGAAGGGATTAGCGTGTGGTAGTGTGGGAGATGGGTCCCAGAACCGTCTCATCTCTTTCCTGTGGATGGACGGATGTTAGTCTGTCATAGTCTCTGCTCTCGTTGCTTGCCTGTCTCAGGGTTTTTTCCGTTTTGATGGTTTCCCTCGACGTGCGACAATCTCATTGGTAGAGAGATTCAAGATTGGGAGGGATTCCCGCCGTGGGTCCATGTCCATCCCTCGTTCGTCTTTTTGCCCCCCGACCCCTCCAAGCTCCCAGCAAAGAAGCCCATCTGGGGCGGTGGAGATGGTTGGGAAGTCTGCGAACCCCTGCACGCATATTGCAGATTGCTGCTTGTTTGGGTACTCACTCTTAATTAGTGACTGGAGCTGTGATGACCGAAAGTTTCAGCAAAAATTCCAATTCATCAAATTCTGCAGTAATTGTACAGAGGTATTATTGGTAGGGTTGTCAAATCTTCCAATCAAAACAATATAATATATAAATTCGAATGGTTTATACTGATGATATTATCGCACTGTTATTGCAACGGCCCTTGACGTGCGACCGGCGGGTGTGGAGGCGAGAAGATTTGGTGTTTTGGGGGGAGAAACTTTTAGTGTGCCGAAGTCAAAGTCACGTGGACAGCATAAATTCTCTTCGCCAAACATTATTGCTGTATGACTGACACCGGCCATGAAGAAGTCACACTATTCAGTATCAGTACAGCAACGACATACAATCACTTCTAATCACTAGCATCCTTCGTTCTCTTATTTTTTGCGGACTCTAGCTCTGAGTCTCTAAGCAACTTTACGGTCCTGTCTTTGAGCATTTTCATCGTTGATTTCTCGATAATTTTCACCGGTTTTCTTCTTGCTCGTTTTCTCATTCTGATTATTCTGCCACTGTTTTCCGCCTGAAAGTTTCCTTTGCATTTCTTGCTCACACTCCTCCACATATAGAGTCTATTTGTATCTTTTTTTTTCTTGTTATTTTCCTTCTATTTGTTATTCACAGCATATACTCTTTCGTCAACATGTCGACCCTCCCTCAAGAAACCGAGCACTCGACGCAGGGTCACGTGGTGGGCAGTGCTCCGTCCAAGGCCACTGATGCCGTGCTGAAGCCTTCTGATCCCGTGCCCTCTGACGCGGTCAAGGTCAGCGGAATCGAATTCAACGAGTATGCCAACAGGAGTATTACCGTGGAGGAGCTCGTGGCGGGGATGACCAACATGGGATTCCAAGCCAGCGCCGTTGGCGATGCCGTACGAATCATCAACGGGATGGTATGTAGATTTCCATAACGCATGAAATATACTTACACTTATCCTTTTTTAATATCCACACTCTCGGCATTTAACTCTGTGACTGACATCTTTCCAGCGATCCTACCGCGACCCAGAGACCGGCCAACCCACCACCATCTTCCTCGGCTACACCTCAAACCTAATCTCGTCCGGGCTGCGCGAAACGTTACGATACCTCGTGCAACACAAGCACGTATCTGCGATCGTGACCACGGCCGGCGGCGTGGAAGAAGACCTCATCAAATGTCTTGCACCCACCTACATGGGCTCCTTCACCGCGTCCGGCGCCTCATTACGCGCCAAGGGCGTCAATCGAATCGGCAACCTCTTCGTCCCCAACAGCAACTACTGCGCTTTTGAAGACTGGCTTGTCCCCATTCTCGACCAGATGCTCGAGGAGCAAGAAGCCTCGGCAGCGGATCCCAAAGTCGACCCAGAGGACAAACTGCACTGGACTCCCTCGAAGATTATCCACCGGCTGGGCAAGGAGATCAACGACCCGTCTAGTGTATACTACTGGGCGTGGAAAAACGACATTCCCGTCTTTTGCCCCGCCTTGACGGACGGCAGTCTGGGAGACATGTTGTATTTCCACACGTTCAAGGCCTCGCCGCGCCAGCTGCGTGTGGATATCGTCGAGGATATCAGACGGATTAACACGATTAGCGTGCGAGCCAAGCGCGCCGGCATGATTATTCTGGGAGGCGGCGTGATCAAGCACCATATTGCGAATGCGTGTCTGATGAGAAACGGCGCCGATTCCGCCGTGTATATCAATACCGGGCAGGAATTCGATGGCAGCGATGCGGGTGCGCGTCCGGATGAGGCAGTCAGCTGGGGAAAAATCAGAGCCGAGGGTGAAAGCGTAAAGGTCTACGCCGAAGCAACGGTTGTGTTTCCCTTGATTGTCGCAGCGACATTTGCCAAGCCAAGTCCGAATGGTACTGCGTCTTCGAAACCCGACAGTACCACCCCTTACACTACTCAGTCGTCATAAGAGGATCTCTCCTGCTGTTCAATCATCGCATGCTCCCATCCGGGATATGCAAATTGCCAGGATCAACTTGTCGTCTATAGCGTCCTCACTATGGCGTCTTTACGTCGCACTATGTACATATATACCCATCCCACTCTCATCAATCCATCTATCCATCTATTCACCTCATCAATCCACCAATCCAACTCCCATCAATCCACCACACGAAAGTTTCCAAAATATACATCCCTTAGCTTAATCTGCCGACCTGTCTCTCTATGTAGACCAAAATGAAAAAAGTAAATAGTCATTTACAAAGGGGCTTTACCCGCATCGTAACGTTATATCAGTTGTATAAACATATATAACACAACATCAACATGCGCTGAGTCATTAGTATCTGTGCTCTCTCTTGTGGTCAACCTGCAAAAACCCCGTGGTTCTATCAATGCCCATTGCCACCTCAAATAGTACAGAGTACTCGAATGATTTAACAAATGTCGAAGACATATTCTTTAGATATGAACAGGCCAACTGTGCAATAAAGTGATTTCTAAAAGAAATTAGTAATTCAATAAAATCAGAAAAGATGAAACAAAATACAATAAAAAATAGTGAATGAATGAATGAAAATAAAATAAGTATATGTAAAAGATAAATAGAAAAAAAAAACCCCAAGTAAACAAATACAAAACTAGAAACACACAAAAAAAAAAAAAGAAAAGAAAAGAAAAGAAAGGAAAGAAAAGTTCATATAAATTCTACTCTCACCGGACACTAATCCACACATTTCTTCTCCAAGCTTTCCAAATTCTCCAGCCTCTCCCTCGTCACCGCAGACGCATGTCTCCTCGTCGCCAGGACTTCCTCTCTATATAACCACGCCAGACCAATCGCTGCGCCGGGACTAACGATTGCCGCAAGGACCAATAAACCGACCATGACCAGCGGGACAATGAACAGTCTTACCTCCTCCCGAGCAATCCGCAGCCTTTGGCGCTTCAGCTTCTCCGGCCCACGTAACAATGCAGTGTTTGCATTTGTCAAACGAGATAGTAATATCCACGCCCGGTCCAGCCAGCTTGGAACTAAAACGTCGTCCAACATTCCAGCGACATACAGATCGCGTGCTACTAATCCGAACCAGAAGAAGACGGATACCAAACAAATTGCACGCTCGTACTGCGCCGCCGGGCCAAACAGAAGAACGCCAATATTCTGGAAGCTCGTTCCGTGAGCAAACAGAGTGTAAATACCCGTGAGATACAAGAGGCACGAAATCGCAGAAACGGCGCCAATTGTTCGGCGCAAGACGGGCAAATCTCGGGTTGGCGCATGGAGTTTGTCGTGATTAGACGTGTCTTGTACCAAGCCCGTTTTGGCACAGACTAACTGGAACATGGCAATGATAAAAGCATGTAGTGACCAGATGCGTGACAAGAGGATCGTGACGCTGTCGGCAACATTTGACGCATGAGAAGCCCAAACCGACAGGGCGTATGGGAGTGAGTAGAAGAAAAGTATGCTAAAGAGGACGGTCCGTGTATATGTGAGGTTTGTGTAGCGGCTGTCCAGAGAAGCAAACTTTTCAATAGGACAGTTGAACACGTAAAATAAAAAGAAATAGAGCGCAATGACGGTGCCCGAGCCCGCAAGCCGTGCTGCGAGAGCGAAGAACAATGGGCTATAGAATAAAAGCATTAGTTACTATCCAAAACAATTTCGCAGCAGGGAGAGGAAAATGATGGACGGGACACAATACCTTTGAGCAAGCGTTAGTGCATTCGAACGACGCGCGCTTTCGATGAGAAACACCGTATAGATGACAGCATATTCGGCAGCAAAATTAAAGCTTTGAATCACGTCACCAAGCTTGGAAGCAGAATCGGCACGCACTGCTAGAACGCTCCCGCTGGAACATCTTCTCCCGTAAGCTAGCACGGCTAGGACGAGCAGCGGCAATGCAAAGAAAGCTCTTCTTCGGCGAGACTCTGACTTGCCAAATCCCATTGTGGGATTAAACGGCATCGTCGCCTGCAGCGAAATTTCCGGGACAGGGAGAAAGTTGATCCTTTGAGCTCCAATATACGTCTCAGATAACCTATCCATTAGCAAATCGCCCAGGCGCGGTCCGAGATAATAAGCAACGAATTTGTCGCTGGGGCTCCTCAGACTATGAAGTCTGGTCAGCTTGCCAGATTCCTGGCAAACATAATCGGCTCGGGCTTGGTGGACCTCTTGATACTCAAGGAGTGCAGCTGAAATTTGCGCAAGAGATGGCAAGCAACCGGCTTTTGTGCGTGCGTCGCTTTTTCCGCCATTGTTATTTTCGCGTAGGAGTTTCTCCAGCACGTTTGCAAGTGCTACAGCGCCTTCGATGCTATAATTTCCCCCTGACCCTTGATCATGTGTTGTCTTGTGAATGCTGTCGCCAATGCAGACAAATCTGCCCCATGTCCAATGCTCGTACAACCCTTCCTCCAACGGCGTTAACGTGGCCATCACGTGGTTCTCCCACAATTTGGAAAATGGTAAATCCTTGAGAATGAGTAAATCGCCGTGTTTCCGAGCATACGGTTCTACATCTTGACTCGTGTACCGTGGAACTTCATGGTGCTGGTACACCCTATCGAGCTTTTCGGCCACAGAGAAATAGACGCGCTTATCCTTGCCCACCATCGTAATAATTGTCCGGTCCTCATCGAAGGTACAATAGTATTTGCTCGGATCCTCTAGGCCTTCAACAGTCTTAGAAATTCCAAATAGGCAAACGTATTCTGCAGTTAAACCTGCTCCTTTTCATTAGCAAGATTCCTGAATTGAACAAAGCGGACTCAATCAATGGAAACTTGAGACACATTCCGAGGGTGTGTCTTTGTATCACGAGACAGACGTACCTTGCTTTTCCTTTTCAGATATGAATCCGGGCTGAGCCTGTTCTGCTGCCCTCCACATCTCTTCCTTGACGATACTACGCACGCCATCTGCTCCAACTATAATGTCTCCCTCATAAGTGCTACCATCTTTGCAATGGACCATGATGCCGTCATCTCGATGATCGACAGTGGTTATGCAACTATTCAGTCGCAACTTTTCCTTGTCCCAGACATGATTCCAGAGAGTTTTGAGAAGGTTCTGGCGTTCGTGAAATACGATACCGTAGCCATGTCTTTATGTAGCCCGTTCGGTCAGCATCAAGGTCCACAGCACGCCCAAGATGCTAAGCCCAGCGAAACACCTAGAGAAGAAGCTGTTGCAAAGAGAAATACTACCCACCTTACCGCACTGAGCTCCATCACATCATCATCCTCGACTATGAACGAGCCGTCAGCTTTGAGGAAATTTGCTCGCAAAACCGGTCCAGTAAATTCCAAGATGTCGTCCCACATGCCCAACTGGTCAAGGATGCGAGCACCATTGGGCATTATTGCAATTGCCGCTCCAGCTTGTGATACAAACTGCGGTCTTGCTTCAAGCAGTACATAATCGATATTCACATGTTGGAGGACGTTAGCCAGCGTCAGGCCAGCTATTCCTCCTCCAGCAATAACGACTCGGAACGGCCTCTGCGTAGATTCTGACGCCATGGGTCCAAAATCAGAGGCTTTAAAAGGGAGAAACAGAATCAAGCATTTACTGAAGAAGTTGCAAAGACTTTCCTCGGAGCTGCGGAGATGGGGTCATAAAAAGAAGGGGGCATGGTTTCCCGGGGAAAGAACAAGTCACAACGATGCGGGGTCCGATCAATTGAACCGGGCCATGAAGTGGCCCGTCAAACGTGTACGAAAAGAACGTGATGGCGCCTTGCATGTCAAGTACACAATGTTTGCTTGCATCCTTGCAGTCTGGGAGAGTTCCCGCTCCAGCCAACCAGCCAGTTGGGAGAAGTGTGACTTGATCGGATGAAAATCGCAATCCGTATGGACCATTTTTGTAGGGTTTAGCAGCCAAGGAGGGACTTGTGTTACCCTTTTCTCCTTTCTCTCCTTCGTCAAAAAAGTATCAAATCATTTGGGGGAAGATGCGCGGGGGTGTGAAAATTGAGGCTCCGCAAGATAATCATCGCGTTTCCCGTATTCGGTGGTTGTTAAGTATCTAAGCGCCCGATCTCACAAGGTTTACCTTACCTATGCACCCACCTAGCCTTATCATCTTCCGCTTTCGAATAAAAGTACAGCAACAAGAGTCCCGTCCCCTGTTGCGTTCACAGATTAGCCATGTCGAATCTTGGATCCATCCTAGCCGCTTAATCATGTGCCATTCATTATTACTTCTGCTGCGGAGTATGGATAAAGTGACAAGACTCCATCGCATTTCTCAAGATAAGCAAAGCGACTGGAGTTTTCTTAGCCCTTTGTAGCCCAAACTATTCATACTGTCAGCAAAATATTGCAAATTGGAAAGCTTGAACTAGCCATTGTGCAAGCAATTTGCTCACGCCTTCAGGTCATTCCCATAATTTCCACGAGCAACCCTATCTTCAATCCCTTTTTCAGCACACGGTCACGCCCAAACCCCTGTCGAATCTCTCAGCATCTAGTGCACACCAACCTGGATATCCTTGTACCAGTATAAATCGATTCCAGGTTCCTATTGCCGCTTTCTCTTCCCCAGTACGCAACTCTTGTCATGCACCTCGGAACTCGGATCGGCATTGATATTTTCCTTATTGTTTTCCTTTTGAACCATGATTGCATTCTGAAGCTGCACTTGCCGCTCTTCAAGCCTGAAAGTCAAATGGCCATCTTGTAATTAGCACCGCCCTCAACAACCACCATGATGCCGATAAAGACGCTGGACGGTCACATACCGGGCCAAACTCCGCTGAATAGCTTGCAGGCATATCATCATGGTATTCTGACGCGAGGAAAGAATCTCCATTGCGCTCACCAATGGTCCCCGGTCTGGTCCCGCAGGTGTATAAGCGGGCCATGCATCCGCCATAGAAATGTCTTCTTCCAGATCAGGCAGCCGCGTCGAGTAGCTTGAGTTCGTATTGGAATTATCGTTTTTCTCGAAGTCCATGCCGGTATCACTCTCGCTCTTCCTGCTCGTTGCAGAAGAACGAGCTTTCGTCTGCGGCTTTCCTTGCATAGTACTCTGCCTTTTCTCTGATGCCCGATTGGGACGTCTCAACTTTTCAGGAACGACCGAAGTCTTCTCAAACGCGTTCTTGCCCCAATTGGAATTGGGGCCGGTCCCGGTGCTGCCATCTTGATTAACCTTTGATCGCTTTGAGTCCCGCTCTGAATCTGACTCCCTTCATTTGCATAGTCAGCATCAAATCAGAGGTTATTACTTCTTTTCCCAGATGCCGAGCAGAGAAGGACAGGATATAGGCCTACTGCTTCTCTGACTGTGTTTGACCATCTTCCGGGTGCTTTTCCCCTTCTTCTTCTGGTCTCTCCCTAGCTTCCTCTGCAACGCGCTTGGCTTCTAGCGCGTGCATTTCCTCAATTTGCTTGGCTGTTCGCTCGCACTGCTCGATGAGACACTTGTCGATTTCCGCCTTGAGTGTCATGAGCTCGAAAAAGCCCATGGAGCTGACTCTGTTTGTAGACGGCCGCCTTTTTGATCTACGAAATATGGGCTCCTCCTCCGACTCATCGTTGACCGGACGCCCGTCCATGCAAATACTGGAGTCGTTGAAGAAATATGGGTAAATATCGCCCGATCCACGTCCTCAGAGACAGAAGTAGTCTCCTCCGGATCAGTGGCAAAGCAAGTAGTTGTTTGCTCTGGGTATAGATTTAGAGAGATGCAAATGTGGTCGTCTGGCTTATTCGTGACTAGCAAGAGCTCACCTGATGGGTAGCGACGATGAAGGTAAACGTACTTGGCCTCCTAGGAAAAATACAGTCCGCTCATCTATCAGAGAGAGCGGGATATTCCTACGGTAAATATTTTAGAAAGAAGAAGAAATGGCAAGATCGTATGTGTTTAATGCCGCGGACGCATTTATGATGTGAAAACATGTTTTGCTTACCACCTCCCGGAAATTCGGGAATAGTCCTACATCGGGATTCCCGCAGGATCCCACCACATAAAGTAGCGTTGGGATGTACTGCGTTCTTGTAACAATCTTTCTAAAAGATGGTATCAAGGAATTTCGGTATATAGGATTATAAAGAAAAGTCAAGCCCAATAAGTAGGGAAGCACGTTCATTATGCAGTGGACAAGCAAGGTTGAAAGGGAGAAAAAAATGCTAGAATATAATTAAGACAAAAAGAGAATTCATATGGGTTTACAGAGGTACAATAGCAAAAAAAGGTGATAAATAAAGTTGGGTTGAAAAGGAAGAGAATTAAGAAAATGAAACTTGAAATGCAAAAAAACTAAACATCGAACAGGTACATGCGCAAAGAACCAAGAATTTCTCAGCCCTTTAAAGCGCTCTCCCTGCTCCTGATATATGCTCACTAGCTTCGTCTAGCACCTGAACTTTCCCAACTCAAAACTGCCCAGCTAACGTATACTGCTGATGCAGTTGACAATGTTTCCATTTCGTCATCATCATCGTCAACAATGAATTTTCTGTCCTATCCTGTTCCTGTCCTGCCCACGCATGTCTTTGCTCTCATGCTCACGCACGCCTTGACAATGCAACAAAACATCAATTCGTTTCAAAGACCGAACTGAACCCTTGCCATGTCCTTTTTGTCTCTTGCGTCACTCCCTGCACAGCGAAATTCATCCAGCATACAAAAGTGACCGAGTAAGAATAAAGGAGACTGAAAAGAGTCCTGTCCAAACCACGCGGGCTTCCTTTTTCCCAATCGAATTAAAAAGAGAAAAGAAAATACACCCATGAGATATTGATTCTACTTTTTTTTTCATGCCGTCATCTGTCATCAATCTGTCGTAAACATCGTGAGTGTGAGGCGGACTATGTTGTTTTGGTTTTTTGTCTTTTTGCAATTGCACGCTTTGCTGGTAGATCATCTCTGCAAATTATTGGTAAAATAAGAGGTGAGGCATGAGATATTTTCCTTTTCCGTGCAAATTACTCCACGACAATCTCCACTCCGGATTGGCTAGACAACTCGTCGCTGCCCCGGTTCCGGTGACCATTTTGACGCCCACGAGGGAATCCAGATCCCCTCTCCGGAGCAGGTCCGCGTGGTTGTCTCATTGGGGGCATAGCCGATGCCCGATCCCTGGTCGGATCATCGTAACCCATGCTGAACGATCGGTTGCTGCCAATAGGTCCAGCAACTGAAGTCGGGTGCTCGCGATCCCATGACATCATTCCTCGAAGGCCACGAGGACTACCACCAGCCGCGCTGAGGCTGCCACCGCCAAGCGACATGCCTCCAAGCCCATTCACGAGCAGATTATCATCCCGAGAGAAATTGCCCGTGGGTGTGAGGCTCGGAGTGGTTGAAGCCCCGCTTCCAAAGTCATTATACTTGGGCACATTCGGGTTGAGGGTGGCCGGGAAGCTCGCGGATGAGGGAACTGGCGACGGAGTATAGGACCGAAGGTCGGCAAATGACTTTGCAGCTCGCAGGTTTTGTCCAGCAGACAAGGGGCCAGGAGAATCAGGGATTCCCAGGAGGCCCGATGCTTGGCGACCGAGCGTAAAGAATCCATTCTCTCGAGCCTCGCTGAAATCAATCGTCGCAGCGCGGTTCAAGCCGCGTCGCTGCGTTTCGCTGGCGACCGGTGGCACAGCGGTCAGCTGGGGGAGAGGAGGACTCGTGTTGGCGCCCTGCGGCACGCGGAAGACATGAACCTGTCGCTGCTCGCCTGCACCTCTAGATACGTGCGCCAGGGCCATGTGGTGGGCGAGTGTGTGCACGATCCGTCTTTGAGTTGGCGTCAAGGTTGAAGGGAACACCAAAGCCTCCCGGGAGAGGTCGTCACGGAAGAGCAAGAGCTGCGAATAGAATTGAAGAGTCTGTGGATCGTTGAGATCAATCTCTGCCGATTGAGTTAGTATCTTGTCGGCGCCAAGGCCAGTGGAGTCCCATATACCTGGCTTGGCACTCCTCGCCGACACAGGTGATGGCGATGTAGCAGGGATGTGAGAGGACAGAGAGGACATGGACGGCTGCGTGTGAAGCTGTGAAGTGACCATGGGCCGGTGCTGCTCCTCCAGCTGTCCACGTCGCTCGCGCTTCTCTCTCTCAATCCGTTCCCGCTCAGCCAAAGGTAACATTTTCTTATACTCGACCCTCAGCTTACGTCCTTGGAGCTCAAAGTGGTTCAGATGCTCAATGACGGCGGCTGTCTCCTCTGGAGTTGTGAAGTTGGCAAAAGCAAGCCCGCGAAAGACGCCATTGTCAAAATGGTAGTTAAAGGCATATGGCAAGGGCAGGCTCATGTCGGTCATGAGTTGAACCAGCTGTTCCTTCTTCACGGCAAAGGGAATGTTCTTGATCACAATGGCCGTTGGGATCAACTCCTCGTCATCACTGGCTACCGGCTCAGACCGCAGGGCAGCACTGCCAACAGGGGAATTGGCCATGCCGGCAAAGGGGCTCACGCTCGGCAGTATCGGGGCTTGGTCCAACCAAGTCTTGGAGAGGTCAGTAGACGGCCTTTGAAAATGCCAAACGCAGGAACAACAGTGTTTTCTTACCGACGGGAGAGCGCTTCGCTGCTGTCGCGCGGGCGGCTTCATTCTACCAGTTGTTCCCAACCCTCCCAGCGCGCCTGCGCTGCCACCGAATCCGCTGGGATTCCAGGTTTGCGCGCCGTTCATGTCGTAAGCATAATTATTCTGCATCGGCGCGTTCAAACGATCGAAGCGGGACGAATCGTAGCGGGGTGCATGCTCATCTGTTGCATAGAGCCCACTCGGCAGCTGCCCGTAGGCATCAAACTGCCGTGATGGCTGCCGGTGCAGCGTTTGCGGATGGCGATGCGATCCAGGGGATCGAGACGTGGCACTTTCGTAATACATGTCGTGAGGATGGTTCATAACCCAGTGGCCCTCTCAACTATCTCACAAGGCCTCGGATAATTTTTGTTTCCTTCTTTTCTCCACGTCGAAAATTTCCACCTAGGAATGTCTCTCCTTGCGTCCACTCACGGGGCCAGAACACTCTGCCTTTTTTGTTTGTCGGGAAATCGCGAGCGAGCGATCAAGCGACCGAACTTATTGGATGCAATTCAGAATCCACTTGGCTAGACACACCAAATAGAATTCCAGAACCACGGGCACGCGTTGATAAAATGTGCTGCGAGAAAACAGCAACAACGGTTCCGAATTCGTGGGGGTTGCAGGGGGTGAAAAAGAAAAAGACTCCGTTATATGCTCGAGAGAGTGGGTGACGAAGCCCTCACAAATGCGTTTTCTCCAGAAGCGAATCTTGAGAGGGTGAATGCAATAGTCGACGATGGAGGAGGATGGATCGTTAAATCATTCAAGGCGTCGGACTCGTGATAACTATGCAGTGATAGTCTCGGGCCATCAAAGATGAATGCAAGTGAACATCGGCCGTTTTCCTCGTCGAACGTGACAGTGGTGGGGTCTTCTGTAAGGTGTCGTCGAAGAGAGGAGTAGCGACAATTGGCAGCTGATACGATGACAATGTCGAGGTAGGCCGTACAGGAGAAGATATAGTTAAATGCTGGGAAGCAAAAAGGGCGGGGAGAAAAAAAGAGAGAAATAGAATCGGGTTATGCTTCTCTCTCTCCTCAGGAGAGTGCAGGAGGGAGAAGGGTGTGAGAGAGGCGGAAGTTGGCACAGAGAAAAGGGCCTTTAGGGATGAAAATTGTGCGGCGATGGGGAATCGGAGAGACTTGGGTTTTTCCTCTTTAATTTTCCCTTTGGCTTGGTTCTCGGTCCCGGGGGGGCTTGAACGGCGGGTACAAGGGTTTTTGCCTCCGTGGCACCTAAGCGATAAGTACCGATAACACTTCTCTGGTTCCGACAAGGGAATGCCGATTCAACCCTGACGGAGGGAACGATACAGGAGAGTGTGTGTATGAATGAGCGCGAGAGAGAGATATTGAGGCTATAAGACAGCTGAATGATTTAATCCAAGAAGGGGAGGGAGAAGAAGACAATAAATATTATGATTATAATGACGACGATGGCGATTGCAGATAGATAGAGATAAATGCACTATTGTCGAACAAGTCAAAGTGAGTTGAGTGCGAGAAACACAGGATTAGGCACGAGGACACGGTGATACTAAGCTGGACGGGTCAAGAGGCAAAGGTGGCATGCAATTTATTCAAATCCTCTTCCATTACCTTATGACAAGAATAAATAGGGGACTGCACTTCTCAGGGGTGGGAGCCAAAGGGGAATGACGATTAAACGTGACTCAGGAGCCTCATTTGGACCCATGATCACCTTTCTGCTTCATCGTCTCGCTTTTGCCATGGCTATTATGTTTGTCAGCCTATAAAAGGCCACTTTGACAAGCTAAAGCACCTATTGAATTTATCATATTTCGGTAGGCTCTAGGAGGCCCTTTTTGTAGCATAGTTCACAAGTTGGATTCTCCTTCAAAAGCATAATCTTACTAAGGCTCCAGGGCTGGGATTTGGGCTGTTGCGCGGCGTGCTAAGAGGCAAGGTTCTCTTAAGGGTCTTTTCAGAAGCATGGTAGTACTAGCAGCTTCGGCCCGGCCTCCCATGACTTTCAAAGTTATCCAAACCAAGAGTCGAACACAGCAATTCAGAGTAGATGGGAAGGGGGGCACACAGGGCAAGAAGGGAAAAAAAAAAAGGGGAGCGGATCGGACAAGACCAGCGTATGGAACTAAGGACCCGCGAAGAAGATTCAAGGCGATGACGCCGCATCGTTCATTCAGGGTGATGCAAGAGTGTCGAGAAGATGTGGGGCCCAAACGAAAATGAGAAGGACGATCGCCAAGAAGCAGCGAACTCGGACATGCAATATGTAATGTTGTCTGGATTGAATTGGGTAAAACGGCCGGAGCCACAAAGAAGCAAATCAGTGAGATCCAGAAAAAGAAAAAGCAAATGAATTACTTAGGCTGCCACATATCTGCTGCCATCCGGCGAGAAACGAAATACAACATGCAGCCGACGAGAGCTTCAACATGCATATCGAAGCGAAGTGAAAGCGTCACAAACGATGGCTGGTGGATAAAAAAGAACCAATGTAATTTGCGACGAGTCAGAATGCTTCCAAGCAGGACCCCGAGGAGGGCTTGGAGGGTGCTTCTGGTGGCAGATCAAAGCAGGTGGGATGTGTGTGCCGGGGTCTGGAGATGGCCGAATAATTTGAAAGTTGTTTCTGTCTTAAAACTAAGTTAGGTTGCTGCATCCACACTGGTCTGCCCCCAACTGCGCTGCAGAACGCCCGTCCACCCGGCCAAATATCGCTGCGGCTCGACAAATGAGGTAATCGCTGCCCTGCAACGAAACGTGGTGGTGGCTGCCCGAGACGAACCGTTTGTCGGTCCGTGGATGTGAACCGATCTGAGTAGTTTTGCCGTCCCGTGGTGCTACCAGCCACTGTTGACGACCTGTTCTTCTGCTCCCAGGCATGACAGTCTCCAAAATTCGTCCCAGGCGTGGTTCGACAATTCCATATAATCCAATCAGTACAAAGTAATGTAACATGAAATGCGACCTGACGTTGACCTAGAACATGCAAATTACTGAAATGGGTCAGTTTGGCTTCTCCCTTCTTCGAGGTTCCGTTTGACGACTAAACGGGCACCCCTGAAGTTCTGGAATAGAACAACATAGCAACGCCAATAGCAAAGCAGAATTGTATGAATATAGAGCAGCAAAAAAGAGCGAACGCCACCATCATTTTTCCGAGACGATTGAAACGTAAGCTCCCTTTAGTGAGGTGGATCAAGCCAGACAAACAAAAGTAATGGGGCGTTTGCCCAATAACCGCAGACCTTGACGAGGAATGTTTTCCCCTTTTCTGACTGTCTTCACCCTGGGTTAGCCGACAAGCTGCAAAATTTAGAAAAGACCCCACTGTAGCAATGGCTCCGGAAAATTGGCGGAGATGAAGTTCAGAATGTCAGTATGTCGCGTGGCCCAAGCCATGGGTGGAGAATAATGAAAATAGAAACCAGAACTAACTGCCAAATCAACGAAGCTCATTTATTCCAGAAAAGGGGGACAATTTAGCAACGACACTAATATTTTTCACGTCCAGCTTGACTGCGGTTTCAAATCATCTTAAAAGAACCAGGGCCACTTCGGAGATGTCCCGGGCGAGGAGGATGATTCGCTCGACGGTCGCAAATGATGAAACAGGCATGATGAGAGTTGTAATAGGAGTGTAGTCGTTGAGACTGACCGCCTACTCTAAGGGCAATCAAGCCACGGCTCTTTTGCATGAATCGAATCGGAGACTTGTTTTCACAGGTAATCTATGTTCATCTGTCAATCATTCGCTCTCATATGCTTCAGGATGCAGCTTGCACCTCGCTTTGCACACTGCTGCCAGGGCTGCTGTGTGTTGGAGACTCAAGCCGATTCATTTTATGTACAGCGGTCGCTTTTCACTAGGCTATTCCAACATCTATGCGAGGGAAAGCTGCGTTATCAAATTGCATGCTCCTTAATGAGAGAGATCCAACATGCTTCTAAATTGATATATCACATCGGAAGGCGGACCGCCATTTCATGCCGGAGCGTATGCCCGCCCAAATGTGCGCATAGACTGTGTCGCATCTAGCTTTGCCTGCATGAACTTCGTTAATTGTCCCAAGCAAGTCATAGGAAATTGAAAAGAAAAATCAGAGATCTTGTTTTTAATGGTGCGATTGTAATGGTAATGCAAGTACCACAATGCATTTACTACATTCAGCATTTTATGGTGTATCTAGATGTGGGTGGTGCCAGAGGTGTTGATTCTCAATATCACGAATTTGGTTGCTACATTCCACACTCCACATCCAGGAAGGTGCTGTATTATGTTCATATTACTGCAGTGTTTCAGGCAAATTCAATCTCCAGCCCATCAAATTGAACCTCCAGGTTGCCAGCTTCATTTGACGGTTTCGCAGCGAATGCACCGACCCAGCACTCAGCTTTGTCTTGACTGTCGAATGCCCACGTGACTTCTCTAACTGGTCTTTTTTCACCGTCTGCTTCAATCACATAGATCCACAAGCTGCCATCCTTTTCGCGGATCATTTCGATGGTGACATCACCGTTGTTGGGTTGCGGCATGGGTGACAAGCTCCAGTCGGACCATCGATCGGTAGCCACAACGCTGACATTTGGCCGACCATGCGTAAATTCAATGCCGGCTTTAATCCACTGGTACTTTGGATTACCGTCTAGAGCGGCAGATCCGGATGACGATCCTGTAGCCGCTGAAGATCCTGCGGGCAAAGGTCCGCTTTGGAGCGGATCCGCTCCAGTTGGGAAAATGATCAACGCCAGTCCGCCTTGGTCGTAGAGTGTTTTCCAATAGGCAGACACTCGGACTCGAGCCCTTTGTAAGCTGGCGAGCGGCGTGGCGCGAGTATGCAGGAATGGCACATTGAAACGGCTCGTTGAGGGCGGCTTGCGCCAGAGGTCAGTGCCAGGATTGGCGGTGATGGTGAAGGGTTGCTGCAGCGAGCTGGGCACTTGCTGTGCCGAATTGGAAAATTCAAACGCTTTCATTGCCAAAATGGTTGTTCTTTCTCAAGCTCTGCGAGCTGGTTCTATGAGATGTGATATGCGGCTAAATGAAAGTCAAATAAGTTGAGAAGCGAACGAAGCCCTAAGCCAGTACTTATATATGTTGTGCGATAATACACATCCAAAAAATGAATCGTGGCCTCTTTCAGTCTTGTCGATTTGATATTACCGATTAAAGCATTCTTGGCATGTCAGCATACGCTCTATAGCTTTGGCTGGTTCTCAACGCCCTATTGTATTCTTGCGGTCATCGTTTGTAGATTTTCATCTATATCGTGTTTGTATATGCTTCTGCCCACTCCGCAGTGCATCGCTTCCCCGCACTCCCAAATTCCCCCACTTTTGTTGGTGACGCGCAACAGCTGTCAGATATGTCCGTCAAAGCATATCAAGCAATCAGGCCACACTCGCATTATTAATGCCCTCGCGTGGCAGTAGATTGCAATCATTTAATGCACGCGAACCCGCGAACCTTGCAAAAGCCGGCACAGCCAGCAGCAATATCTGCTACAGATGCCCTTTTCTCTATTGCACACACATATACCCTCTTTCCGTCTGTAACCCTCGCACCAGCATGTCGAAATGCATCAGCCAGTCCGCATCGCTGCTCACCCTCCAAGATATCACATGACTGAATAGCGTACCAAGCGGCAAAGTTCGGGCGGAGCCACGATTTGCTCGCCCATCCTTGAACGGCACGGCGGATCTTGGGAAAGGAAAGTTAAAGGAGCCACCCGGACTGGGATGTGTTGAACAAGAAACAAAGCCCCCTGCCGTTGTTGACGAATCAATGTCCTTGGCGCCCATTGCCCCCCCCCACCCCCGCCTCGTGTCCCGCCTCACTTCTTTTCTCTGCTACCGGAGTATGTTCCGTTGCTTCGTACCTAAACTGGATGCTTTCAAGGTGTCTGTCTCAGATCTAGTGAATAACAAAGAGAACAAGTCAGGATATCGGAATGAATCAACAGAGGGGTTTTATCATGCTAAAATACATCCAAGCGTTGAGTCTACCGGCTGTAGTAATACAGCAAGCGATTCGTTTCTCAACTTGCCAAGAATACATGGTTTTGATATGACTTACAGCCAAGAAGCATCCGTCTGAAGACCAGGAGAGATGCCCATCAAATTCTCTAAAGATATGCAATATTAAAACATGCATAAGAAATTGCCCGCTATATATTATCCGCAGTATAATCTTAAGTAGAGCTAATTAGCTATTTTATATGTCTTCTCCGCCATCAAAAACTATAATAGCATGTGAAAACATTTGGGCAGAAATAAATTGATTGCACATTTTGTCAACTTCAAGAAGCGTGTTTAGGAGCAATTTGCGTTATGATTACCGGAAATAAAACAGCTTTGTTTTGATTGAAGATAAAATGACTTGATATCAACAAATTAAATTATTTGGAAAATACTAAGAAATTCTCTCAAAGCATCAAAAAAACAAATGAAGTGTTAAATAAAATTAATTCCTTGGATCCTCATCTTCTCAAGTAGCTGGCCCGAGAGCAGAAATCAAGACATATCATCACCAACCAAGATCAAACTCGTTTCTTTATCCGCATACCAGGTTGCATTTTAGCCTATTTGTTTGCTCGTTTGAGCAATACTAATCCAGCTTAACCCACACAATGAAAAAGGAAAAAAAAAGTTGAGTGAGAAGAAAAGAGGAGAGAACTGAAGTGCTCAAGCCAACATTGCGGAACACAAGGAGAAAAGCAAAGAAAAAGTAACCGTCCCCGAACCCCGACGCATAATAAGCCATCCGGCCAAAGACTACCAACCGTCGCCGAAACAGAAAAAGAAAATTGACAGGGAAGACTGTTCCACATCCCTAAGCTAGGAAACCCATCTCAATATTCGATAAGAATTCTAGACTGAGACGAGCCCATGGTGCGAAAAAGAGAGACCGCATCGAGTCGATTTAAGTCCTACCGCGTATTATGCTGTCTAAGCCTCGATGGCCTTGCTCTTCTTCTTCTGCTCAACCTTGAGAAGCAAAGCTCTGTTGATGTGTGGTAGTACACCACCGAAAGCGATGGTGGCGCGAATCAAAGTGTCGAGCTCTTCGTCACCGCGAATGGCGAGTTGAAGATGGCGCGGCGTGATACGCTTGACTTTGAGGTCCTTGGCAGCATTCTGCAACAGCAAATAAACTCAGCAACGGTAAATTGTGAAAATCCGAGGAAGTTAGTACTTACACCTGCCAGTTCGAGCACTTCAGCGGTCAGGTACTCGAGGACAGCAGTGACGTAGACAGCAGCTAGAGAAAGTTAGCAATGCGGACCACCAAAAGTTTCGTTCGCCACCTACCCTTTGCGCCAACCCGCATCTTGTTCTGGGTGTTGTTCTTGAGAAATCTCTTTACACGACCGCAAGGGAACTGCGTAAAATTAACATCAGTAATCGGTACTCGGACAGCGAAATATGAGACCAAGCAAAAAAATGAACAATGACAACGCGTCTAATCGCTCAAATTATGATATCCCAAATCCAAAATCATTCACAAAACTGCACTTCCTCCCAGATTTGAAGGAGAAGAAGCTCAACTCAAACGCGTACGAAATGTCCATGCCGAACAAAGTACGCGTCTGTTTGATGCCTGGAAAGGTAGAAAGAACGGCGGAGATTTGCGCAATGAATTCAGATTCGTAGAAACTAACCTGCAAGCCAGCCTTCGCGCTGTGAGACTTCTGGCTTTTGCCAGCGGCTTCCTTGGGGCCTGCCTTGCCGCCATGAGATTTGCCCTTTCCGCCAGACATGATGGATTTTGATCGCAAAAAATCAAAGAGGCGAATGAAAACGAATATGCGACACGTATTTTGATATTAGGAGCACTGAAAAACCCGGTTGGCGGCGAAAAATCGATGCCGATTGAGCGGAGGGGCGAAAGTTGTTTTGCTATGGTACGAGGGACGTGTCGAGAGTCGAGAAATGCTCGTAAGATCACCCGAAGCGAGGCGCGGCACGTGATCCGAATCCTCCATCATATGCAATGACGACAATGTAAAGAAGATGGTGAAACTGTCTGCAAGCATAGTAGACGTTGCGTTTCCCACAATTTTGGTGAGTAGAATGACAATATGCTATCAGTCACTTGGAATGATGTTCGCTTTTTGCCATCTACTCTCGAATAAGTCTTGGCTGTCAAGTAATAAAAGAACACTCATTTGCTAGAGCATTCAAAGGAGGGCAATCCGAGTTCCGGGAAGACAGGGCATGTATTAGCGACAAGAGATCCCTTGAATGCCGTTCATTCCAGTTAATGATCATTTGCTATCGCAATGATATCTCCTGACCGTGGTAACTGTAAAGCAAGGTGAAACCCACGCCATCAGAAGAGAAAAGGGTGGTTGACAGCCCATATCATATCTGCTTCTCAGCTGTACAGTGGAATCGGAACGCTCCACTGTATGGTCCTGAAAGCTGTTGGGGATGAATCCATTATCCCTCCTCACGTGTATGTTTATGTCGAGGATATCAAAACGCTGATGAGTTGTGATGTTTTGAAGAGCTGCAGACCAGAGCTCAATATTGTCGTCGGTACGTCGGTCTCGGAGCTCCGATAGTTTGACAGGTTTGTTCACTTCGCGGATAACATATGTATTACGTCTAGCAACATCATCATCGGCTAACAACAACAAGTTGACCATACCTTGAGTCGAGAATAAAAGCCATTCTAACATACTTCTACTGACCCCAAAAGTAAAAAAGAAATTGACCATGTCTTCAGCTCTTTCTGGCCCACTGCCTCTGCAAAACTCAATATCAAAAGCCGTTCTGCCAGCCTTCATATATGGCACTGCGTGGAAAAAGGCAGCCACTGCGAACCTCGTTTACGAGGCATTGAATCGCGGGTTCACCGCCATTGACGTTGCAGCGCAACCAAAACATTACCGAGAGGATCTTGTTGGTGAAGCGCTTCGACGAACGGTGAAAGAGGGGAAAATCCAGCGGAAGAATGTTTTTGTATGCTTTGTTTCCCTCATTTGCAGCTGAGGATACAGAGGCTAATTGTTCCTTTCCCTCAGCTTCAAACTAAGTTTACCCCTGTGAATGGTCAAGATCCAAATAACATGCCCTATAATCCAGATCTTCCTCTATCTGAATAAGTTCGCGCTTCTGTGAGCTCATCGTTGTGGAACCTTCGACATGATGAGCAATCACAGGATGACGCATATATTGATTCTCTCGTTCTCCATAGTCCGCTCCCTGCTATGGCGCAAACGCTCAGTGTCTGGAGAGCCTTGGAAGAATTTGTGCCTCACCGAATCCACCATCTTGGCATTTCTAATACTACTCTACCCGTCCTTGAAGCCCTATACGAAGAGGCAAAAGTGAAACCTGCTGTGGTACAAAATCGGTTTTACCTTGACACCGATTTCGATATCCCACTTCGTGCCTATTGTCGGAAGAAGGGCATCATCTACCAAAGTTTCTGGACCCTGGTAAGTATTGCACTGGTGGAATTTATGAAATTACTAATTTTAATCGAGACTGCCAACCCACGGCTTCTGAGATCTGTTCCAGTTGCTACTATTGCGGAGAACGTGGGCATTGAAAAAGAGGTTGCTCTTTATTGTCTGGTTCTGGGTCTAGATAACACAGTCATCCTGAACGGTACCAAGGACCGTCAAAGGATGGCAAGCGACTGGGAAGGCTTGAGAAAGACCCGGGATTGGGCAAGAGATAATGCGTATGAATGGGAGAATCAGCTAAAGCAGTTTAAGAGTGCGATTGGTGAGCATTGAATCACAAATTCATATGCATTAAAAATGAAAGTCTCAATCATTCGGACAGCTCTAGAATGTTGTTGCAAATAAAGAACAGCACAGATAGATGTAACATCATTCCGGTCAATCCTAGAATCTAAGCATGTGGTATAGGGGATGTACTCTGATAGTGATCCATGCGACAGGGAATGATGTCAAGGATCTGGTTCTGATGATTGAAAGAACCTCATTTATTCCGTTGCAGCAATTTGAACGTGAGATACATTAGATCACGTGAAATACTGGAGTGAATTACTGTCATCGATATTGCATGTATATCAACTCAATTTGTTGGTGCTTGCACATGAGAAGAACAATTCTTTGGCCATGCAGCTACCTAGGTATACGGTATGATTTATCCGTTCTCCAAGAGAATTTCTCGCGCGATAAGTTTACTATGGCGGTTAATCCGTCGCTTCGGCTGGCTGACCAATTAGAGCATAGACATGTGTTTCCCCATCCGAAACGGTGAGGCTCTGACGTGAAGTCCCCGTCCCCATCATCACCTTATCCCGAAGAGCCTCGAAAATCTTCACCGTCAAATTCTCTGTCGCCAACATTAAGGTTCTTTCACACTACCTAGATGCCTGAGTAGAGGCATTGTGGTCGCTGTGGTCGGACTGACTACTCTACTGGGGCCCCAAGCTGTCTGGATCATTCCGCAAAGATCAGACGCACTTTTCGTCACTCCCGCATTCACCCCACCACAACAAGAAGCCTGCCGGAACAGCCGCAACAATTTTGATACCATTTTTCTCAACTTTTCAGTAAACACCCCCCAACCAGCACATTCCTGAATCCTCCTATATTTGTCTTGGAGTATACATTCGCGCCGGAACTTTCAACCTCTCAGCTCTGTTTCGAAATTCTAGACTGGTTCGGATATTCCACTCAAACCTAAACACTAGTGATTCTCCTACGGTTTCACGTCAGTCAACGCATCGGCAAAGACCTGCAAATTCGTTGAAGGCGATTGGCACTTGGTGCTATCTTTCCGATCTTCTGTTTCTGACCCTGTTATTGAACCCGTACAAGTCTTGCGAATTCAAGATCGGGGTGTTTAGAATCTTGGGAAGTTGCCAGAAAGAGGAGAGAAGATAGATCTGTGGAAGGTCGCGAATTTTATAGCAAGAGTTTGGATCTAGCATGCCCCCATTTGCTGGCTCTCGCAAGAGACCTGCTCCTGGAACATCGCCTGCAGCACAACCACCATCACAACAGGAGAGCGCTCTAAGCTTCCCTATTGCAACGAATTCGCCGCGAATGACGAATGAACAGTTTTTGGGCTGGAACCAGAACGCCATGGACGGCACGAACTTTGCTTTTCCTGACCCTTCTGCGCCCTACGGGTCCAGCACCTTCAATAGCGTCGGTGGCGGTCTAAATCAGTCGAACGTGGTTGCCGCAACACCCTCAAATCAACTGACGCGTCGGCCGACCACTCAGCATCTTGTTTCCAGACCTAGACCTTTTCACGACGCGCACAATGATCCATGGGCGGATTTTGGGGAGGAAACTGTACCGCAACAGAACAACACATGGTCAAATGGGAACGAGGATATCACTCAGCTGGAGCAAAGAGCCCTTGTAGCAAAAAGAGACGCACAAGCGAAACGAAAACAGATACCTCCTTTTGTTCAGAAACTAAGCAGGTAAGTGTGGCGTCTTCTATTGCTGCCTCAAATTGAAACTCAACTGACTGTTATGACAGCTTCCTTGACGAATCGAAAAACACAGATCTAATTCGATGGTCCGATAATGGTGATTCCTTTATTGTTCTGGATGAAGATGAATTTGCCAAAACACTCATTCCTGAATTATTCAAACACAATAACTACGCTTCATTTGTTCGCCAGCTTAACATGTACGGCTTTCACAAACGTGTCGGACTGTCGGATAATTCAATGAGAGCAAGTGAGAAGAAACACAAGAGTCCAAGCGAATATTGGAACCCTTACTTCAAGCGGGGCCATCCCGAACTGCTTTGGCTGATCCAGAAGCCAAAGAACCCGGCCCCAGCCGGGGCTCCAAAAGGTGGAAAGGCTGGAGCAAGAGGAGGCAAAAGCGAGAGCGTGGATGATGGCAATGTTCGAGAAGAATCATACGAACATGATGGAGCTGGCGGAGCATTGAAAGGAGAGAATGAAGCTCTCATCGAACAGGGCGGTGCCAGTGGTCGTGGGCTAATTGCACTTCCTCGAAACGAGCTTGCCAATGTTCGGGAGGAGCTGGAGACCATACAAAACCAGCAGAAGCAAATTGCCGGGGCAATACAGAGGCTTCGACAACAGAACCAGCAACTGTACGAGCAGGCGGCTGCCTTCCAAACTATGCATGACCGGCATGAAAACTCAATCAATGCCATCTTAACCTTTTTGGCTACCTTTTACAACAGAAGCTTGGACGGCCAAGGGGGACAGAACTTGGCGAGCATGTTTGCCGGAGCTATGCCTCATGACGCAAAAGGACAGCGCAACGTAGTCGATTTGAGTGATTTTCAGCCACAAACAATGGACGCGGCCGCGTCTCCGATGCAGAGACCTCCGAGAAAGGCTCCGTTGTTACTCAAAGCACCACCTGCGGAGGGACAAGACACTTACCATGGCAAGGTGACAAGCGTCTCGCCTGGAGCGACCTCGCAGCACTCTGATATACCCCGTCAATACCCCTATAATGTCCACAACCGAGCATCAAGTCGCTCCGGGACTGTTGAGGAAGTCGTCGACGCCCCGCAGTCTGGCAGCCCGCCTGTCAAGCCTGACCATGACCTTCCGCGTCGTACAGGCCACACACCCGAGGAGGACATCATGTCTCTCATCAACAATGCAAATGCTAGCAACGAGGACATGCAAGGACCCGGTTTCGACTTCCCTGCAGCTCTAAACCATTTCGAGAATGCCGACGGAAACACGCCTTTAACGAACAAACAGCGAACCGATATGCTCAACCTCATGGCCAATAACGCGAACGCCACCAAGAATGACAATAACAACGCTCTAGTATCTCCTGCACCGCCACCAATGCCTGGCCTTGACCAACTGCAGAGAAACCGAGAAGAACTTGACATGCTTTCGCGCCTTCAAGCCGAGCAGGATTCCAAAGTTCAGCATCTCACCAGTATGTTACAGCCTTTGAGCCCAACAGGATCAATCCCTGGTCTAGCCGACGGTCAATACTACAGCGGCCAGGCGGGAGACACTATCCCTCCGCCCCTGGATATCGATCAGATTTTTAACAGCGGCGATTACTTTGCCAATCACGGCAATGGTGATATTGGGTTCAATAATGACAATACACTTGGCTCTGGTATCAACTTTGACTTTGACGACTCAAATGCGACCCACAACGCATACCAAGAGAATACCGACCGGCCAGACCGTGTTGTCGAAACTACAAGTAATAACAGCGCAGCAGCTAGCCCGGCTAATCCCGTTGTTGAAGACGTCACCAACGAGATTACTCCGCGCAAGCGGCGGAGGAATGACTCCTAATGTGCACACTTCTCACCCTCCAAACATGTTACGAATATGCTCTTGCCATGCGTTGGCGCTGTGTGCTCAAATTTCTTCACGATGAATACGTCAATTCAGATTTTCGGTTGTACTGTATTTAAATTACTCTCTCTTTGTCCTCATTTTTCTTGTTCTGACTTTTTGCCATTGTTCGATTTTTGCGACTCTAAGGGCGTTGTTAGACTGGCGTGGAAAAGAGAAAAAGCAGATGGAACTTTTTTTTTGGAACTGCCTCAGGTGCTTTGCTGGTATATTTTCTTTTTCCCCCCTTCCCCTGACCTCCCTTTTTTGGTACGGGGCTCTTTGCTTGCATTTATGAATTTCCTTTCACTTATCATCTACTCTCCCTGTGTTCCGTCGTCTTTCCTACATCATACACTCATATCGGAGCTCTATCTGCAAAATGCCTGCAGACATAGCCTTTCCTGATTATTCTTCAAATCCCTCAATCCACTTTCACACTCCAGAACATTTTATTTCTATTTTACTGATTGATTCATTGATTGGTTCCTTATGGGTCGTCGGATTTCTCTTTATGTTTGTGTACGCCCCACTCGCATCCTGCGGGGGCCGGGGAAAGGATAGAGTGACCTTTCTTCGTGTCAATTATTTCTTGTATGGTGTCCTTGGGTTCCCTTTTCTCTCCTGAATATTTTACCTTTTCTCTTCTAAATACTATGCTATGCTGATGTATTTTTTTATTTCTGAGTCGCTTTCTCACTGACGGTATGTGATGTGCGCGTGTGTGGACGTGAGACTACTACATTTATGTTAAAGGTCGTATGGTCCTCGAATGATTTGCTTCGTGGGTTGAATATCTAACCAACCAAGGAAGTCTTCTATACTAGTAGTTTGCCCATTGAATTTCCTCTTGGTTAGATGGATTTGTTGCAAAGTTATATATACTGATTTAGTTGTTTTTACATAAGAGATATTTTTTCCTAATTGAACGCCTTTGTGGATATCAAGGTAAGAACTTTTTTTGGAAGCTAATTTTCGAAAGAAAAATTTTCGATAGATTTCACTGCGGATTGTCCACGTACAGGCCACGCGCTGAAAAAAAAAAAAAAAAACAATGCGCTGGAAGAACATCCTAGGCTTTTAGCGCCTAGCATCTCTATCCCGGGGCCGGTCTCGCTCATACGCCTTCCGTCCTTGCCCTCTAAGGTCACGGTCCCGATCGGATCGTCTTGATTCCTTGATTTCTTTACCCTTTTCTCTTGGATCAATGACAACGAGTTCCTCCTCGTTCTTCTTCTTCCACATGAGATCTTTACCGAGACGATCCTTTTCAAAGCTAAGCGCATGGGACATCCAGCCGCGATCGTTGTCGTTGTCTTCTTGCGCCTCGGCTTGATTGGTGTCCCATGATTTGCACGACTGGCAATTCGCAATAAAATGTAAATCGCACAACTCGGCTTCGTCTTCTGCGTCGCCGACCTTTGGACCGGGGTTGGCAGTATCGGGCGCGGGCGCAGGCGCAGGCACGGGTTCGTTGAGTTGGTCCAAGTCCATTGGGCCTGTAGGGTTCGGCGCACTTGCCGCCGCAGGAGCCTTTTCGAGTTTTGCGCGAAACGAGTTGAGGAAATCGAGAGCGCGTCGCTCGTCGGCCGCGCCACCACCGCGACCACCCTGTTTGCGTTTTCGGCCCCTGATGGAGCCTTCTGGGATCATTTGTTCCAGGGCGGATTTCTTATGGACGTGCTCGGATTCAGAACTGTGCACGTTGCGCTTCATTGAAGCTTTGAGTTCGGCGATCTGAGCATTTGTTCTTTCGAGCAGGTTGTTGACTTTCCCTACAGGCTCAAGTGCAGGTTCGGGAGAGGAGGATGGAGACCGGGAGGCTTTTCGGGCAGGTCTCTGAACAGGCAAGGCAACAGGTTTGTTGGAGAGTTCGCGGCGCGGTGGGGAGGAAGGGCGCTGAGATGCAGCTGGAGCGCTGGGTGCCGGCTTTGGCGCAGGTTTAGGATGGCCATTTGAAGAAGGTAAAATACTGTGGGACTCTTCAGCGCTGACGAGTTTAGGATTGAATTTGGCCTTTTTGGTGGCTGGCGCCGGAGTGTCCGTTTCCATTTCGTCCTCGCCGAAACTGAGTAGCGTCTTTGCGGGCTTCTTCTTTTTCGGCTTCGCTTTTTGCTCCTTGGGACCTTCGGGAAGAGGCTTGGGCTTGATTTCTCTTCGGACCATATCCTCAAAGGGATTAATGAGGATTTCTGTTCCGGTGACCTTGGTCGGGTATTGCGGTCGCTCGGTGCCTTCGACCAATTCTGCCTCGGCCATCTTCATGAGATTATAGATAGTATCACCCACGATCCTCCCGAACATTGTATTCCGTCCCGTGAGCTCCTCTGTCTTGTCCAGTGTCAGGAAGAATTGACTTCCATTGTCGTTTCTTCTACCAGTGTTTGCCATTCCGAGCAGGCCGCGGCGATTGAACTTTAGTCGAGTGTGGAATTCATCCGCAAAAAGTCCACCATCGTATATGGCTTCTCCGCCTTCGCCTGTCCCTGTGGGATCTCCGCCCTGGATGACAAACCCAGGCACAAGCCGATGGAAGATCGTGCCATCGTAGTATCCATCCAGACAGAGTTGGAGAAAGTTGCGACATGTGAGAGGCGTTTGCTTGGCGAAGAGCTCGAACTCGAGATCACCTGATGTTGTCTGGAGGAGGACTTTTCCAGTCGGCTGCGGTTCCAAATTATATAAGGAACTCATGATGTGTGAGGTTTGTTTACTGCCCTGGGAAGATTTGGGTAGGTGTCGCACCTTGGAGAGCTGCAGTGAGAGCTAAACAAGAGAGAAGATGCTGACTAAGCGACATCTTCCGTGTGGATCATCGAATTGTTAGCGTCACAGTGACAAGACTCTAATCATCCACTATCCTGACCGCTGATAGGCAGACCGATAACCATGTGTTATTTCAGCGCCATGTCTCTTCCTTGACTTGAAAAAAATCCTTTGCATTGCTTGACGCTTGTATAAAACGAAAAGATCCAGTTTTGAACTCGCACCACTATTAGTCTTTTTAATCTTGTCTTGCTTTGCTATATAGCGACCAGAACATTGTCCCGGCTTCTCTCATCCCGCTGAACCCTTTCTGCAATTCGCTGTTGTTTTTAAAGATATTGAATTATCAACAATTTCGCATCACGTGCTACATAAACAACGAATAATCTCTCCGCATGTACGCTCCTCGGTGGCTCACTGCCGAGATCGATACGCGATGGGCAGATTTGATCTTGATCGGGTGCTGCTTCACTAGCGGAATTGTCGATGGCGTTGCATTCAACGGGTGGAGCTCCTTTGCGGGCATGCAGACAGGTATGAACTCTGGCCGAGCGACGACCATGTGCGGCGGTTGATGAAGGTTATAGGTAATACCATTTTTGTTGGATTGGGAGTTTCCGGACAGCCAGCGTACAGCAGTTATGGCTGGGCCAAATCCTTAATGGCAGTTGTATGCTTCGCTGTGGGCGCATTTTGCTTCAGTCGAGTTTCGCGGTTTCTTGGAGCTCGACGTCGCGGCACTTTGATGCTCTCCTTCGGTGTGCAAGCAGCTTTCATCCTTGCTACGGCAATTGTAGTCCAGGCAGGAGCTGTTTCGCACCATGTTGCCGTGGAAGGCGAGCATATCCATTGGCTCCAACTTCTGCCTCTCGGACTGCTGGCTGTTCAGGCCGCGGGTCAAATGGTTGCATCACGCCTGTTGGCATATAACGAACTTCCGACGCTGGTCGTCACGAGCGTGCTTTGCGACTTGTTCAGTGATACTCGCCTCTTTCTCGTCTCCTGGACGGAAAATCCGCAAAGAAATAGACGAGTTGCAGCTGTTATTGCAATCTTCCTTGGAGCACTTGTCGCAGGTTTCATGTCGAAGTTGCGAGGACTTAATAGTGCGTTGTGGCTAGCTTTTGCGTTGAAAGCTTCTTTCACGTTGGCATGGGCATTTTGGAGGGAGAAGAGGGAGAACAAGGCTCTTCCAAAATGAAGAGCAGAGGAAACTCCGATGTTACCAAATCTGTGCGGATGTGAATGGAAGATCTCGTATGCTTTACATTGACTTTGGGCCTTCTGATACGCATTGCAGAGGATTGTCAAGCTCTCCTTTCCGAACAACTACCTGGAAGATAAAAATCTTTACAACGCAGGAGGCTCCATGAGCCTCCGAGCATACGTGGACAATTCTATCAACACACAGTTTCTCAGACTTTCTTCATTATTTGTTTTACAGGCTTATGCAAGATGCAAGGGACAACTGCCAATTCGCATCAGTCGGGAAACAGTAGACTATGAGCGTGTCAATTATGCCGGCATGAAGAGATGATCAATTCCTTTCAGGTCCGTGCCTGAAACAGACTTGTCAGAAAGGTGTACTCAAATATCTATCAATTGAACCGACTGGTTGAAGGAGCCGGTCTTCGGAAACCAGCATACATGAAGCATATGGAACTGCATTGGCAAAGGAACCAGTATAAAATATTTGATGATGAATGGAGAATATCGATCGCTACCTTTTGCCCCTGCAGTTATGCGCTTTGTGGAACTCTGCATCGCATTTCACGTTTCGCAAAATCGCACAAAACAATTTGTGCATTGAACGGATTTAGGAGACTGCAATGTCCCTTACATGGCGAAAACGAAATTAATGTGCAAGAGTATGATAATACAATTGGTCACGGATGATGATCATTATGAAATAGTATTAAATGAAATGAGAAGGTGACTGATCCTGGATCATTTCTACGTACACAGACATGATGACAATAATACTCGGGATCCTCGTGGGGACTGCGGATAGTTCGGATTTTAGAATGTCGCTCTGTGTTTTTCGGCCGACATCATCCAGGTATCCGCACTTCCGATACGAAGCATGAGAATTTGCAAGGCTGTGATGATGCTCAACCAGCCACGCTGTGTGTTTCATTGGGCTCGCTTGCTTTTGTGTACTCATCAGATGCTTAAGCTCGAACACTGCTTGTTGCACAGTCAGGTAGCAATCGCTGACTCTTACGAGGAGAAAGTCATTAGCATTGAGTCATTCACCTTACCACAATGAGAAAGGATTACGACCCTTTTTATCCGATTTCGTGTGTTGTTTTCCATCAGAGGAGATGAGCTCTTGTTCTTTCGCTTAAAGCTTCAAGTCAATCTTTTCACACCGAATTGTCTCGGTCATTGGGGCGCGGCAGCATCCCTTAAAGACAAGAGCAAGGATCATGATCTTTCGGCTTTGAAGAGTACGGAGTCAAAGATGCCCGACGAGACTCCGAGTCCGCCTCGGCCCCGAGATTTGATGAAGACACGCTCAAATTGCCTCGTGTGGAGAATCCTGATGCCTGAAATGTATGGATCCAGTGAGTGTCAAAGCTCATTGCAAACCTTGTCGCGGGTACTGGAGCTATGGAGTACTCCCTTGCAGCACAGACTCTGGGTTATACGGGGCCGCATCAGCCGCAACGTTCTGTGTCCGTGCCCTCCAAGGATGCTCACTCACCCCATCTCGTCGGCTCCGCCAAGGGAAACCAGAAAGGATGTCGCCCCGACATAGGGAAATTCTCACTTGGAAACTACATCACAGCACGCTAATGAGATGAGATTGAGACACTGGTTCCCTTCTCATACAGAAGAACTTTAAAAAATTGAGCGGAGCGTACTCTATGACGCTCACATTCGTACAGTGCAGTACCGGCACTTGGAAAGTGCGCAGGACCAGATGATCAAACGCCCGACAGGCCTGCTTGTTACATTGGATACCGACAATTTCGTGCATGCATACACGACTAATTACATATACTCTTTGACTCGAAGAGACTATTTTTGTCTATGTGTTACTTCGTCCCTGGACATCAAAAAGAGTTACTCTCAAAAGGCGCCTCCCATCGGAGGCGGGAGCAAAGCCATCATATGGCTCAAGCCTCTGTCTTTACATCCATCATGTCCCTGTTAAGGCTTCTGTGGTACAAAGCCAGGGCATGGGAGGTATGCAAACGCCGTTCTCCGAGCGTGCGTTCGCCACAATGAGACTTTCTTGCCCTCAGCCATTACTCGCCTGTGAGCAATTGGTGACGAGCGGCGATCGATTGAGAGAAACCAAGGTCCGCTTCATTGGGACCCTGTACCAAGTCGGCCATCGGGCTTCTGCACCAGGGTCACGGTCAAGTCATCATGTATCTCGTGCTGAATTCTGCGAGAGAGTGGTCCTCTCAAATCTACGCTGTTTAACTTTCCATAGGAGAACCGTCTAAACGAGGGCATCAGTTGTGCTTTCAGGACTCATTTCTGTCAGAGACATCAGAGACCCCCACCCCAGCTCACACACAATCCTCGTGGACTTTGCAGCGTGGTCGAAGGTCAACGTGGCACACGAGAGTTTTGCTTTGTTGACAAGAATTCTGATTCTTTAGATTGAATGGCTAAAAATTCTCGGCCTCCGCGCGTCTGTATACGTTGGACAATGTGGAACATCCTCTTATTGTTGGCAGATTTCCCCTCGTGAACTGCCCCTTTTTATCAGACTCTTTTTGACCAATTTCAAGCATTCTGGTCACTTCTACCTAATTACCATATGCTATGGCTCGGACCTTCTCGTTCAATGATCCGGGTTCGTTTCCAAGATGTTGACCGGGCACCCTTGCCCCTGCAGATGCGGTGTCACCTAGCAAACTGCGGTATACGTGGGATAAACCCCTGCTTTATTTTTACATGTGTTTTCGGATGATGTGTGTTGAATCTGGCAGCCTTTTTCCTTTCATCACATTCAATCGAGTCTTGTACGCCACGCACATATGCGACATAGCCTCAAAGCTCCGGCTTAGGGAATTTCCAATGGGAAGCTTGCCCAAGCATCTGCATGCTTTGTTCACTCAACGAAGTGTGTCTTCACCCGAGAAGCGCGATCAACGACCTGTCAGATGCATGCAGCTTCCGTCTGGAATCGAAGTCGTCATAGAATCGAAGGGCTGTAAGACGGCTCTTGTTCTGCCACAAAGTACCGGCATGCATCAAGATGTGCTAGCATGTCAACTCCTTAAGTTAGGCATCTACACCCTTGGAGGCGGATTGTGAGAGCGTTTGAAGCGACTTACCGCCACTTATGGGGTTGATCACCGGTCCCAAGCAAGGCAGACAGCTCTAATAGCTTTTCAGCCTTGAGTATGAACGTTATCTGCCTAGTTCTCTGTCACAGTGAGCAAGGCTATGCCGGCATTGATCAATGGCATTGATTTGCCTGCATCCGACTAGGATCCGTAAAAGCCGTAGCTGAACGGAGATGCGACTAAAGCTCACGCCTCCATGGCTCCAGGAGCTCTAGACTTGAGGTGATAATTATATCTGAACCGATGTAAGATGTGGGTTCTCAAAGACCTTTAGACCTCCGACCCATCGGCGCGGGACCTTAATCAAAAGTTGCATGCTCTATACGCTAGCTCGTGTACGATGGCGCTCATGACTGATCTCATCATGCCCATGACCTATCAACCAGGGTAATTGTCCGCATCCTGCTCGCAACATTCCGAGGGCTTCACGAGCTCTCGCTATTACTGGTAAGACATCCTCGAGGCTGCAGCTCGGATTACGGCTGTCAAATGATGTTCCGTCTTAATTGACAGTAATATCACATCCCTTTCCGGGGCCAGTTTCGAGATACATAAGAGATGTTGCTGCACCTCTATTATCCTTCTGCTGGACCCTAATCACACGATCATTTTCCTTTCTGACCTAGAGGCTGGGCGGCCTCTGAGTCTACACAATGTCGGCATCAACACTCGCAAAGTTCATTGTTAGCAGCCTGAACTTGATAGCTGCGTTATCGCAGACCGCGACCAATGGTTCGAAAATTCTTTCATTTCCCGGTACATCAAAGACTGACAATTAGCTTTAGGAGCTTCGCTGCTCGGAACCTTGCAAGCTCCTAAATTGCCGGAGTTCCTCACCAGTAACGTATGCAGTCAACCTTTTCTGTATGCTTTATGACCCTTCACTTACCAAATGCCCCAGCCATTGCCGGCCGGATTTCCTTGGGGCACAAAGACCGCTACAAATTCCAACCCGTATACGCAGTCGCCAAATACTGGTAGGATATTTTGATAAACTCATTCTTCAATGAAGCTGACGAAATACAAGGAGTAACACGGTACTACAATTTTAACATTCAGCGTGGCCAGATTGCCCCAGATGGATACCAGAAGAATGTCATCCTGATCAACGGTCAATTTCCCGGAGTATGAAGATGAGCTCAATGAGATCCGAACCATAACTTACTTTTTGAACTAGCCTACAATTGAAGCAAACTGGGGGGATATGATAAGCGTGACAGTCAACAACAATATCGCTGGCCCGGAGGAAGGGACATCTATTCATTGGTACGTGTTGAAATCCAGATGAGCTTTGTTATCCCGCTAATATGCAGCTTTTTCAGGCACGGGTAAGAGTGATCAGTATAGCCATCCCTTCGGAAGCTGACTTTAGACGAAAGATTGCTTCAAACTCAAACTCCATGGTACGACGGTGTACCATCGGTACACCAATGCCCAATACCACCAGGAAAGTCCTTTACATACACCTTCAAAGCTGATCTTTACGGGACATCCTGGTACCATGCGCATTACAGCGCTCAATATGCGGGCGGCTTGCTTGGGCGTGAGTGCTGTCAGATCAGTTGGGATATTTCAGGCTGCTTACGGTACCAGCTATGATCATCCACGGCCCAAAAATATTCAAGTACGATGTCGACGTTGGACCGGTGTTCCTTAGTGATTACTGTGAGTACCTGACGTCAAATAGTCGCTGAGAGATGATGAAACTAACTTCCGCCAGACCATAGGGAGTGAGTATCTCATTCCAAAAGAATATTTCATTTCGGTCATTAGTGGCAAATCTAACACAGCAGTAGCTATTTTGACCTTGTCAAACAAGTTATGGGAAACGAAGTGAGTACTTTTACCAGATTAAACGTGAAGATGGGGTTAACATGAACGCAGTCAAGTCCCGTCGTTTTCTCCGACAATAACTTGATCAATGGAAAAATGGATTTCAATTGCTCCACTGTGACGGATGGAACGCCTTGTATGTATGCAACAAGACAGGGACTGCGCTTAGCTAATTGTATTGTAGGCACGAACAATGCAGGTCTATCAAAATTTAATGCAAGTGTCATGTGCCCTACTGTTTGAACATACTGCTGACGAAAAACCAGTTCCAAACCGGCAAGACTCACTTGTTACGCTTGATCAATGCTGGCGCAGATGGAACACAACAATTTAGCATTGACAACCATGTCATGACTGTCGTGGCCAATGATTTTGTACCGGTGCAGCCATACACTACAAAAATTGTGACCCTTGGTGTAAGGAGCCTTTATTACTGAAGATGGCTGAGTGGTCTGATGGTCTAACGGCAATTTGCAGATTGGCCAGCGCACCGACGTTTTGGTGACAGCAACAGGAAACGACACAACCTCCGTCTTCATGCGATCGAATTTGACATGCACACCCACAAACCAGCCAGATGCCCTGGCCGCAATCTATTATCCCAAGGCCAACACCAACACAAGGCCCCAATCCACTGCGTGGCAGCCCAATTCAACATATTGCGGGAATGTAAGTTTGATATCTTAACAATTTCATCCTCAACTCTTCATGTCTGTGAATACGGACGGGTGCTGATTCGTGTGTAATGTGCAGGATCCCCTTGCTCAAACGGTGCCAATTTTTCCTATTACCCCAGCCCCAAATCCAGCCGTCACGCAAGTCTTCGACATGGGACTCGAAGTAAACAGTACAGGGCATAGCCTTTGGACAATGAACCAGGTCTCCTTCCGTGGGAATTTCAAGTATTTAGACCCTTTCTGGCGCTTCGAAGCAGTATCTGACTGTTTCTAGCGACCCTATATTGCTTCTCGCGAAATCCGGAAATACTTCATATCCATATGATCCTGTGAGTGTGTTCCTTGCGCCACTATATCTGTCTGAGCATGTTCAACTGACAAGCAGAGCAGGAGTGGAACGTGTACAATTTGGGCACAAATCAGACTATTCGATTTGTTGTCAATAACAAGACCCCGTTTTGGCACCCAATGCATATTCATGGCCACAACATGTACATTCTGGCCGAAGGAGATGGAGCCTGGGACGGGACAATAGTGAATCCTAATAATCCGCAGCGACGCGACGTGCAGATTGTGCGACCGAACGGATACATGGTCGTTCAAATTGATAACAACAACCCTGGAGTTTGGCCATTCGTAAGTTTCGCCGTTTGGGCAAACAGTTGAAAAATTTCAGCCAGCTAATTCCATTTGGTATTTTAGCATTGTCATATCGCTTGGCACCTAGCGGGTGGTCTCTATGCAAACATAATGGTACGCAATTTTATGACCAACAACCTTTGAGGAATGTCTGCTCTGACCGTTGCCTTAGCTTCGACCGTCCGACATTCGGAAGATGAATATCCCCTCAACCTTTAGCCAGACCTGCAGGGACTGGGCGGACTTTACTTCTACGACGGTGGTCGACCAAATTGACGCGGGAACTTAAGAAAGCAATGGCTTGTTGTTTCAAAAATAAAGAGCTCGACAGGTGACTTGACTTGTGAATTTTCTTCAATTGTGTTTATATGGTGCTTTCGCGCGTTTCGAAATCATTTTGAGAGTATAATTGAATTGTACAATCTGTATGATGGTGGGCGGCAGGTACTCTATACTTCGGGAAGACAAAGGGGAGCTGGTACTAATGGAAAGTGTCTATCTGCATGTCCGGTGTTGAAGGTAGATGTGGGAGTGTCGTTTGGGAGAATATAGTAGTGTACTCAAAGAATGTTCTCTAAATTTGATATTTTATACCTGAATTAAAAGAGAATACAGAAAAATAATAAAATTGAGATGTGAACTCAGGGAGGACAGGTTTTTTTTGCGCAAGGATCATATCAGTGACATTGTTAACCTGGACAAGCAAATAATACAAGAAAAATCCGTGATATGAAGTCGTCTTGATAAATAAGAAGCGGGTTGCCTCAGCGGGAGTGAGATGGACACCTATCAGTGCAGTGCGCTAAGGCGGTTCGATGGATCCATGTTCTGTTCTGATTGTTCGTTGAGCTTCCATTTGCTTGACTTTTAGTCGCTCGGCGGGTCGGCGTCCGGCCGGCCAGACTCTCCCTCCGTCGCTCGCTCGCCATCCAATCTACCACCGTCGCCTTCCGGATGCCACATTTCCCCGTTTGTCTCTTTCATCAATTCATCTCATCTCTCTAATTTCATTCCAACCGTTCCTTTACTGACGCAACACTTGTTCGTCAGTTGGTTGCTCTAAGAGATCAGTTCATTCCTCTTGTCTCGGGATATTCCTTGGAACTGTCAAAATGGCCGTCAGCCCGCAAATGTGAGTGATTTCCCATGTGGCATGCGACCGCTCGAGGAAGCGCTCAATTCCATGATACTCTCCGACTTTGCGTGCGATTGTCGCAGATCAAGGGACGGCATCGAAGTAAACTGGAGTAACAATAACTGACTGTGCGATATAGCACCAACATTGTCGTCGTCCTGTTTGTTATGCAGGTGTCGAAGAAGATCGACTTCAATGACCCTACTATCCTCTTGAGTGTCCGTGCTCTCTACCTTATTTCCAACCTCATCATTGCGGGACTTTACTTGTACGTCCAGAGCGTGATCAATAAGAAGAATGGTATGTGTCTGCAGGTCTCCGCTCCTACTCTGCGGGCGGAAATCACCTTTTTCTGCTCCGGAGTTTGAGTTCAGAACTCTTTAGCCCGTCTGCTACATTGTGACAAAACAACCTGACATTTTGACAGATCTGACTACGCTCGAGTACGTTGAGCCCGCTGCCCCGGGGTCGGGCGAGTCGGCCAAGCCTGTGTCGACCACCTTCAAGGGTTACGATCTTCAGCAGCTCCGCAGCCTCTTCAAGGGTCAGCTCATGGGCGTTGGCATGATGGCTGTCATGCACTTCTACTTCAAGTACACCAACCCGCTCCTCATCCAGTCCATTCTCCCTCTGAAGAGCGCTTTCGAGTCCAACCTCGTCAAGATCCACATCTTTGGCCAGCCCGCTGCTGGTGACCTCAAGCGTCCCTGGAAGGCTGGTGGCGGTCTCATGGGTGCTCTTGCTGGCGGCCAGGGCCCTACCACCGACAAGAAGAGCCTTGAGGAGGCCCAGAAGAATTACCGAGGTGGCGCCAAGGAGGAGTAAGAATGTGCTTAGACAAGGGTTTCCGATGTCTTTGGCAGAATGGATAAAAGAATTCCCTAGTTATGGGCGGATAGTTTACATAGACGAGGTCTTACTGGACTGGATTGCTTTTTTCCCTCAGCATTAAGAGCTCAACTGTAGCATAATGTAAAGATAAAATAATCAAATTCATTTCAAATATATTGGCTCGCGACCAATGGGTATCACTCGTATCTGTAGCGTATCCGTGGGAGCAAAACTGAACAAAAGCGAATGCAAGCGCTGGATGGCAGGCGACAGCCTCGGTTCGTACCGAATCGATGCGTCATACCAGTTATGGCAACGGATCTCAGTCGCAGACCTTCATACACTTTCAGGAATGAATAAAAAAGAAGTTTTCTTATCCTGATAGATTCTCTGCGCACGACTCTAGTGGACGCCCATTTTCATATCGCTCCCGAAGGGCATCATGAGCGCCGAACGTCCTTCGACGCCACCGCGGGCCGAGGCCTCGACTTCGACGGCGAATCCTCCCAGAGCTCCCCTTACGCCAGACCAGATCCGCAAAATCGTACGTGCTGACTGCTTCATATTTATCATCAGACCTTACTGACGTAGCTTTCCTTTCAGGAAGAAAGCCGGTTAAAAGCAAAGGCGCTGCGCGAACAACGTGAGGCTGAAGCTCGCCGAACAGGAACCGCGCAAAATCTGAACCGGACACCCAGCGGCTTCATTGCCGGCCAGAAACAACCTTATGGTTCGATAAGCACATCTAATGTTCCGTCAAATCTTCGCGATGCAGCGCATGGGCAACGGGACCGCACGCCAGGCGCAAGTGGCGATGGCTACATGCGGCCGAAACGGGACGACATTCAGCCAGCGCGAAAGTTTCTACAGTATGTCGAATACGACTTTAGCAAAATGACCGATACAAAGGGTGGGTTCTTGACGGCCGAGGATGATCCGCATAACAAGGCACTGTATGCGCCAGACTCGGAGGAGAAACCAGCGCATATGACTCTAAAAGAATGGGAACGTCATCAATTAATTAAGAGCCTGCGGGATCAAAAAGCCGGACCGTATGAGCCTGGGCTCAGTGTTTTGAAAAGGGAGGAGTCTAAGATGTGTAGGGAGTGTGGGAGCATGGAGATTGACTGGAAATGGGAAGAGTGCTTTGGCTGCGCTGTTTGCAGTACGTGCAAAGAGAAATTTCCAGAGAAATACTCCCTGTTGACGAAAACGGAGGCGAAGGAGGATTATTTATTGACTGATCGTAAGCTCTCCCCTTTGTGCCCTACCATTGAAACTTCGTTGGTCAAATGGAAGTATTGGAGAGACGTCAGGTTTCTTGAGAGATCACGGTGCTAATGTTGACTCTGGCTACAGCTGAGCTCAAGGATGAAGAACTATTGCCACATCTCGAACGACCGAACCCGCACAAGTCAACATGGAACAATATGATGCTCTATCTCCGCTATCAAGTAGAAGAATATGCCTTTTCAGACAAGAAATGGGGTTCTCCTGGAGCGCTGGACGCTGAGTTTGAGAAGCGAGAATCAGACAAGAAGCGCCGGAAAGAAGACAAGTTCCGGTCGAAGCTTCAAGAACTAAAGAAGAAGACTCGCGTGGAAGCATATAGAAGGAGCCGTCAGGCTGGAGGCGGAGGAGGCACGTTTGGAGATGAGATAGGAAATGGGGCAAAGCATAAACATGAATGGGGTCGAACGGTGGAGAACCCGACGACCGGGATAGGTGTCAAAACGTGCATTGAGTGTGGCATGGAAGTTGAGGAATTGGAATTTTAATCTTGAGACGACTTTATGACAATTACGATATAGATATAAAATAATGAAGAACTAAGAATGAGATTAAGTTATACCGACTATATATCGGCATTGGTAAATGAGATGTGTCTTTGGGTGTTTATATGCAGGTGCAGCGACTGCCCGCAACAGACTGGTTGGTGTTGGCCATGTTCGCTACCCGCGTTGATAGATCTTTCAAGGTACCTGTACAAAGTTTTGTGCTTACTTTCTGTATGATAAAGCTGTATCTCAGATATATCCATAGGTATATCGACTTGATAAGCGCGGACCCTGAGCCAAAAGAGGATAAGTGACATCGGCTGGGAAGTCCTCGCGTGTTGTGCGGAAGAAGAAGGAGAAGGAGATGAAGCTGATCAGCGGAGAGAGAGAGACAGATGAGAAAGCCAGAGAGAGAGACAGACATCCACGCACCTAATTCTGTGTATGGAGACGAATCCTCCAGACGTTGCCCAAGAGCTTCTTCGTCAATATACAGAGGCGATCCACCAAAATCAACCCCAGCTTCTTGGCTGCTTGTGGTGATCCCCCTTTTGCTCCATTGTACTGTCTGTGACCGCCTGTCACGTTTACCTTGAGTTCTTGGGGTTTTGTTTAGCCTCTTGTCTTGCACCTCTCGTCGTCATCCACCTCCGACACTTGTCTCGAGACTCGTCCGCCGGCGTACGCGACTCTCTGCTTCCAGGGCTCGGAGCTTTAATCTATTCTGCCAACGCCTATTACCGCGACAGCAAGCAACGCGAGAACCGATTCATTTCTCATTTGCGTCCTTGTCGTCCGCTAAGGCTACGACTTAATTCGTTTCGAAGCAGGGGCTAAGAGGGTGTCTATGGCCTGGCAGTCACCTGCTGTCACGGCTGGCGGCGGTGTCGCTGGAGCTGGAGGAGATGGCAGTCACAGTGGCGTCGCCCAGCCGCAGGGCACTGAATATACTCTCCAAGGTACGCGCTTCTAAAAGCATTGGCTTAGAAACGGTAGATGAACATGTTGGAATTGAGGGCCACCCCCTTGGACCTCATCCGTCTCTTCCGCCCGGCTTCCTGCAGCGTGGCTGTTTCGAAGATGGCTAATTGAAAATGTGATATTTGCAGGTGTAATGCGATTTCTACAAACAGAATGGCACCGACACGAGCGAGACCGCAATGCCTGGGAAATTGAACGCGCTGAAATGAAAGCTCGAATTGCCAAGATGGAGGGCGATAACCGCTCGAGCAAGAAGATGCAGGATTCTCTCCGCAAGCACCTGCAGCTGCTTGAGCAGGCATTGAAAAAGGAACGCGAGCGGGCGGCCAAACTAGCATCTGCTGGGCAGGATTCGGCGGCCCAGAAGGGCGTCAATGCAGCTGGTGCTGCTAGACTGGATGGTAAGAAATACGATTGCCTGCATTCATTGTCAATTTCAAGGCGTACTCTATACTTACAATAAAACCGATTAGCAGGACCACCGAAGCACCATAATTCCTTCCTAGAGGTCGAGGACGATGGGCTGGCCCATTCGCAGCTGCGCCAGGATGCGCAGCGAGACAAGTCGAGAGGCTATCTGGACAAATGCGTCCAGGAGGTCACTTATCTTCTCACTCCGTCTTCGCACCCGCCACCTCAGCATCTGACCCAGGAGGACCTCTTGGGCAGCCAGCCCTTCACTTCCCAACAGCCCTCTCAGCCTACTCTTGAAGACGTCTATCTAGCGCACACTAAAGCTCAGAATCAACGGGCTGGTCTGGGCATGGCACCGCCGTCCCAAGTTCCCAATCACCGCCCGCCGCCCGTCCCTTCTGTCACAGACTCCTCAAATTTCTCCCGTTCAGCTGGCCAAGGAGATTCGTACTATGTACGCAACCTTTCAGATCAACAACCATTGCCCCAAGGACCCTCGCTTGATGCTGCCGGCGGCCATTCCCAGGACCAATCATCCATACCTTTCCCTCCTGAAGAGCACGTGAAAAAGATAAACCACTCGTACGACAATTACGGCAGACCGATACCCGAGAGGCAGCAGCAGCAGCCGCAGCATGATGAATCGACTCCCGTTGACACGTCTGCAAATCCGGATACAGATGGTTGGAACTTTGACGAGCCGACTACGACCGTCACCGCGCCGTCGCCGCCTCCGAATGATGTTCAGTCAAAACACCGCCCGGACAAGGACGTGTTCCCTAGCGCAGATCCCGTTCAAGCCAAATCGCCGCCTCGGACCGGACCAGGCTCCCACAGGAGACGTTCCAGCTCGAATACATTTGCCCAGCGGAGACCTAGTGATGGATCCCACGAATTGCGAGACTTGTCATCCATTCAAGGAGCACGGCCTGACTCTGGATCGTTCAAGGTGCGCTTTGCCATGCGCGGTCATCTCGACGTTGTTCGATCCGTTGTCTTTACTGGCGGCGGCAGTCCCTCTGAACCGGAAATATGTACAACCGGAGACGACGGCGTCATCAAGCGATGGATCGTCCCAGCTAGCTACGGTAGTTTTGGCACCCATAGTGGCACGGCTGGCAGTGATCTTGACATCCAGAGCTACTTCACCCACCGGGGTCATGAAGGTGCTGTGACGTGTTTGGCGGCGTGCCCGGCGTCGTCAAACTTTGCAAGTGGCGGAAGAGCACCAGGCGATGGGTGGATCTTCTCGGGAGGGCAGGACGCTACGGTGAGGGTCTGGGAACGCGGTCGAGTTGATCCCAAGGCGACACTGGACGGACATACGGATGCTGTCTGGGCAGTGTGCGTGTTGCCCGCGACGTGTGGATCTGTATTTGGAACGGACTGCGGCAACTTTGGAGGCCCGGATCGAATATTACTAGCATCTGGTTCCGCTGATGGCAGCATTAAGATTTGGGCAGTCAGTGCGCCACCGCAGCTAAGCTCTCCAATGACTAGTTCACGACGAGGCGTTGGTGGCAGCCGGCGTCACTCGGTCTCGTCCGGGTCCAACTTCCCGTCATCGCCGCAGCCAAGTATCGCAACCTCGACACCTTTCCATTACACACTGGTGCATAGCATTGCCAGGGCTGACGCGGCATCTCCCACGTGTATAAGTCCCTTGTCGATGCTGGGAGAGACATTTGTCGTGTCCTACACGGATGCGTCTGTTCTCGTCTTTGACACACGGACGGGAGAAGAAATCATTGGCATGGCCAGCTTGGAGACGTACGACGGCACACCAAAGACGGGCGTGAATGCGGTAGTCGCAACGACGATTGGGCTAGACAGTGGGATGAGCCCAGATTCTGGCCGCGGCATATCGGAAGAGGAGAATGTAGTACATGGCGCAACGGGCTCGAGTGGAGGAGTCGAAGGGGTTGTCATAAGCGGGCATGAGGATCGGTTTATTCGATTCTTTGACGCCAACAGCGGTAAGTCCGATTCACTCCTTGCAAAATTCATTCTGTCTTCTTCTCTTCTGCGGGATTTTTTACTAAGAGCATTCTCTCTCCAGGCCAATGCACATATACCATGCTCGCCCACCCCGCAGCCATCTCCTCTGTGTCCTTGTCACCCGACGGACGAGAGCTCGTGTCGGCCGGTCACGACGCAAGCCTTCGATTCTGGAACCTCGAAAAGCGGAGTTGCACGCAAGAAATCACAAGTCATCGCCAAATGCGCGGAGAAGGTGTCTGCGCTGTCGTCTGGAGTCAAGATGGCCGATGGGTCGTCAGCGGCGGAGGTGATGGCGTCGTCAAGGTTTTTGGAAGGTGACGGTGACCTTGTCCTTCTACCGTGACCTCTTCTTTTTCCATTTATCTACCTACGGTCTACCCTTGTACAATGAGTTTAATGACTGGGTGTCTCTTGTACTATGACTCGCCAACCACAATGTCCTGTTTTATTTTCCCTACCACCTTTTTTCCCCCAATCTCTTTCATCACCATCACCTCTCCTTCACCAAATACCGACTTGGCCGAATACAAAAAACCGCGTGCAGTCTGCTCATCTAAACCTATCATTTTGTGGTCTCTTTCTTACCCGCCACTGAAGACTCGAGGTTAGGGCATTGGCGTTTCTTCTTTCATCACCTCATTTCTTTCGTTTTTTCTTCTTTTATCTTCATCTTCCTCTTTTCTTTTGTCCTTCTTCTTCATCTCATTTCTTTCGTTTTTTTTTTCCTTTTCTCTTCATATTCTCATTTTCTTCTAGTGTTCCACATCTCATTCACTTCACTTCGATTCTGTTCTATTATATTCTACTCTATACTATTTTACTACCAAGAATACATTATGCATCTTGCATTCCCACGGAGAACCCGGGAGGTATTTTTTTCTTGAACCCATCATCCCAGTATTCGTCCTGTGGTGGACGTTCTACATTGTGTCGTGTCGAATATTTATATGTATTTGTCCTTTATTTTGCTTCGTCTTTGCTGTACAGTATGAGTATGCGTATGAGTATGCGTATGAGTATGCTGTATACTGTATTCTGTATGTGTATGGAATATTATCAGTTTAAACTTTATCATACTATCATACCATGAATTTACATTTGAGTATCGAGTATCGAGTATCGAAGTGTCGAAGTGTCGAGATGACTTAGGGTTTTAATTTACATGTAAGGTGATTCTATGTATATATGTACTTGTGTATTTCTATGTTGTACGTGTGTAGACTCTGTCAACCTACAGACTCTATCCCATTATCGTCTACTGTCTACCCTTCTAGATTTATTTCAGGACTTCAAGTTCTGTCTCGCTACCCAAGGTCCCGAGGTCTGTAAGTCTGAGTCTGTGACTGCAGATTCAACTACTCTGTAGACTATAGTAAAGATGGTTGTTGTACAGCTAGTCTCGACTAGCTTTTCTACACGAAATTGAAACATTTTTTGTATTTTTTTATCTTTATCCTTTCAGACCTTTCTTTTCTCTTTCTTTCCCTTTAGCTCCTCTTTTTACTATCTCTCTTTTCTAATAGCGTTGTATTATTTATTTTGTTTATCAGTATTGTTACATTTACTTTTCTATTCTAGCTATAATGTTATATACCTTATGCCTTTCTTTTTCCTTTTTCCTTTTCAGTTTCCTTTAATATATAATTTTGTTTTATTCTTTTTATCTATATCCTGCAGCATGCTCCTGATGATACCTGGATACATGATGGTAAACCAACACAGGCCCGAACAGCCGAGAGTTCTAACCAGCTTCTGTCATTTTATAATGTTTGTCGTTTTATCTATTTCTCCTTTTTGTACGTGTCCTGACTTCTGGAAGTAATTAGACACTTGGTTTTATCTACAGGCTCCAGAGGGAAGTACCAAGTAGTCTTCAAAGAAGGATGTATTTGAGTTGTGAATTTTAATGAATTCTTAATTTCGTGAATCGTGATGGTAGTAAAATAAATACATATGAAAAACATGAAGAAAAATAAGGAGAATAAGAAAAACAGCATTCAGTGATAAAAAAAATGGGGAAGAGCGAAACCAGTATAGCGCGGAGAGAGAGAGAGAGAGAGAGAGAGAGAGAGAGTCAGTCCAGAGTCAGACATCAAAGCCTATCCCACAACTTGTCCCATGTTCTTTGCAAGCTGAACAGCAAGAAGGTCTTCAATCCGACTAGTGCCATCCCGCGCCAGAGTCGTCATGTCGTCTAACTTGGCAAGAAGATCATCAATGGTCTCACCCATGCCAGAGGCAGACAGAATTTGGGCAATCGCCGCGTGCGTTTCCACGAGATCTTTGCTTGGTTGAGGGATGTCAGTGTCTGTCCTGAGCGTGACAAGTCGGTTTCTAGGCAGGAATAGTCGAATGTAAGGCTGTGGGAAGTGGGGGTATGTTTTGATGTAGTAGACGTTTGGCCGCTCCTACACAAGATTAGTAAATTGTCATATTGTCTGGTTTTATCAGGCGTCTGGGAAGGGGAAAACAAAAAGAAGAAGAAAAAATAAAGAAATAAATGAAAAGGGAAAAGAGAAGAAAAAAAAAGGGAAAGAAAAAGAAATAAAAAGGGACATAAACAACATAAGAAATAAAAGCATACAGTACTTTCCAAGGCAAGATTAAATTCGCCGAATTGTTCACGAATAACGGGAATCAACGTTAGGGCGTTGCTAGGGTGGTTGATTTTTGTTGGATCGAGTATACTTCCAAGACGTGGAAAGCATGTATACAGTGCCTCCCATAGCTTTGCACGCTCGAGCTTCTATGCCATTGAGAAATCAATATATGTGTCATGTGTTGCACTGATAGATGTATGATCTAATGATAGAGAGGAAAAGAGGAAAAAAGGAAAAGAGGAAAAGAGGAAAAAAGGAAAAGAGGAAAAGAGGAAAGATGTCGCGTACCAGCTCCTCTGGTACGTGGCCTAATACAAACGGCATTATGTGAGCCACTTGTGTAGGGACCGCATTGCTGAGATGCCGAGGCGCTTCGTCCATGGCGTAGGTATGATCAAAATACCCAGTCACGACGCACTTGTACCCATCTCGTACTAGGCATGTTTGTTTGAGCTGCAAGAGGTCGTTTTGGAGACTTGAGTCTGGTTCATCGAGTTCGGAAGGTTTTCTTTCTGGACCTGCGTCTCGATCCAAGGGTGAAAGTTCCAAAGGGATAGATTGTAATATAATTGCGGCTTTTACTGTGTCTAACGGTTAATAAGGGTTGATGGTAGATGAAGAATACTCGAATTTTGGACAGCGTTGAAAAAAGGACGGTGTTAAAAGGATAGGTTAACTAGAGGGAAGACTTGACTTACATGGAATAAGAAGATTCTCGACCAAAGTCTTCGCCAGGCTCACAAGTTCTATATCGTTCCGACAATTGCTGATTTGAGAAACGATGTTTGCTTTTCCGTCCGGCGGGAGGTGTTGTATAAATGCTTGAAGGATTCTACGGGTGTTATCGTTTGGCGTGGACGATGTATATCCCTCAAGCCGATTTATAGCTTCTATGGCTGCAGCTTGTTGACCTTCACTGCTGGCCATGCTGTTCACTTTGACAATTGCTGGGTTATGGTAGTCTAGAGTGGTAGTGATGGTATTTAGGCATTGAATGTAGAGTAATGAATGGACTTGTTGGAGATGCACTTTAGGAGTGGACAAGTGATTGCAGGTGTTTGATTGGTATACGAACAGTGGGAGTGATGGCTGACATGTAAATGAGCAATGAATAGGGTGGTCGCTGAGAAAATGAATGGTATTGATGCACGACACAGTCTATTTGAAGAGATAGGCCAGCGAGGCAGTTAGCCCGAGGCAACATCAAGAATTTTCAAGATGCCCGGCTAGTTCTGTTTCGAATATATTAAATATGCATTGATTTCATAGTTTATAATCTCAAATCAAGTCACGGTTCATATTTTTACATTTCACAAAGAAAAGAAAAGAGAAGAAGGTAATTACAGCTCGTAAACTACCTTTTTGGCAGAAATCTTCCCCTGCTTATACAAGTCGAACCCCTCCGTGACTGAATCCAGACCCTTCAAAAGCAAGATGCTATTTGGCTTGAATCGTACAGATTCCAACCAGTGGGGCAGTCTGTCGTAAAATTCGCTTGCCAGCTCGTGGTCGTCACGCAGTGCCTATTAGCTATATCAGCCTTGGAGTCCCCAAAACGTCAATTGCTCTCAATAATCGGCGTGCTTACCGGCCAACGTAAAGCTCCATAGTTATGCTCTTTCAAAAAGGCAGTAAACACCAAGACATCGGTTACTCTGACATTCTTTGCGACATGTTCAGTATTGGCCTTTCCAGGCCGGACTGTGCACAAAACGCCGTCGCCGGTTACAGCTTTTGAAGCGGTCGCCGAAGATGCACCGGCGCCAATGGTGTCGAATACAAAAACGAGATTAGGCACCGCGGCTTTAATCTGCTCGGCCACGTCGTCGGATTTATAGTCAAAGGCATGTTTTGCGCCAAGAGACTTGACCAGATCAAAGTTTTTGGGGCTACATGTCGTGGCTATATTGAAGCCGTAAAGAGCCGCGATTTGGATGGCGTATTGTCCGACGCTTGCTGATAGAGCACATCGGTTTAGTAAATACTTCAGGCCTGAATTAAATGATCACAAAGGAGACGAAGGAATCGTACAGCTTCCGCCCCAGATCAAGATACTCTGATGAGGTACTTCACGTCGAATCTTCAGACAATGATGAGAGAACAAGGCTAGCCATGCAGTGGCTCCGGCGAGCGGTATCGTGACTGCTTCTGCGGAAGGTATGTCTGCCGGGACGCGGAAGCAGATTTTCTCGTCCGCAATGGTATATTCGCTGAATGCTCCGATGCCCTTCGTTTCACCTACAACATTTGTAAGCTGAACTATTCAACTGGTACAGAAAAATGGCATGAGCACCCCTTTTGGGGGACAGCGCAAAAGCAGTGATTGGTGTAAGGAACACACACCTCCCCAGACCAAACCCGCCACTTTGTCACCATTGCCAATTCTCGATACACTGTTGCCTGCCGCAACAACGGTCCCGACAAAGTCGCAGCCCAGAACGGCCCCATTGCCGAAAACTTTGTTCTCGAAAGACATACCTGTGTTACTGTTACCAGAGTGAAGCTTACAAGGGTTGTTTAAAGAAAGGATTCAGGGGTCATTACAGTCAGTCGGATTCTGAGCCGCATGAGAAACTTTGACAAGAACCTGATGAGGTTGCGGCAAGGGCGTGGAAATCTCTTTGATGTGAAGTGCAGGTGTCTCGTCTGCGACGATCGCCGTGCAGGTTTTTGGGACGGTCCCTTGACTGGTGAAGAAGCTCAAATCTTCTGAGAATTCCATTGTTTATATTGCAGGTCTCATTCAATTTCTTATCAAGTCAATGACGATTGAACAATCTAAAAGTCGGAATAACAGAGTGGACTGAGCGGGGAGAAATTTGTCACATAGTAAGCAAGCATGTGAGCTATCACCTGCTGTACGGCCGGCATGAACCTGCAGTGACATCAGATACCCTTTCATTATTGAGATTTTGGGCTGTATACTAAATCGAAAAGGTTCCGACGTGGATTTGCGCGTCATAGTGATTTCGCAGTCAAGGTCAGCGTTATCTGCATTGAGCGGAGAAGCTTCCCCGCATTTTAACATCAACCTTAAACTGGAGTAAGTCTGGGTGACTTGGCAGGGGAAATGGCACTCTTGGTCTCCCTTCCCGGCAGTATAACTTTCGCGTCCCGGCTCACACGGCTGCCACGGCTCGAGCTGAACTAATAAACACTTCAATATCTGATGCTGCTCAATACGAGAGATAACACAATGATATAATTATTTCCATTCTAAATGAATGCGTTGGCGGACAAAATAAAGATGCGCATGAATGCTCTCGAATCGTGATTTTATCATCGTCTCATGGAATTGATGCTTAGGTATAATCGACTTTTAGTTACATTGGAAATATACTATGCTCGTGCGTATATAGCGTGGTATCATTGAATATTGACTTAGGCCTTGGTCTCGGCGACAGCAGGCGCAGCGGCACCAGTGTTGGCAAGTCGCTTCTTGCTGACAAGACGCAGACCGCCTACCAAGACAATGAGCAATTCAAGACCGAGAATGACGCCAAGCGTGACCATAGCACCAATGACGCCGGCAACGCCCAGCGACATGCCACCGTGGTGGGACGAGCCCGAGGATGAAGACGAGCTCGTGCCGGCAGTAGAATTGGAGGTAGTGTAGGCGGCACAGGCACCATCGGTATTACCGCAAGCCTTGCACCAGTCCGCCTCGGATCCAACAGCAAACTTATTCATCTCGTCGACGAAAGTGGTCCATGGCAGGACCAGGTCGGACTGGCCAAAGAGAGGATAAGCGATCGGCTCGCTGCTGTTGGACGTGGTACCATTGTGGAAGAGAAAGCGGACCGAGATATCGTCGGCGGCAGGGAAGGTTGCGGTCGATGCATTGGTGACCAGCTCAAAGGTCATAGAAGAGGCGTAGTCGGGAACACCGTAAAAGTCAGGGTTCGACTTGGTCAGCTGAGCCAGACCGAAAAAGGACATGAAGTTGGCATAGGCACCAAATTGGATGGCGAATTTGCTCTTGCCCATGCCGGTGATGGTCGTGTTGAGCTGCTGGACCACTTGAGCGGCAAGTGAGGCACCTGCCATGGCACGCACAGGTTCGCTCTCATTGTATGCCAGGTTCCACTCGTGGGTGTCGGCAAGAGTTCGCAGCTGGAAGAAGGTCTCATTGGTAAGGAGATTGGATGAAGGGAACGAGGCGTTGTGAATGGATGCGACATTCAGCAAGTCAAAGACTATAACCGCAAGTTTTAGCTGGGAGCAATTGAAATGTGAATTTGGTTTCACTTACTGGTGTAGGCATTCTTGTAGCTGATTTGACTGGGAGGAAAGGTGTTGTTGATCATCGGGGTCAAGCCCTTGTAAAAGTCGGTGGTCGAATTGAACAAGGCATTGTACTCGTTGGAGAAGAAATACTGATTCGAACTGGAGGCGGCTTTGTTGCAGCCGCTGGCGCCCTGGAGCCATCCGGCATTTTCGCTATTGGTACCAGTGGAAAGAGCTTGGATGGGGATCAATTGGTAGCCATTCAGAGGCGACTCGATCTTGGTGCCGTTTCTCAGCGTCTCGGCGCCCATTGTGGAGCCAACAGGCGGGTAAAGTCCCTGTAAGAAGCCCTGGGCAGAATTGAAGAGCACCGTGTCCGAGGGCGCAGAGACGGTGATCTGGGACTGCTTCACGATATCGGTGCTCATGCCATGCACCTGAGCGGAGGCATCCGATGCAATGTAGCGGTTGCGGAACCACTGTCCCGAAGTGAAGACCTCGAAATAACCCAGGTCGGTGAGATTCGCCGGCGGCGTCATCTTGGCCGTGCGGTCACCATGACGGTGGAAAACATAGACACCAAGAACAGTCTCAGCAGCCTGAGCGAGAGGCATGGCAGCCAGAGGCGCCAGCAGAAGGGTGGTCAAATGCATATTGATTGAAGGCGAACCCTATCAAACAATTCAAGATCAATTGCAAGTAGCTTAAACCCCAAGATCAAAATCTGGCCTGCAAATCACTGCAAAAGAATAAAAAAAAAAAAAGAAGAGGGAAAACAAAAGAGCAGGAGGGGGGAAGGATATAAGCTTCGACAAGATCCCGGTCCAACACTCGACATGATGATAGCTCTCTAGCTAATCAGACGGGTTAGCTAGACACCAAAAAGCAAAGAAAATTTACTTGACTTTGACTGATTTGGGAGCGAAGAAATGGAAACAGTCCAATGAGCTCACGAGGTTCAGCCAAGAGTGGGGGAGATGCATGGTCGGATGAGATGTCGACAGCCCCGCAAGCATATGATTGAGTTGCGACCACAACATCAAAATCTCCTCGCTAATGAACCCTTCTCCGCGGCATACTACGAAGTAAGCGTTGCCAGTGTTGGTCTGAGAAATTGCAGCCAAGAGACAAGGGAGTTGATCGAGGATTGGATGGAGGCTTGGCAAACAAGGTGAGAGATCCTACCGTGATAACACTAGTACCCGCATCCGTCACAAACTCACGCCAGCCTTTTCTGCTACCCATTTCCAAGTGAACCAGCACAGTAGCAGTCGTCAAGATAAAGAGAGTAACTGCATTGATCTATAGATACTCAATCTTGCTCAATCCTCAGGATCTCTTCGATGATGGTTGATGTATGTCTCCGTTCTCTCCACATTGAAGGAGTGGCTACTGCACTCCAGAACATGTTTAAGTGGAGATAGTGTCCCTTCGGTCCTCTCGGTAAAGAATCCGACCACGCGACATGGCATGGAGAAAGGGCGCCAGGGTACAAAAGGCGCCGGAAAAAAGTCTTGAGCAATTCATTCAGCAAAGAGCTACGAGATAAGCAGTTTGAGCCAATTATTTACCAGACCATTAATCACCAGGGAATTCTCCGCGGACTCATGCTGTCTTTACCAGGTAAGGTATGTACCTTATTTTGTGCGTTTCATTATTATTGGTCAATTCCCCGTCATAATCTTGTACTAAGGTAGCTGAAACCGAAGATAAGATCATCAGATATTGAAATCTTCCACTACTCGCGATGATGAGGGAATCCACCAAACACGATAATGATGATTTCTCTTCTGCCGTCAATTTACCACGACAGCCATGACAATCTTTATTTGCAGCTTGAGTTTTTTGACGGATAAGAATTAATAATCAGCTGGTATACTGTCCACTCTATGTCGATGGACAATACCAATCGCTAGAACATAACCCGATCAATGCTTTCTATTGTATGTGCACATGAGCAAATGAAAGCAAAGGCTCTTCGGTTCACCGTCCCTGTGATGCACAGTCGCTGAGGAGCTCTACCTTGCAAAGCTTTACGTACAAGTTCTTGGTATCTTCGGATAGACAAGGAAGCTTCCTCCGATTATTTGCGACCGAAAGCGAATGTGGGTCTGAGTGCGCCCTCCGATGTCATGGCCGGACCCTTTTTCTGCCTCTCCATCCCGCCCTAGGCCTTTTTGCCTACAACAGAGAGCTTCAACCTCCAAAATATTTCATAAAAATCAATTTCATTCCGACTTCCTATTTTCTTGTTCATGGTTATACCCGGAGAAGAGAAGCTTACACAATTGCCAAGTATCAAAAGCAATACTGAACCGCACCTGCTTAATCGGCGCTAAGAAAAAGACATCGCCGGCTCACATGATGGCGACGATTTTCAAAAATGGGAAATTCTTCAAAGGCGTTGAAGCAGAGAAAGCCAATAGCGGCGCAACCGCAGAATGCATGATCACAAACCACGACCTCATCACATACATTGGACCCGAGGACAATCCTCTTGTCGCCAATGCCCTCAGCGACGCATCCACAACCACAGTCGATCTTGCTGGAAAATGGGTTCTTCCCGGATTCATCGACGGACACATGCACCTGCTGTTGCTCGGTTCCGCTCTCAAACGTGTCAATCTGGAACCCTGCAAAAGCCTCGACGACATTCGAGCCGCCATCAAACAGTATGCCCTTTCTAACCCTCACGTGCCGCGCATCCTCTGTCGCGGATGGATGCACCCCATGACCAACGGAGTCGCGCTGGCCAGCATGATTGACGATCTCGACCCGCGGCCCATCTTCATCGACTCCAAGGACCTGCACTCGACATGGTGCAACAGCGCCGCGCTGGCCGAACTCGGCGTCGAGACTGAACCCAACCCTGACGGCGGGGAGATTCACCGCGACGAGCACGGTCGCGCATCGGGTCTCATCAGCGAAGCCGCCGCGCAGGTGTTTGTCTGGCCGCATATTGCGCGCGTGCAGCCTCTCGAGGACAAGCTTGCCTCGTTCAAAGCAGCCATCAACGCGTACTCTGCCGCCGGGTACACCGGCATGGTCGACATGGCCATGGACGAGAACGCCTGGGAAGCACTGCAGATCTTGCAATCCCGCGAGCGCCTCCCCGTACGTTTGGCAGCGCACTGGCTCATCAACCCGAAATCTACAGTAGAGGAGAACCTCGCGCAGGTCAACCGTGCGATCGAACTCCACAAGCAGTTCAACGCCGAGACGTCGCCAGACTTGCGCATTGCGGGTATCAAGGTGATTTGCGACGGCGTTGTCGACGCGTGCACTGCCGCCTTATGCGAGCCCTACGCGTCAAATGGATCGTCCTGCGAGCCGCTCTGGCGCGAAGACATGCTCAGATCCGTCGTGAAACACGCAGACGCAGCGGGCCTGCAATGCGCGCTTCACGCGATTGGCGACAAGGCCGTCAAGATGGCAATTGACGCTCTCGAAGACGCCTGCGGCCCCGGCAAACGGCATCGCATTGAGCATCTTGAAGTCACGAGACCCGAGGACGCGCAGCGTCTAGGCAAATTGGGCATCACGGCTTCAGTGCAGGCGGTGCATGCGGACCCGGCCATCCTGCGTGCGTGGCCAAAACTGCTGGGCCATGAGCGCTGCGGCCGCGCATTTGCCTACAAGGATTTCCTGGACCAGGGAGCAGCGCTCGCGCTGGGAACAGACTCGCCGACTGCTCCATACTTTGCGTTGCCGAATATTTATACTGCTACGACACGACGGTCCGCGCGGGAGCCCGAGTCAGTGGAGACGGTGAATGATCATTTTGCATTGTCGCTGGCCCAGGGCCTCTCAGCGGCCTCGAAAGGCTCGGCGTATTCTTGTTTTGCGGATAAATTTACAGGAAGCCTGCAGCAGGGGCTCAAGGCGGATTTTGCGATTGTGGACATGGACTTTACGGCCGAGAATCTGCTCAAGGCAAAGGTATGCGAAACGTGGTTTGATGGGCAAAAGGTGTTTCAGAGAGCTTCGCCGCACCAATTCATCGTCCCAAAATAATTGCGAGAATGCAGGTGGTATATACAAAATATTCAGAAGGTGTTTGAATGGAGAAGCGCCTTCGAGCTTTTACAAGATTCGATGAAACAGAACCAGAAAGAGAAAACAGGGGGAAAAAAAAAGAGTGTTATGCATCTGTGGTTTTGCGCTCGTCCTCAACCATCATTTCGTCGCCGAGGATGCCTACTCGTGGCGGGCCACGGTAATTCCGCTGGCGAACAAGCCACCAAAGAGCGACAAAGATGGTCAATCCACCTGTGATCAGACTGGTGTAATTCATCGACGCGGCCTCTGTCGGGAGCGCATACGGGAAACAGAAAATAACAATAAAAGCAGCCATGTAGATGCAGGCAAGCGCATTGACTACGAACCCCGTGATTCCACGCATAAAGAATGGCCCAGCCCGAACATTTGATCGGCCAGTGAGAAGATTGGGCAGAATAGCGGCGAGGTATGAAAGAGTTGAGAGCTGCACGAACGATCCGACAAAGGCGTTGAACGCAGTGGTGCTGCCGACGTAGATGCAGCCCAGGATCGTAACCAAAGCGCCGCAGACCAGCGTCGCATTGAAGGGGTTCTCGTGCACATTGTGAATTTTTCCCGTCCATGAGCTGAAAGGGGCGGCATTGTCTCTGGCCAGCGTCCACAGCGTGCGGCCCGCGGTCGTGTAGCATCCAATACAGGTAATGAGCGTTGGCAAAAACGCGACAAGGAGAAGACCGAATGCACCGCCTCGTGTACCCGTTGCTTGGTGGTAGATTTCCGCCAGAGGAAAATTGAAATTGCTGTTGAGCACCGCGTCAATGTCTTGAATGCTGTACAGAAGCGGGATCATATAAAGCAGCCCAGTGATGAAGCCGATGCTCATCTGTGCTGCAATCGCCTTGGGCACGTTTGTCCGGGGACTATGAACATGGATCAGTCAATAAGTCTCCATGAGTCGGGATGTGAGTAGCAGAGTACGAACCTCGGGATTTCCTCTGCCAAATGCGACGACAGATCAGGCGTACCGACGCTATACGCTCCGTTGAGCATACCCGCGACAAACACAAATCCGTTGCTCGAGTAGCCAGTCATATTTTGCCACTCGCTCCACACAAACGAATTGGTCCCATATCCGGTGCCATTGACATGCGGCATAATAGCACAAACTAAAATCGTGACGAAGACGCCTCCCAAGATCAAGAATCCCCCGACGTTACCGATAGCCGGCAGTCCGCGGTTGCCAAAGAGCACGGTCAAGCAGCAAATCCACGTAATAATGATATAAGTCACAAAGACATGCCATGCCTTTGCCGTATATCCCGGGTGAAAGAGACCGTACATGGACACAACCTGGTTTCCAAGAATGGACGACATGGAAGCTGCGCCGAAAATCCAGGCCAGCGTATTCCAATAGCCGGCGAACCAGCCGCACACACGGCCGCCCCGACCGGCAGTGACCGTAGCCCAGTGATAGACGCCAGCAGCAGAAGGGATCGCGGAAGAAAGCTCGGCAATTGATGCGGCGACAAGCCAGTAGCATACCGATACGGCGATGAACTCATAAATAACACCACAAGGGCCGCCATTGTAGATGGCTACTTTCTGTTTCATGTCGCGTGTGTCAACAACCACAGCATTCAATCATAGCTTTTATAGATGCATTGCAAACGGGGTTAACACCTACCACACTGCCACCTTGAGCAATCCATGAGTTTCCCGTAGTGATTGCAATCGCACAAATACTGAGAAGACTGAAATTGCGCTGCAGCTCCTGCTGGTGGCCGGAGGCATTGACGACCTTGACCTCTCCTACAGATGACTCTGGGCCCGTGCACACCGCAGGGTCTTTGTCTTTCAGGGTTTGCGCAGGAACGGAGACCGGGTCAGCCGCCATCATTGGCAAAAAATATGGTTTAATCCGCAGTACAGCAATTGATAAGAAGAAAACCCCAGAAAAAGTAAAAGAGAAGGATATTTAAACGACGCGCCAGCAGGAAACACAGCCATATCATGGTCACTTAACAAAGCACGAAGTCGATGGGGGTAACGTCGGCAAAGGAGTTCGGTGGTTGTTCGAGATAAGAGAGGGGAAAACAACATGTTAGGAGGTCACCAGCTGTCGATCCCTGCCATAAAAAGTCCCGACATGCCTTGTCGTTCGCCAATGATCTGCATTTCGAATACATCTAGAAACTTAGGGTCCTGGTATCGGGACGTCAAGTCTCAGGGGTGCAATGGTTCCTTTTGTTTTGACAGCTCGGTTGATACCTGGTTGCAATGGGGAGGTCCTGCCGACTTGACCACTGAAAGGGCGAGTAACCGGGTATATCGACATTAGTGTATTGATTTGGTGCCGCCCCGTTGCGACCCGAGCAGACCCACATAGATTGGAGAAAGAGATGGCCGGGGATGATCCATGACAAAACCCCAGGTTATGGTGATAAGCAGACGAGGGTCCTTGACAACCATAATGGCTTCACGTAAAGCTAGAATCCACCTCAACCCATTCTTTTTGTCGCGTATTAGAGATAAATGGCATATAAAAACGATGAAGCTTGAGACTGAAGAGAGATGAAACAACACGTATGGATTCAGGATTTGGTGCAATCGCAACGTCATGCGATCCCGAGAAATCGGAGAAAATTGACCCGAGGACTTGTTTGGCATGGAAATCTGGATTCTCTATCGCTCTTGGCTCAGTATCGCGAATAACATGACAGAGTATTTGTAGATTGCATGAGACATCACGCTAATATGGAATTTGCTTCAGAGACGGTGGTAGTGCTGCAGTATGCTGTCGATGAATTCACGTGATTATTGTTCATATAAGACATCTCCCCTACTGCGGCAATTCGGCTTCATCCAGCAGAAAAATGTGGCTGAGACATGCGTGGGAATTTGTGTTTCTTATATCCGAAACCCGATTGACGGAAAGCTTGTTCCTCGAAGTGGATTAGGGTCGACCCCCCTTGAGCTGACAGCGGCAAAACATAACAATCACAATGCCTCCTCCTCTTCGTAGATTTTTCACATCAGGATATCCTTCAATCCGTCAGCCGTACTGCTTTTAGAGAATACGACTAGTAAAGCGCGATACGGGCATCATCATGGCAGAGAAGGAACCTCAACAAACGGACTCTCTCCCAGACGAAGCCCCTCCACCGATCAGCGAAAAACCGGTTGACTCGCAAGACGTCTTTCCAGAGGGTGGAAGAAAGGCGTGGCTCACGGTCGCCGGAGCTTCAGCATGCCTTTTCGTCTCCTTTGGCTGGGTCAATTGCGTTGGTGTCTTCCAAGATTACTACCAGACTCATCAACTCAGAAATTACTCGCCTTCACAGATTGCTTGGATTCCAGCACTACAAAGTATGGAAAGCACTGCTACCGTCCCTTTCTTTTCGTCTTTACTAACGAAAGAAACACTAGTCTTTTTTATGCTTTTCAGTGGAACATTTGTCGGCAAAGTGTTTGACGACTATGGACCCGCATATTTATTGTTCATTGGCACTTTCCTCCATGTCTTCGGCCTAATGATGACGAGTATCTCGAAGAAATACTACCAAATCCTGCTCAGCCAGGCCGTGTGTTCTGCGATTGGAGCCTCGATGGTCTTTACCCCAGCATTTACCAGTGTGAGTTTTGTGCGGGGAAATTTATAGTTCTACTCGTTAACTAAAGTTTCTCTCTAGGTGACGACCTGGTTTAGGGCTAAGCGAGGTGCTGCGCTGGGGCTCGTCGTCGCTGGCTCGTCACTAGGCGGCGTCATTTTCCCGGTCATGCTGATTCATTTGCTTCCAGAGGTCGGATTCGGATGGGCAATGCGGATCTGTGCTTTCTTGATTTTGGCTCTACTAATTTTCGCCAATCTGACCGTGCGGTCGCGAATTGCCCCTACGAAGCGGCCATTCCAACTGATGGCGTTTGTCCGACCTCTGAGAGAACCGTCTTTCTCCCTGTTGACTGCTTCAATTTTCTTCTTTTTCTGTAAGTCGCACAACTCGCTCTTTCACTTCTTATGCGTTGCTGACAATTTTCAGGGGGCATGTTTATTCCTTTTACATTTATTGTGGAGGGAGCTCGCTCGCATGGCATGTCGCCGCGTCTCTCAAACTATCTGGTTCCGATATTGAATGGCGCAAGGTCAGAGCTCACCCTAACCGACCCCCTGTTTTCTTAGGCTCGCAGCCCGCCCCTTTAACTAACAACAGACGCGTAGTGTCATTGGGCGAACTGTCCCAAATATCATTGCCGACAAAGTAGGCCACTTTAACGTCATGATTGTTATGAGTACTTTCACATCTATCCTCATTCTTGCCCTCTGGTTGCCAGCTACTGGAAATACTCCGATTATTCTGTTCGCAGCCCTTTTCGGCATTGGTTCTGGCGCAGGTATTGGTCTCACTCCAGCTCTCTGCGCGCATGTCTCGCCCATCAAGGAAATTGGAGTACGCACCGGTACAGTTTTCACTTTCTCAGCCATTGCAGCTTTGACCGGCTCGCCAATTGGTGGGCAGATTATCATTGTCAGCCATGGTTCGTTCAAGGACGCCGCCATTTTTGGTGGCGTCAGTTGTGCCATCGGTGCAGCACTTGTCTTTGCGACGAGAGTTTGTCTGGCCGGCTTTAAGAAGACAAAGATCTGAATGGACTGTCTCTCAGACACATAATACCCCTTTATGACGCTTTCGGGTTTTGTTGAATCGAATGTTTTTACTGTGAGCATGAAATTATGAGATAGAAGAAAATGTGTCGAAATATAATCTTTGTCTCGACAACATGAGATGTGAAGATTTCATTGAATTCGGTTATGCCCTTATGTCAAGATAGGCTCAGAAGAATATTATTATAGAACGGATTTTATTGGATTCACCGATGCTTTAGATTGACTTGAAATATAATCTAGTTGGATTGGACAAAAGTAAATCCACAAAATACAGAACCTGGTCAAGTGAAAGGATACGAGAATCAAGAAAATCGCACATCTAGCAACATGAATATTGCATTCATAAAGTTTCAAGAGGGAGTAATCGTAAATTTTCGACATTGAATATTACTTGGTTTTTGTAAATTTCCGACGTGGGAACTCACACGTGTCATTTAAATGTACTTGTAAATCTTAATCGTTTGCGCTCCGATCTTCAATTTTTTTGTTCGTACACCACTATTCCTATTCAAAGAGGCTCCTTCCATTTTCTTCCCCAATTTTATTTCCGGTCAACAGAAAATGCAACCAAGTCAGTACGGAGACTTTCACCCGGAAAATATACCTACCGCACTTTCCCATCTTCGACCTGACGGCCACGTCCCAGTCCTAAACGACAATAGTTTCTATGGCGGCCAGTGTCATATTTTCAAGGCAGACTTCCCAGACGGCGAATGCTGGGCTGTGCGGATTCCACTCTACGCACGATACGCTTCTCGAGATGGCTTCATCATTCAGCTCGAGCACGAGGCAAAAGTTCTCCGAGAGCTGGAGCTCAAAGGGTTTCGATGGGCGCCCAAGCTAAAGAGCTCCAGTCTCACATTCGAAAACGTGGTTGGATACCCGTTCCTTGCCTTGTCGTGGGTGCAAGGCACGCCTCTTTCCTGGTCTGAAGATCATCCACCACGTTCTCTCCGCAATAAGGTTCTTGGACAAGTTGCCCTGATACAAGAGGCACTCATCGAGTGCACCAAAGAAAAGAGTCTGTCTATCACCCTGTTATTACTTTAAGCTATTTACTCAATGCAATAGGAGGCACCGCTACGAAATTCTTCGAGAGAGTAGCAAACAACAGACTCTACAAAGTCCGAAATGGCGACATGCCTGATATTACAGAGCAAGACTGCTTTGAACAAAAATCTCTTCTTCCCGAAGTGCTTTATCCCAGTCTGGACGACGCGCCATTTGCTCTGGACCATGATGATTTATTACCATCAAATATAATAATTGATGAGGAGCACAATGTTGTCGGGTGAGTTGAAATGGCGATTAAGTGTATGTATATAGCTAACATATAAAAGCATTGTTGATTGGGGATTTGCTGCAAAAGTGCCAATGCAACTGGCTGCTGGTCTTCCTCGATTTCTATATGCCCAGCCACCCGACCGTCCACCGAGCCAGACTCTTCAAGAAGACCGAAAAGTCTACCTCGCTTCCCTCGCTTCTCGCTCTTCTCAAGCTGCGTCCTGGATGTCATTCATTCAATCTGCTGAAGCTGTTGATTTTCGAACTTGCTTTCTGGAATCGCTGATGAGCAAGGGTATGCACGCTTGGCTAGCACGGAGGGGATGGAAAATTTCTCATTCAAATCATCCCTCCAAGGATTTCAGATGATCCGACTGAATCTGTCTCCTGTCTCGCTATGGTCGGTTCGATAAACAATGCACCTCTTGGTAAACTTTTCGACACAGATTAACAGAAGTCACAATACCTTTTTCAGAAAGACCAACCTATGAAGTCCTGCTTTTGTTTCCAGAATTCCATACTTTATTTAATGTTTCTGAAAGAAATTCTAGAGGCCGCCGAAATTGACCGGCCCAAATGGACACACTTGATGACCAGATTACGGCGAACTGAACCTTTCCAGAAACTATTAATGCCGACCAAAGTTTTCGAATTCAATACAACGAAGGAAACACTAATCATTTTACAAGTCCAGAAAAACTCAAATCATCGGAACTGGTGCACTTGAAATGCCTAAAACTATTCACAAACAATATCAACAAGAGAATATTACAACCAAAGATTTTCGCTTTAAAATGTGAAAACACTTTAGAAAGATTTATCAACAAAGTTCAAAACACCTGTATAAAACTTATCTCGTCCTACCTCATTTATACTCTGTCGATCCTAAATAATGGTATAAATATACTTTACAACCGAATTCACACGGAGGGCTGAACAGAGATAGAAATGCTGTTGTTTTGCTTTGTCACAAAGAAGACGCATACGGACCGCCAACTTGTTCTTCAAAAGAGTATTCATAGTCTGGCAAAAGTTCCAGCATGCCAGGAAGAAAATTAACAGATGTCACAAGGCAAATAAATCGAATCGAAAGCATGGAGCCAGTCTGGACAGATCGGACAATCATTTTGTGGTTCGGGCCACAAAATTAATAAGGATGACCATCGCTTAGACTGGGCATTAGTCAGTGTTGATAAGGAAAGACTGGGAAAGAACAAGGTAATTTTACTCGAACATACAGTAGATCTTTCTTCGGTGAAGTATTAATTCAGACTAGGTCCCACACCAAAATGCATGGCAAGATGTACCAGGAATCAATAGTCACGTCCTTCCTCCTCTGGAACAGAAGATAGTGGGCTTCGGACCTCATTGCCGGGTCCCTGAATATGTTTACAAAATTGGCAATAGGAGCAACAAAACAGTCGGGGAGTTTGACTATACCAAGTCAGATGTTAAATTCTTCGAAGGGGACAAAATATCAACCGAATATGCGTTTAGTGGCCTGGAGGGCAAGTTTTCTAAAGGAGGGGACTCAGGAGCAGTGGTCTTTGACAGGAAATGTCAAATTGTAGGACTTATTTTTGGTAGTAATGAGATGAACGAAAACAGGGGTGTCACCTATGTTACTGACATAACGCATCTTATTAGTGACATTGAGGCAAGAACAAATTGCAAAGCTTGTCTTTCAGAGTCATTGATAGGCCTGGAAAGATACTGCAAACCCTGAATGCCTCTTTTCTCCTTTCAAGATGTTAAAAAATTGTCAGAAATTACTGGTTAAAATTTAGTAGTTGGCTATCTAGAAATTTAAAAACAGATTTGAATATGAATTGACATGCTACTTCACAGCATATATCTGCCCAAAAAGAAAAAGAAAGTAAATGAATAAATAAGAAAGATAAAAAAAGTTGTACTTTAATATTTAAACTTTTCGTGATCTTATCACTCCCACCTCGCGGAACAGCGAGCCCTGAGCGATAGCGGAGAGTCGGGCACTTATTTTACCGACCGCCGGTTCCTGAATCACTAAAAGTTGCTAAAGGACTAGCCCTGTCACGCTATGTAAGACTCATTCTACGGTCGTTTCTCCAGGGACGAGGACGTACCAAATGGTGAGGAACTAATTCTCGTGACCATGGATGCCTGAAAGGACTCCCCACTGCTTTGCAATCAATGCATCAAGGAGATGCATGTGTCTTGGCGGTTCTAATCCCATGGCGGACTCCTTTGCGAAGCCAAGAAAGTCATGGTTGCTGACAGCACTAGTAAGCTATAGCTATCCTCTGCTAAACTTGTCTCTACGACCACCCTGCTAAGCTCCTCTCCACTGATTGGTCTAAGCTATCTTGGACCCCAAACTCCCCGCCTTACCGCCTTCAATTCGGCTTCATTTCTGTGGACGGGAGCCAGGCATAGTCAATATTGCCAACAGACACTATTTTGGCCAAGACGCTTTTCAAGACCGACTCTCATAACTCTCAGCCCCAAAATGATATATATAAACCCCGGCCTGGGCCCTCTCTTTCTCATTCTCTCCTTTCTTACGGACGACCTCTGAGCTTCCGTGATTCTCAATCGTTCCCCGACACAGCTCATTCATTGAACCAAACATGGCCGGTGTAAAGCCTCAAGCCAGCATCACCCTGTACCGTGGCTGGACCGGGTCAGGATACTACGTCTGGTCGCCATTCGTGACGAAGCTCGAAGCGCGACTCCGTTTTGGTGGGCTGTCATATAAATGCGACGGCGGATCACCGATGAAAGCACCACGCGGCAAGATCCCGTACGTTGCCATTGAGAACGAGAAGTCATCTGCCCCGACGTTACTATGCGATACGACGCTCATTACCGACCGACTCGCCGAGGAGGGTATGCTGGGGGACCTCAATGCCAAGCTGAGCCCGACAGAAAAGGCGCAGGACTTGGCGTTTACCGCGCTATTAGAGGATAAGCTATATTTTTACCAGGTACTTTACCTTACCCTTTTCACTACCTAGATAGATAACTCAGTTGTTGTCGCATTCTTTATTAACAAATTCCGAACTTGGAACAAAAATTATAGCTCTACGAGCGATGGCAAGAAAACTACTACACCATGCGCCCGGGTGTGCTCCAGGCCCTGCCGTACCCCATGCAGCTCATTGTCGGATTAATCGCGTATCGCAAGGTCATGCAAACGCTACATGGACAGGGCACGTCGCGTTTCACACCCGAGGAAATTGACGTTTTCCGGCGAAAAGTATGGGAGAATGTCAATGCGCTTCTCGTCACCTCAAAGGCAAAGGCAAAGGCCGGCGATGCTTCGACCTTTTGGGCGCTAGGAGGAACTGGGCCGTCAGAGTTTGACGCCACGCTCTTTGGATTTATCGCTTCGGCGCTCGTTTGTCCTGCGTACGTTCCCTAATCACCATTTTTAGACCCGAAACCCTAAATGAACTGTTTAACTGACAATTGATTTCCGATAAAGAGGGCCAGAGTCTCAAAAAGTCATCCGAAGCTTTCCAGTGGTTGTGGAGTATGCGAAACGGATCCACGATCGATATTTTCCTGATTATGAGCTTTGGAAAGAGTAGTATAATTTTACAACGTCTTTGATTGTAACTATAATCCGCAATCCAGTGTGTATGATACATTGACGACTCGATTGTGGTGAAAAAGCGACATAGCAATTACTACTGGCTAAGAATCACCAAGCCGTTCTTCTGTAAAAAGTAGAGAAATATCGATCAACTGGTATATAATTTTCCTCTAGTCGCGATATCATCTAATTCTACATCTAATCAATTATCAAAGGTATACAAAATGGCAAGATCAGACCACAAGGCCGTGTCCGTGAGAGGCCTTGTGCAAGTGATGCTCGACATGCTTGGCATGATTCATTCCCTTGGGGTGGAAGTTGATGTCGTCCACCGGGATAAAAGTGTCTGGGTCATCGGACATTTCGATATTCTCAATCTCCCAACCGTTATAGTCTCCAAGACTGCGCTTGGCTGGGCCAGGGCCACCGACGAAATCGACCTTGCAACGATTGTATCCGGGGGAGCTGAATGCTCCATTTTGACGACTCTCAGTCTGTCCGTTGAAGCAATAGCCGTTGTAGCCGCCATCGAAGCGGTAAATGTCTGACTGGCCAAAAATATTAATGGCACAAGCAACAGTGGTCGCGTCCTGGTTAGGCCAATTCGCCGTCTGCGAGTAGGCTCTAGCATTTGAAATCGGCTGGGTACCCCAAGAAGAGGTGTCCTGCGGGCCCGAGGGAGTAGCTAGACCCATGGTAAAGTTTCGTTTGAAGGTATAACCAAGTCTAAAGTTAGATAAAGCATAGCGCTGGGTGTCAAAAGTCAGCATATAATATTCCCCTATTTCTCTCCTTGCTTTCTTCTATTATCGAGGAGTGACTCACATTATTATCTATGCCGGCTGCTTGAGGAATCTGGTTCGGGTAGTTTGCCGTCCGGCCGAATCCGGATTGTTGAACAGTGTTCCATGCCGTGTTAGTCTTATCCCAAGATTGCCAATTTGACGTCTGGGTGTTTGGATCATCCAGATATGCGACATTGGTCGAAAGTGTGCTGAGCATTTGGTTGCATCCACCCTGAAGGTTTTGTTGCCATACTGGGGCACACAACATTTGCGCTCCGGTAGGAGTTTCGTGGACATGGCCAAAGTAATCGCCACCTTCTTCGGACCCAGCAAAGGGAAATTCATCGCAACTGACATAGCCACCGCGGATATTCCCGAGCCCTACTTCGTTCTGGTAATTGATGTTCTCTGGAACACACGCTTGTTGTCCGCACGTTGCCGCACGTCTATCTTCTACCCTCGCAGTATTGGGATCCCAGGTGAGGACCATACCGTCGGTCGAAAGTGATCGGGCCCGATAGAAGTTACCCACGTTTTGACAAATTCCATCAACAGCAGTGGTTCCACTGGGTCCGGTAATTACCGTATTTGCAAACCAGGTGTGACAGTTGTAACGGAAATCCGGCAGAGTCCATCCACAGCCCGACGAAACAGCCCTTCGAGTCAGCTCATCGGACCTCTTGCCAGGAGCTGAACTGCCTGAATTGCTTGCAGTGCAATTGTCTCCCTTGGGGCATGTGAACAAAGTGGCTAGTGAGAAGGCCGAAACTTCGCCCTGACCGTTATCGTCGGTCGTAGATATATCATCTCTCGGCCTGAGCATAGAGTAGTTCCGACCTTGAGTCTCTGCCTCAGATATTTGGTCTGACCAAGCATCCGGATGACTTGAAATCTCTTCGTTCGTGATAGAATTCAAAAGACCCCTACGCGGCAGCTGAGGAATCCGCGGGAGGTCGCGCTTTCTTGTTGATGCAGAGGCAACATCTCCATCCTCATACAAGGTTATTGTCCTCGGAGAGTCAAACAAGAAGCGCGACTGCGCATTCCAGCTGTAAAAGGGAATGTTCGCATAGCCACCGAATCCGAGATTGTAAAGGAAGTACGCTCCATACTTGTAACTGGCGCTTGCTGAACCTGATGAACCAGAGCCTTGTACAGCTCCTGTCGCTTCAGCATGGAATCGTAGAGTATTGTTCATAAAGCCAACGAGTTGGGCGTCGACTAGAGTTGTGCCAAAAATACCACCTCCACCACCGATGCGGATGCCAAGATTAGCTTCAGGTGTGACCATGATGTCAAGGTCAGCTGAAGCCCGTACTGCAGCATCAAAGACGGGCACGACCTCTTCCGTCGTCGCGTCAGGGTGTTGCACCAGGTCTTTAATTGCCGAATCGTCGTCTGGTTCATCAGGCCAGTAAACCTCGGAGAGACCAAAATTGTAACGCGTTCCAATGTTCATTTGTCCAGCCACCGTTAAGACACCTTTAATCTATTAAAAAAGAAGATTAGTTGAAAATTTTTAGGGTATACATTGAAAAGAATAGGCTTCTTACTTGACCGTAAATATCCAAGGTTGGGCCCACAGCTGCTATTCCCTTAACGCTCAAACCCGGATAAGAGAGAGTGTCGACAAGCCTTTTTCTGTCCGAGGTATATTGCATCTGCGCGTATCCCTTGATGCTGAGGCCGAGGTATGCGGTTGGCTCCAGACCAAAATATGCGTAAGTCCCAGTGACTGCAGGAGGCACAATGGTGCCTGAGAAATAGTAGGCGTACGTTGCCTCCATGTTAACATAGGCATCCAGGTCGATATCTAAGCTGGCCATTGCTGTCGAAGACTGACATCCACGCTGCGCGTGGTACAGCTTAATGGTCTTGCGAATGGCCATTGATAGGAACCCCATATCCTTATTTTCAATTGTGTTCAGACGATTGAGCCAGTCTTTAAACGCACCGAACCAGCGCTTGACAATCGAGGGCTTTGAACTTTCAGCCATTTCTGTCTCAGAGCCTCGTTTCCGGAGCTTGAAGTGGGTTTCTTTGGCTGTATCGACTTTATATCTCCAATCACGGTAAGAAAGGTGTTCTTCGTTGACGGATCTCTTCCTTGAGTCTTTGCTGGCCGTCATCTCATCCCAGTACGATTCCAGATTAGTGTAGTCGATGCGCATATTGACTTGACTATCACGTTTGATCAAGTGGAAGTTGTAGTCGAATTTGACCTTGTACACTTCATTGCGGTTGCGATCAATTTGTCTCGCGCGAAGATGATGTACTGGAAGAGCGTGATCGGGGTCGACTTCCATTGAAACAATGCGAGCAAACGGTCCTTCTCCGACGTGGTCTGGCAGCCGAATAATGGTATCCACTGCACCCTTGTAGAAGACCTTTTGGCACCTAGGAGAGTCCATTGGGTAGTTGCAGTAAACATGAATGGTTTCTTCCGAGTGATCAAACGTGGAGTCAATGGTTGTCTGGTTCGACGTTACCAGCGATCGCTTGGCCATCGGAATATGCTCTTCACGCCTAGAAACAGTGAAACTGGAGGGAAAGTCATTGTCAAGCGATCCCTTTGGTCCGTCTAGCATGACAAACCCATATGGGTCAGCACCATAATCGTCCGATAGCTTGTGATCATTGACATTGTTTCCCTGGTTGTCGGCGTACGACCACTGGACATCGTCACCCGTCTCATCATAATAATCCTCCCAAAGGTACTTTGGATCCACTGGCCATTTGTTGTTATATTCATTTGGCGGGTCACAACAGTACGGGAATTCGGCGCTTTGTCCTGGACCAGGCGGGTAACCAGAACAATCCAGCATATGTCCACCGCTAAACTTGCCAGTACTCGGGGGATCCAACGCCCAAGTGATTGCTACCTGGGTGCTGGGACACTGGGAGGGATTGCATATCTTGTTAGGATCGTAGATCGGGTATCCATCTGGACCATTAACCATGTCATTGGACCAAGCACAGTTGGAGTACGTGTCGCTCGACGGGCAGCAAAAGGAGCGTGCCTGTCCCGGATCACATTGAGCACCGCCATCTTCGTCATAGCGCCAAGTTTGAAGGACGGAGTTTTTCGGGCATGTCGCACCATCGGTATCATCCTGACAATCTGTCCAGAAACATTCGTTGAGAACTTCGGCCGAGTCGCAACAAAGCTGTAGCATGCATCAGCATCAAGCAGAGAAGGTAGAATATGGGCAAAGGAGGAGGTGGTTCCATACGTTTCGGTTTCCCATGTAACACTGGCCATGCCCAAGAGGGTCAGTGTACGAATCAGTATTTAGGAGAAATTGGTCCGAGCCACAGGTTCCGCTGCAACCGAATTCACTTCGTTCGGGGTTACCATTCCACTGACAATTCTGCGGCATGGCCTGCGTGGGACAGCAAATGTAACGATACCAGCCTTCCGAGCAGTCCCCTTTGATAGTGTGATTGGGAGCTTGGCTAGGGGCATGCGCGGTCGAGACTGAAGTGTAACCAGAGGGACAGATTTGGTCAGGGCCTTTTTGACCCTTGGTACCGTCCGTGCATACAGGCGTGACAAAGCAATTTTGCCCAGTGTACGCAGCAAATTCGGAAGAGATGCCGGACTTTTCAGAGTCGGATAATTCGCCTCCAGTGATTAGACTATCCTGCATAGCATCCTCACCTAAAAGACCACCGAGTGCTTGATAGTCTGACGTATCCTGGTCAATGGCCCATATCATCAGTCCCGAGATGCAGTGGGAGGATAAGAATCTCTTCTTGTCTGTAAAAGATTGTTCGTCATCATACGAGATCCATTGCGTCCCGTCGTATGTCATATACTTGAGGGTAGCAGCGGCATCATAGTAGGTATTAGTATTGAGTGAGTCATTTCTCGATGCCACCTCCGCGTAAGACAAAATACCAGCTGTATTCGTACAATCTCCCGCGATACCGGCGGCCGAAAAATTGCAACCTGGCTGGTAGCAGTTGGGGTCAGACATGGTGAAAGACCGTCCATAAAATCCGAACCCCATAACAACATTGGATGGGTCAACATCATTGCGCCACAGGAGATCGAGACCTTGTTCAATCTCAGTGAGATTTGTATGACCTCTCAGATACGAGCCCGTCCACTCATTGTCTTGATCCCACATGCCGTGGATGTCATAGGTCATGACATTGAACCACGAAATGTAACGTTGAAGACCCGGCAAGTCGAATCCACGAAGATACCAATAGCTTGATGGTAGAGTAATGGTGGCTTCCCAGCCTGGATCTTCCTGTGCAAAACGCTCCTTAATCTCGGACATTAATAGAACATAATTATTGGTATCCTCAGGCGCTCCACCTCTATCAATAGCCGCAGGATATTCCCAATCAATATCCACGCCGTCGAGACCATACTTGTGCAGATATGAGACGAGGGAATCGATGAATGTTTGTCGATTGGTATAGGTAGAAACCATATCTGAGAAGATGTGCTGGGTTGGAGGATCATTGAAAGACCAACCGCCAATCGCAATGCTTGCGCGAAGACCTGCATATCGCTTCTTCAGTCGAGAAACTCGCGCCACCAAATCGCCCAAAGTGTCGATTATTTTGAAGTCCTCGTCTAGAGTGGCAAAGGCAATGTTAATGTGAGTGAGCGCGCCAGCGGCTATGTTTTCCGGCGCAAATGCATCACAGTTCCGCGTAGCCGACCATAATTCGTAGTAGGCAATCCGGCGTTTATAGTCCAGGGCATTTGTATTCTCCGAGCATGTTTTTACCCTTGCGAAATGGATAAGAATATGCCAGATATGGTATTAAGTTCAAGGGAACTTACTCGACAGGATCGCAGTTGCTTTGGCATTCTTTATTGCAAAAGTCCGAGGTAGTGCCACAAAAGCCGAATTCACTGACCAAAAAAAGAGGGTCAGAATCGCCAAAAAAATAAAATAAAATAGAACAAAGACCTTTTGTCCCTGTGGGCTGAGAACAGTATAATTTACCTGCAACAAACATTCAAAGGGCACTTTGTACCGGGGTCTGCGGCCCACTTTCCACATTCAGCCGTGGCATTACAGCTTCCCTGACAACTTTTGGAAAATATCAGCACTTGCTTGTGATGGAATACCCAATCCAAATTGTGCTTACCCATCACCGCAATACGCGGGGCCGAATCCGCAAGTTCCGTATGAGCTACAGCATCCGGAATGGCAGGGTTCCAAAGCAGAACACGAAGCATCATGCTGCGCAACAATGGCGCGAAATGAGAATCCCAAAAGGGTGAGAAATAATAAGAAATTAAAATGCATGATCAAAAGAGCGTTGTTAGTAACATTGAATGTGGCTGGAATATATCCCTCTTTCGCAGAATAGTTTGATAGAAATAAAATTCCAAAAAGAAAATAGGATAAAAAGAATGGTGAATACTAAATTAAGACTTCAATCTTTTCGTTAAAGAACGTGGATAGGACGAGCGTCCAAGCGGTGACCAAGCTGGAGATGGTCACACATGCAATGATATGGATGAGACGCGCACAAGAGACAAAAGAATGGAGGATGAAAGAATGAGCGGAAAAGAAAACTCTGAAAGATCCAAAGAGAATGAATGAGTACTGTGCATTTTTCTGGTGGAGATCTCCCAGCGCCTTATGAAGGATATCATGAGCAAGGAGCAGGGATGATATCCCTATCCTAGCATAATCTGAGCCCCCGGTTCATCTCTCAGCCGAGTCCGGCGGGGAGCCATGACAGTTGAAAGGGGTTGGCGCTATCACACGATGGTTGTCAAGAGCAAGAAGATGCATCAACATAGGCTGAGTGGAGCTGTGATGGATCCTTGCGACTGAGCCCATTGAGGACCGATGGCGTAAAAGGAGGCGGCGGAAAACAACAATGACTGCCGCCAAGACGACCGATATCCCTGAGTAGTGGGGTCAATTTTAGGCCGAACAAAATTGGCTCTCGGGCCGTGTGGGGCACTATGCAGGGTGTGGAGCAGGCGAGGTCGACACTAAAATCGGGGGCATTACTGGGTCGAGTGTGCTCGACAGAGACCAATTCGAAGTGTCAACGTTGTGGGGCTCAGAAAAAAAATTTCATTTTCTTTTTATGTTGTATAAGCTAATGGGAAGTCTGTATTTGTTTTCGGCCGAGCACACGATTTTTGACGGACCGACGACTTTCGTAGCAAGGCTGCAGCCATCTGTTTGTGTTAATGAGAGAGATGTAATTTTTCAACACTCCTCCGCGGAGAGCAAGCCTAATTCGCCGTCATGCTGATAAGCCGGCCCCACCTCACCATCAAGCCACGTGCCGCTGCATTCATAGATGCTGCCGTCCGAACAGAGACCAAACACCTCGTACAACTGCTCGGTCGTATCAATGCGCGTTTCTCGCACGACGCGGCCTTGATCGTCAAGCCAGACAATTAGCATCCGGCCATTGCCGAACAATGTTTCGCGATCTTCCACAAAGAAATGTGCCGTGACGTGGTAGTGGAGGAAGGCTTCATAATCCAACTCATCGACCTCCTCTTCTTTCCACTCGCGGAGAGCCTCGGCGCGAGCATCGCGAGTCTTCTTCTCTTTTCGGTCAAGGTCAGCAAATGGATCAGCGACTAGCTCGGGGAAGCGTGTGAAGATTCGATCCCAGTGCGACCCATAATCATACAAGGTCATATCGTCAAATAGACACTCATGACCTCTGCCATTAGTGATTTCCTCAATTGGTTGTTTCAGACTGGATAAAAGCTCCGCGTGCTTAGCATCCGATCCATTCTCGTAGCAAGTGCGCAGCCAGATAGATTTGTCCTTGTGGATAGTAGAGCTTAAATTACGTTCTCGTATGGTCTGCATTGGCTCCAAGATGGTCTCAATTTGCGTCTGGGTTGGTGACGCGAAACGCCCTTCGCGGATGGCTTCATGGTAAGGCTGTTGAGAGGGTGAATGAGAGTTCTGTCGACAAATGAGAATAAGACATACCTGTCTTCCACGGAGACCCAATTTGACATAATCTATGGCCAGACGAGCGCCTTGCGCGCGGGCATCTTCGGTGGAGCTCGGATCCCATTTCTCCTACAAGGTTGAGCATATCAGCTACAGCGGACCAATTCAACGAAGCTTTTGGCTGTCTCTTGGCAGAGACCGATGCCCTGAACGCTGAGCTGCGGAGCCGGACATGTGACACCTACTAGTACGAAGAGGTCAAATGGCAATTTGCCCCACTGAGCTGAATCTATCAACTGTGCGTCCATTGCTGATCCTCGGATATCAAGCTGAAAAAAACACTCGACACTTAGCCAGGGGTTGGCAAGGAAAACAGGGGAAAGGGTTTGAATTGCCGTGCAGAGGTGTTGGAAGTAAAGAAGATCGCTGCCATCTGACCTGTCTTTTAGTAGTGGAGTTATGGAGTCAGGTTGGTCTGATTGAGTAAGAGGATGTAAGAGGATGGTGATTGTGGGGCATAATTTCGGGATTGAGTTACTGTACCTGGCACTAGAACGACACTGCCAAGAGCCTCCGCTTTCCGGCTACCCTAAAGTAGTGAAGCTTGGGCCCCCAAATTCAGTTAAGGGAGGACCTGGAGGAAGCATCATTAGGCTGGCGGGTGTCTTCGGGGTGGCGCTGCGCATAACCGAAAGTACCGGAGTATAGTCCGCTCGCACGGATTTGTTTCAGAGCCCCTCCACTTGCTCGCTGTAGTGCCGTAGTGCCGTGGTGCGCTCTAATTCCGAGCAACCAGGTTCCATCTTTGGCTATGGCTGACCCACCACTTTCGGTGGCCCCCACAATCCAAGAAAATTTTCGGTTCGTGCCACTTCAGGGTCCTATAGCTTCATCGGGCTGACCGGATGGATTCATTCCCCTCCTACCAAGGTATAGCTCAGACATGATATCAATGTCAGTCAGGTATGTATCCCAGCTATTCATCACGGCCATTGCATTCCATCTTGCTGATTTAGTCGCTCAGGATTCAAAAGATATCATCGTCAATCATCTGGATAACTGCACATGCAGTTGCAGATGTTTCTCCGGATCTCCCAATCTTTGACCTGCCCCGCTCTCCTACTCCGATAGGGGAGCCATAATTATGTAACCAATGTCGCGGTGACGGGAAAGGCTGGACAGGGATTGCCACATGTTCTGACGTTCCAACTGCCTGTACCGAAATTACACCGCGCAAATCAGCACGGGCACAGGTCGTTGGGTGACACATAGTAACAGCTCCACCCGAATAATTTATTCTTGACCGAATGAGAAAAAGTGGTCCTACTGATGAAACTATAGCTAAGTCTTGGCGACAAATCCCCGCTACGGCAGATCTAATGACAATCAGCCTCTCTGCTAGAAGGGAGATTAACACGCTAATGAAGATCCGAGGAAGAGTCGGGCAGAGCGCAAGATACAACGTTGGAGTCCATGCTTTTTGTTCTCAGAAGACAAGGCCAGGAACAAAAAGGAATTCTACTTTCGGACTATAATCGCCCCACAATTGAAGCTTGAAGCTCAGGGGAAAAGAATGCGAGTCGCGCCCCTCCTTATGACCTGTACAACGTTCCTTAAACTGCTCCATATGGTCCTTCGTTCAACATTTGTGTGGAAGAATCATCCATATCCTCTCGTTCGTTGAGTCAATTGACCTTTACGCTCTTTCTTTGGGGTACTTTGATTGCAAATCTACAGTAACTGAATCGACTCTTGTGGAGTCTTCAGACACATTCTCTTGATCTCAAATCCTTATTTTGGAAACGTTCATATTTTTTTTTTTTCTTTACATTTTGGTCTCAAACGTGGTATGATTCTGTTCGCGAGGTGCGAGTAGGAAACGTGACAATGTTTTCGCGACGCAGTCATTCATCTTTCTCTCCCCAGAGTGGCTTCTCTCTCTTTTTGCTATCCGTCTTTTCTTTACTTTCCTTCTCGTGGGGTCTCCAGATCTGGCCAAACTCGTCATCGTTGCCAGACACGATTCCACAAACATGCCGTGAGGCCTTGAGTGCAAACATCACCTGCTCTCCGAGTCTGATATCGGCACAGTCAATCGCTCTGCAGTCACAGCTGAGCAACAATCTTTTGACAGAGTATTGCACGTCTTCTTGTCAAAATTCCCTCTTGGTTCGGGCTCTCTGCATTATTTTAGACTGACTCAACACAAACTAATGACTGCTTTCAGTCTTACCAAGCCAATATCCTTCAAAATTGCGGAAACGAAACCTATGCCTTCTCTGATACCACAAACCAGACTGGCTCTGCAATTGCAGACCCTCTGGTTTGGGCATACAATGTGGCGTGTACCACCGATTCGTATGTTGCGCAGAACAGACCTGGTTTATCGGCTGCACCTGAGCTGACTTTCTGATTAGCGACCAGACAACTTTCTGTCTTCCTGGGCTCTTTAACAGGACTTACTCTGCGTGCTCTAATTGCTTGCTTCGCTATGAAGCCAATCTGCTGGGGTCCAACTACGGACGCGCCATAGTGAATCCGGATTCGTTCTCCTCTCAGCTCTCATCGTGTAGCGTGCCAGCAACGAGCTACCCTTATTCGACTCCTGCATCTACACCTACTGCCACGTCGTTGGTCTTGCCATTGACCCTTCTTGAAAGGACAAAGTACCACTGACGATTTGCTCACAGGAATTCCACTGCTCCTACGGCGACGCCGTATTGCTCTGGTGATACATACACTGTCCAGTCTGGCGATACATGTGTTAGCATTGGTCAAGCCAATTCAGTAGCAACTGACCGTCTCATCTCTCAAAACAATCTTGATTACAACTGTACTACCCTTCAACCGGGGGATGAACTTTGCCTGGGAAGCACGTGCCAACTTCAGACTGTGCAGCAAAATCAAACATGCGATGATATTCTGGCAGATCAGCCATATTATCTCTCGCAGTTGATTGCATGGAACCCAACCATCCACAATAGCTGCGATAACCTAGGTATCATGGTTGGTCGCGGTATATGCATCTCGTAAGGAAGAAATGCTACTCCGGTTTGGCACCTTACTTACTATTTTACAGGCCTCCCGGCACTGCCTCCTGGGAGACTCCCTCCAATTCGACTGACGTCACGACCACGCCGGTGTAAGTGTTCTAACCATTATGCCAGCCAGAGACAAACAAATCAAAAGCTCATGTTCCACAAGCTCCTTCGTAGTGCCAACCGGCACTTTCGCACCTGCGCCGAACGCGACTACGACGCAGAATTTTACCACCTCGTGGTATGTGCCGACAGTACTCCCCCCTGTGCCGACGTCGAATTCAACCATGAACCAATCCACCGTGGATGCTTTGAACGAACGAACGGAATGGTGTCCCATCACTTCGGACGATGCGAGCCGCGGATTTGTTTTTGCAGACCTTCCGGAGGATTGCCAAGAAGCTGTAGACCCTTACTGTAACCCAGCTCCCACAGACCCCGTCCTCTCGTCAACAACTTTTGCCGCAAGTTGCTACCCGACATATTATTACAATATGACGAATACCGCAACTCCGACATCGACCACTGCCGGAAACACTGCACCGACTCAGACTGGCATCACGTCAAACTGTAAGTCTTATTCAAATGCCTCGTCTTACCGCCCCTGTGTCATTTGCATCCGTCGCTCATCATATTTGCAATTCTAGGCAACACATTTTACAACGTATCCAGCACCGACAGCTGTCAAACAATTGTAGACAAGTATCCGAATATTACTCTTGCCGATTTCTACTGCTGGAATCCTGCTGTCGGCTCGACTTGCAAATACCTCTACCCAGGATATGATGTCTGTGTTGGTGTTTCGTCGCCCGTCGCCTCCTGCTCGGCAACCTCTACATCAGTTTCACCTTCTGGCACTGGCTCAGCAGGTTCAACCCCATCGCCTCTCATGCCCGATACCTGGACCAACTGCTCCAAATATTACCAGATCAAAGATGGAGATGGATGCTGGGACGTTGAGCAAAACAATACTATCTCGAAAGACCAGTTCAACACTTGGAACCCTTACGTTGGGTCCAATTGTCAGAACTTCTGGCCGGGCTACTATCTCTGTGTTAGTCCACCATCCAGCAGTTCTTCTACCGCGCAATCTACTACGCCGACGTCGACCACACCAACAGCCACTTCTAGTCCTTCGTCTACCGTCCCATCCCCTCTTATGCCCTCGACTCGGGCAGATTGTCCACAATATTACCAGATTCAAGACGGTGATGGATGCTGGAACGTTGAGCAAAAGTATGACATCAGCACCGATCAATTCAATGCATGGAACCCATATGTCGGCTCGCAGTGTCAGAACTTCTGGCCGGGATACTATCTTTGCGTTGCTACGCCCTCCGGTGGCTCCTCCAGCGCTCCATCTACGACGACAGCTTCGCCAACCACCACTTCCGGTTCTTCGTCATCAACGGTGCCTTCGCCTCTTATGCCATCCACTCTGACGGACTGCTCTAAGTATTACCAAATTCAAAATGGTGACGGCTGCTGGGATGTTGAGCAAAATAATGGCATCTCGGCGGATCAGTTCAACTCGTGGAACCCATACGTTGGATCGAATTGTCAAAACTTTTGGCCAGGTTATTACCTCTGTGTTGGTGCACCCTCTGGTGCTTCATCTACGACCAAACCTACCACTACCACTACTCAGAGCGCCTCATCCACCTCGCCATCGCCAATTATGCCATCAAGCAAGACGGACTGCTCCAAATATTACAAGATCCAAAGCGGGGACGGGTGCTGGGATATTGAGCATGATAATAACATCACTGCTGACCAATTCAATGCATGGAATCCAGACGTCGGATCGGATTGCTCCAACCTTTGGCCTGGTTATTATGTCTGTGTAGCCAGTTAAGCCTAAGGCTCTCCGAAGACGTAATTGATCTGCTTTCCATAAGAGAGTATCATATAGAACAATTAGATATAATATAATGTGTCTGCTCTACAAGATGTAATACCTGCTCTTCCATGTACTTCGCTTTACTTAGGAAATAAATATAGATACCATATGGTCCAGAGACAAGCTCACCCAGACCCATGCTCCAATTCCATGGCATGGAGACTATTTCAATTCGACAGCAGCACGCATTCAATATCATCAAGTAGTAGGGCACAGGATTGCATATAGAGATAATATTTTGAATCAACCTGTTATAAGCAATTTCGAGAAGGGTCAATGTCTTGCTATTGAGCTATTGAGCACTGCCGTTTGGAGGGATAGATATAACAAAGAAAAGGTGCGATAGAAATCATGGTAAACTCTTGGGTGGGGGGAAGCTCATCGTCGGACCATAAGGAACATTCGCGTCCTGCTCCATCGTGCAGCTCAACTTTTTTCGTCCTGATTCTTGCCGACTTTTTCAATCCACACGGAGACATCTTTATCCATCTCATTTACCCGAGCAACTGTGAATGCAATCTGACTGGCTGTGTTGTTTCCGTCCAGTTTAAATGGCAACACGTCGGCCTTAGTTGTGGTAGGCTTTTGGGCCTTTGCATTGGGGAACAGCCAACTTGGGGCGCGAATAACTGGCTGATGTGCCAAATACTCGAGATGATCGGGCAAATCAATTATCTGCCGGCAGCACCAAACAAACTCACGCCATTCTTCGCCGTAAATATCAACAATGTCGGCAAGGAATCTTGTCGGGATTTCTGCATGAAGGATCCCGGCCCCACGTCCCCCCTCGTTCCTCACATGGGCATATCCTGCATACTTTTCTGCAATTTCATGCTGGCTGGTAAAGTATAGCCGGAGTTCTAGTGATGATAGGTCTGTCGGAGGGTGTGTCATAATCCTTAGAAGACCTTTTTTATTTGGCTCCAATGTTAAAGCTGATTCAAGTCGTACAAGATCCCCACCTTTATAGAGCACGATCGTTGGCTCTTTTGGCTTCTCAGGAGCAGCAGAGGATACATCGAGCTTAGTAGAAGAGAAGGGATCATCAGGGTCAAGCTTCGGCTTCTTTGTCGGAGATTCTTCGAACGATCTCGCCGAATACTCCGAGCCAACGGCTCGGGATTTATTCTTGCCCTTTACGCGCCCAGCTGAAGCCGGCATTTCATAAGGCTCGACAAACAATTCGGCAGAGGGTGGTGGAGAAGCAGGTCCAAACTCGCTCATGGTTTCGCCGCCAGATGAAAGGGACGGAAGAGACGTTATCTGAGATGGTTAACATCGAGCTGTTAGGGACAAGATGGGTGTTTGGCATTGGTACCTTTTGTAAAATTCTATTCGATATTGACTCAAGAAACTGGAAATCACACTGCATTGTTTCATTTATCCAGTAGTGACAAGTCTCGGAAAGCCTGATATCTTTATATTCCGGGGTCAAGATTGCCTGTCGGAGCCGTGTTTTTATCCCGATCTTGTTCATGACAGAAATCCAGTCGTCGTCTTCATCAACGGCATTTGGAAATGACCGCACCCATCCACGGACCATCCGCATGAAGTCGTTCATGTCTGGGTCGGGTCTTTTTTCGATTTTGAGCCACAATTTTTCAGCAGTTTCCTTTGTGAAGCCAAGATACTGTAGCGTCTCCATGCTTTCGATAAATTCAGGAATGACAATAGACTCTCTACTACTGCCCGAACTGATAGTTTTCCACGAGGATCCAGAGATTGATCGCCATCCCTTGATCGGTGTGGGCTTTGCAGGCAAACCAATACTCTCGAGGCGAGCCAATGCTTCCGCCGTCAGGGATGAAACCCTGGACATCTTGCTGGCTCTGACGATCTGAAATTGTATGTCTGATGCGTAGTGAGTGACAAAGAACGGGAAAACAAAACGAAGAAAATATTTGACAGTCAAGAAGTAATTCAATCTGTATGGGTTGGTACTGTCCGTGAGTCCTAATGAATTTAAAAGTTCCTGGAGCAACCTCGTGTCTTAAATACAGGTTAGTTGTACTACAGGGCAGAAACTTCCCCTTTAGGAAGGCCCGGAAGCGAAACGAAAGTATTGTGCCATGTAGGCTGTAGAATGGATAAGGGTAGCCTGCTAGGCTCCCAACCCAGCCCTCTACTAGGGTCAGGTTTGGGTAGTGTTTTAACAACTTAACTCATGGGCCTGGGTTGTCATTTAGACACCTATCTAACCTATGTAACCTAAGTTATACCTATAGATAGTCTAGAGTTAGGTTAACTCTTGGTATACTATGTTACCTACATGCCTTATATGCTTCCTTCATTCTTGCTTAGTCATACTATATTTACTATACTTCTTAATAACTTATCTAAAGCCTTCTAAATAGTCCCAAGTCGAAAATTCCGGTTCAGGTTTGCCAAAAGGCCAGTCGTTCAACAACAACCTTCGGAGGTGGAATTGGCTGAAAATTGCACCAAGTCTAATCCCAAGCTCCCTGAGCATCGCCATGCATTTAAAAATGGATTGCGACCGCTGGATCCTGATCTATGTCGCTCCAAAGTTGGGATTTTGGGGGAGATATCGTGGGGTTTGGGGATTTTGGCGCTAGAGAGAAGCGAGAGGGTACGTACTGAGAAAAAAAATACGGATTGGGATAGTGCAGAGGTACGTACTGAGAAAAAAAATACGAATGGGGTTAGCGTTTAAAAAAATAAAAATAAAAAATAAAAAAATTCATTTAAAAACATTTATTCTATTTATTTGGTCATGCGCCATCTCCTAAGACCAGATCACATCCCAGCTCTCAACACCAGGAATTTTCTTTCAAAAATTATTTCTAGTTTTTTCTGGGTCTTTGAAGATTTACGCTTCTGCAGTGATGCTCTCTGTAGAAAATTTGAAGCTGTGGTGGTGAAGATGGGCTGGTCCTCCATGTGGTGGTAAATTTCTTTTGGAGGTGGGCTCTCATCCAGCGCCTCAAACAGGCTCTCCAAAACATGTACCCCTCACCACTCAAAAGCTTCACCAACTATTTAAAAAATTCTATATATTTTTTTCTCTCTCTTTGAAGATTTATGCTTCTGCAGCTGTGCAACCTATGAGAAAAATGAAGATGTGGTGGTGAAGGTGGAGATCTCAAGAATGTCATGGTAAATTTCATGAGGGGCCTGCTCCCATGTTGCGCTCCCCATGGGAGGTCCAAAACATCCACTTCCTCACCACTCCAGGACCCTCCACCACCCTTTTAAAAGATTTTTTATTTTTTTTTTATTTTTTCTCTGTCTTTGAACATTTACGCTTCTGCAGCCCTTCCATAGAAAAAATAAATAAATATATCACTGTGAAGGTGGAGATCTGAAGAATGTCATGGTAAATTTTTTGGGGGGCGTCCCTTAAGTATAAGACCCCTAAAATGAGTTTCAAAACATAGGCCTCAGAACCACCCAAACACTCCAAGATCCTTCCGATTTTTTTTTTTTTTTTTTTCTTACTATGTCTTTGGGGATTTACGCTTGTGCATTCCTTCAACCAAAAAAAAAAAAAAATATATCATTGTGAAGCTAGAGATCTCAAGAATGTCATGGCAATTTTTTTGGGGAGCGTCCCTTAAGTCTAAGGCCTTGAAAATGGGTTTGAAAAACATCACTTTAAACCTTCTAGAATCTCTCAAAAATTCCCTTAAAATTTTTTTTTTTTTTTTTACCAGCGTAAAATATATAGCACTAGATACATTACAATAAATCATTCCACACGTTAGAAAATAATTTTTAAACTGCATATACAAGTTGGAATTTAG